GGGGGGATTTAAAATGACAACTTTTTCACAAAAAATTAACTTTTTCAACTTAACTTTTGAAAATGTTCCGGAAGGTCTGACACTTTTATATATATCTTAAATTAACGCTAATGTAATATACTGTAATTTGAAAAAAAAAAATTTCACCTCTGGACTTTTCTTCACGGCGAAAATGGCTACCGAATGCTATTTTCGTGTGAAAATTCTCGATTTTATTATTCATATTATATTTAACTTTATAATGCTATAACTTATTGAAAAGTGTATGGATCCACACAATTTTTTTATGAGAAATAATATTTTTTAATAAACCCTTTTTCATTCGACATACTTTATCTTAATCGAGATATTAATAAGGAACCAGCAGATCAAGTAGCTTTTGGAATAAAACACCAATTTTTTTAAAATTAAACACTATCTAAAGATTTGCATCGAAGCGTTTATTTTTGATAGTGATTTTAATCACTGTCAGATATCATTATACTTGATCCAACTATACCACTTCACAACTGTGCCGCGACCCCCCTGTGCTGGGTTTTTTTTTTTTTGAACATACATAATGGCTTCTGTAATTTATTTAATATGCAGATTTTGGTAGGTCTTAATATTATATTGTCCTATTATATAATAAAAACTCTTTTGAATGAAACCTCTATTAGATAAAAATCTCTTTTAAATGGAAAAAATTCTTTAGTTCTGATTTTTGTTATATATTAATATTAACCCTCTATTAAACAAAAATAAATTTTGTCGGCAGTGTTTCTTTTAAATGGAGATTTTACTGTAATTTTGAATATAATGATTGTAATATTTAAATATTAAATAAAATATATTAACAATTATGAAAAAAAATTAGACACTTTTTAAATATAATTGTAAAATTTAGTAAAATAAGGAGTTAAAAAAACATTCTACCAGAACACGTATGAAGCATGCAAATATTTATTATAAATATTGATTTTTTTTAAAAATTTCTACTTACCAAAGGATACTTAGGGCTCTGAGGAGTAGTCTACATTGATTGTGAGTACATACAGAAAATAATATCCACCACCATTATTTAATATATTTATAGTAATTAAATAAAATATAACCTTACATTGCCATCACTCCCAAAATTAGAAATTTTTTGAACTGATCTTTCTTTAGCTTTTATTGCTCTGGCTCTTTCAGTCTTTAACTTCTCATCGTCATCTAGTAAAGCAACTAATTGTGTTGCAGTATCTCGTACTCTTTGACCTTTATCTTTATTATCTTCAATATGTTGAAATGTTTCTAAAGTTTTAATTGCAAAACGATTTTCTTTACATTGTTGAGCAACCTAAAAAAATATTGGAGAAACAAGCGTTTAAAAAATATATTTGTTTTTAAATAATGACATGATAAAAAATTATTTTAATTCTAAAATGTTTAAGTAAGACATACTTTTTCACTGCCAGTTTTAATCAAGTACTCTAAAAGAATAAGGGCTTTATGGACATGTCGCCAATTGCGTCCATGATCATTCAAGCGTTTCCATAGTATTCCCATAATTTCAGAAAATGCCACTACATTATAAGTTAAATCTGCAATTTCAGCCATAAGTGTACTACTTGGTCCCCACTGATCATTACTGGTTGCTTCACGTACTTTAACCTAAATTAAAGTAACATAAACTATATAGTTAATTACATATATCTATTTTTAAATTATGAATATTAATGATAAATTCAATTTTTTCTATGTAGAAAATAATTTTTGAAGTGTGACTAATTATATTGAATGTAATACTGTATGTTTATATATATATATGTGTGTGTGTGTATAATATGGCTTATTATATGTATAAATTTATACTACGTATAAGAGTTCATTAACATAACAGAATTTTTAAAAAGAGGTAAAAATATATGATTTATTTATTTTACACAAACTTTATGAATTAACAATTTAAATTTTTATCTATTAAATATATTTTTAAAACACTTTTAAGTAAAAATTAAATGACTATAAATTAGTTTCTTTGATTGTAACAAAGCTAAACATTGGGTAAAGTAATTTTTCTTTATTTTAAGTTATCATTAATAGTTATTGATAATATACTAAAATATAGTTATAGGATTAATTATAATTTTTTTTATTTATTACAATAAATAAAAAAAAATTATCTAATCATTAATTTTGGAAATTATCGAGCCAATAAATAAAACATTCAAAAATAAGACATTCAAAATAACAATTTTTGAAAGTGTTCGAGAAAGTCTGACACTTTTATATATATCTTAAATTAAAGCTAATGTAATAAACTTTATGGAAAAATAAAATTTCAGACTTTATTTTTTACATTTTTAACTTTATAATGCTATAACTTATTGAAAAGTTTATGGACAAACACAATTTTTTTATGAGAAATAATATTTATATCCCTTTTTTTGATAGTGATTTTAATTATATATATATAGTATAATGATATCTATATTATATATAAATATCATTATACTTGATCAAACTATACCACGTCACTACTGTGATACGACCTCCCTGTGCTGGGTTTTTTAACTCAGATATTTAACATTAATAATTGTTTTTGACATAATTCTTTTGTCAATAAAGGATTAATAAAAAATAAGAGGAAGAAATACAACAATTTTTTATTCCATATAGACTTCAAAGCTTTAATAATAAAGAATTATGATTGTTTAATATTTCAGTAATTACTTAAAAAGTTTCAAGAAAAAAGTGAACTTTGTTTTATTATTTATTATTATTTTTTTTTTTTACAGAAATTAACTACTTTTGCGTTATTGTTAAGTTTACTAAACAAAAAAACTTCACAATAACACAAAAAAAAAAAAAAATTTGTCTAATTAAATTAAAATTAAAACTATATTAAAAACAATGGTGACGTGACATAGTTGGATCAAGTATAATAATATCTGACAGTGATTAAAATCACTATAAAAAAAACCGCTTTGATGCAAATCTTTAGATAGTGTTTAATTTTGTTTAAAATTAGTGGATTATTCTAAAAGCTACATGATCTGCTATCTCCTTATTTATATCGTGATTAAGATAAAGTAAAAAAGGGATATAAATATTATTTCTCATAAAAAAATTGTGTTTATCCATAAACTTTTATAAGTTATAGCATTATAAAGTTAAAAATGTCAAAAATTATCGATTTTTATATTTATATTGTTTTTGGAGATTTCCCCCATTTATGGGGAACGAGGGAAATTTTTTCAATTTTTGAGGATAATGTCTTCGACTAGATACGATTTGTGATTTTTTGACATATTGTTGAAAGAAATCGGTTCGGTAAGAGCTAAGAAAAAGTGGTAACAGACAAAAAAAAACATATCATAGTAAAACCAAAACCTATTCAGATTCACATCAAAGCTAATAATATTAATTTAAAACCAAAAAATATTTAAAATATTTAACTCAAAAAGCCACAAAAGAGTTATTAAAAAATCGATGATGCGTAGATCGGGAACAATTTAGCATTGATAATGTTAACATTGTTTTCATAATACTTATTCGCGATTATTCAGTAATTTTTTGTTGCTCTTATAATTAAATATTTTAAATGTTTTTTAGTTTTATATTTTAATATTTTTAATATAGTTTTAATTTTAAATAATATTAGCCACGAATAATCAATTTTTATTATATTTCCCTAATAAATTTTATCTCACAAAAATCATCTAATACTTAAATTTGATTTTTATAAGATGAGCAGTTCTTAGGAAAATTTTTAGCATATTTCTTTGCTTTTAAAAACCGTTTATGATACTCTAAAGTAAAGAATCTATATTACAATCTATGTAAAGTAATATCAAAAATTTTAGTGCTTTCTAATAATTTATCAAAAATAAGTTTAATACAATTTAGATTTTTAATTATATTTTTTAATTTCATTGGTTAATAAAGGTCATAGTCGTTAAAGATAATAATTTTTTAATTTAAAAGTTATTCACTTGAGCTTCAGAATAGTTATGAGCAATATTTTTTATATTTCTCCTAAGGCCAGCTACATTAACTTGCATGTCTTCTCTTTTTCTCATCTATAACAAAACAATAGTCTTTTATGTCAAACACTTCACATTATTGCAACCACTAGTGTATCTAAAAGGGCCAAGTCTTCTGTTTATTAGTTAATATTACTTTAATAATAATAAGTCCCCCTTATTGAAAAATCCTAGATACACCACTGATTACAACCATTATAATATATATTAAAATAACTATTTTTAGAGAATAAAGAAAAAAAAATTAACCAAAAATATTTATTTATTTATCAAAATTACTTTTTCAAAATACTTAATAAAAATCAAAAATTATAATTGCCTATCTAATTAATTAAATTGGATTTTTTCTCACAAATGTAATTAATATTATTTCTTTAAATTAATGTTTTACATAAAACACTTTTTTCCAAAAAAATTTCAAGGCAATTTTATTATTTCAGTATAACTTACAGCTTATTGATTATGGAATCCTTATAAGAATTAGTTAATGTTAGAATATTAAGCTTAAGATAAAATAAAAAATAGCTTCCTATCTATTTCCTTAAACTTATTTATACGAGAATATAAAATAATTTAAATATAATTTATTTATAAAAAATAAAATAGAATTCCATTTTTGTAATTTTTTATAAAAAGCAAAAATAAAGTTATAAATGTCTATTCTTTTAGTAATAAAACAAATATATATGTTTTAATATTAGCATGATAAAAACATTTTTCACCTAATGAATTTCATTACTTGATACTACTGGTAATGATCTATTGAATATAACCATAAAATTAAAATAAGAAACAAATGGACTATTACAGTTTTTTCCTTATACCCTTCATACTAAATGATAGAATATCATAAGTAAATGGGTATGCAGATACATATATTTACATAAAGCTTTATATCAATAATATCAATTACAAATATTGAAGTTCAATAAAAAAATTTTATTTTAATTTTTTAAATTTTATTATATAATAATTAAGGTGAAGTGGGGTTAATGTAAACGAATGGGGTAATTGTAAATTCATTTTTCCTACAGTATATTTAGTCAATTTTATTTTAGATTAAAAAATGTTGAATAATATTTTTATTATAAAACTCAAGCATTAGCAGTTAGACAAAAAATATTAATTTTGTTTTGTTATAAGTCAAATATATAATAATGATTTATATGATAACCAGAATGGCTTAAATATTACATTAAATAAATTAATTTAGGACATTTAGAACATATAAATTACTTTTCATAATGGTAAAAGTTAAATTTCAAAAAAGTTTTCAAAAATCCATATCTTACATTTTTTTTACACAATTATTAGTTATAATAACTATTGAATGTAATTATCATTTTTATCAAATATCTATATTTTATAAGTCAATATATAATTAATGAATTATTCAAAATAATAATTTATAAATAGATAATTAATGATAAAAGGTAATAGTAAAAATAAAAAATTGTGGGTAAAATATTAACTGTATTTATATCAAGGATATGTTAATTATTGTAAGAGTTTCTACTAAAATGTCCGTTAATCTTTTAATCACTTAATTTAACAAAGATATACTGATATGTAAGTATAAATGTAAACTAGATACAATTCAGAAGATAATAAATTATTAATCAATCACATCTATAAATCATCCTCTAAATATCAATCTAAACAATACTTAAATCACAAATTTCTACATATTAAAGGATGCCAATCCACCCTAATGTTTTAGCTGTTAAATGTTTTCTTAATTTAGCAATAGTAATACTTTGATAAATATTTAATTACATATTATACAGTGTGTTAGAATAAATTACATAATTAAATAATCAATTAATTTAATTTAAAATTAGAAAATTATTGTAGTAATATTAGTCTAGTTATTTTTTTATTTATTATTTTTTGATATATGATAAAAAATTGAAAGTATATTAGTAATATTTATAGTCCTAAATAAAAACTAATAATAATGAGTAATTTATTTACTTACATTGATGACAACTGTTGATTTCCGGATATAGTATTTAAAACGCCAAAATGGGCGAGATCATAATACAACAGCAAAAGATAAAAACTAAAACAATTACCACTTGTAGTCAGACTAAAATAAACCGTAGAGAATCAGTTATAAACAAAAACACCCACTTGAAACTCACACTAAAAATTTAGATTACAATAAATTATTTGATTACACTATGGAGCTAAATCTTCCTTTTCACTCGTATTGTTATTATGAATGAGTTACGAAAACAGACATTCGGAAGATTATTAAGAGTTGTCAATCCGTATGTGTGAACAGGTTGTGTGCTACAATAGACATGAAAAATTGTGTGGTCATCGCATAACTCAAGTTTCTTATCATTATCAGCTGTTTATCTAGTTATTATGATAATTTTATTGTTTAGTTTTATTTTTTAAACATTTCACATCTGGTATTTTCTTACGAGACGTTATCAACATTTATTTATTATTATCAGTTATTATTATAAAAGTATTTATAAATTGTACATAAAAAACTTTAACTTTCTTATAAGTGATCCAATCTTGTAATTGACTATTATTATGAGCTTATTGTTTTTTCATTTTACTGTATATATTATGATCCATTTTATTCCTTTTTAAGACAACCAAGTGCAATCAATAAAATTTTTCTTATTAAATTATTATAATACACATTTAGTAAAACTATTTATTATAAAAAACGATAACAGGTTATTTAATCTTGTAGAAGCACGCATTGGTTGATTGAGTTGAATAACTGTTCCACGTGATTTTTTTTTTATTAGGACTAAGCTATAGCTTTACTAATATATTGAATTTGTCTAAATATAATAAAATGGAATTTTATCCAATATTGGAAGGATTATCTCGTAAAATTCTTACTTTAACTATGATAATTCGAGATGATGAAATTTTGTTGGGAATGAAAAAACGTGGTCTTGGAATGGGTAAATGGAATGGTTTTGGAGGTAAAGTAGAGCTTAATGAATCAATTGAAGAAGGTGCTATACGGTATAAAAATTGGTTACTAAATTTTTTCATTAAAAAAAAATGTTTAATTTAAACTTTATTTTTAGTGAAGTTAAAGAAGAATGTGGATTAGATGTAATATTTATGGAAAAAATTGGAATTTTAGAATTTGATTATATTGATTCGAAAGAATTACTTGAAGGACATGTTTATATTTGCTCACAATTTTCTGGAAATATTGTTGAAACGGAAGGTTAAGAAATATTTACAGTAATATGTTTGAATTTACCTAACTTTAAATTTCTTTAGAAAAAAAATGAATGATAACTTATGGACCAGTATTTTGTAAGTTACTGACGTTTTAATACCTATAAGTATTATAAAAAGCCCAATAACGTCTCACCTATAGGTGAAAGAAAGAGTGCAACCTGGAGATGACTAATGATAAAAATAATAACACCTACATCTTGCCTCCAACCATCATTATAAAATTTTAAAAATCTTCAAAATGCTGGTCCAGAACTAGTATTTTTAGAAGCGAAATGCGGATATTGTTATTTTTGTCACTAGTCATTTCCCAACTGTACTATTTCTCTTGTCTAGGTATAAAAATATCAGCAATTTCCGAAATCCTGTTCCAAAAGTTGTTATCGATCAGTTATTTATTTAATTTGATCACTATCTGTTAAATAAACTAGTTAATTATGTATGTTGTCATTTGTAAAATAAAGTTGATACCCTCGTAAGAAGGGTTATTTATATTAAAATTGAACAGCCTTTCTCAATGAAGAATCACTATGTATATATTTATAAAGTCTAGAATTAAAGTGTTATAATACATCAACAATTTTATCTATTTTTTATATTTACCTAACTTTAAATATTTTTTAAATGGTAAGTAATATTTTTTTAAATATAAAATCGTGTATTTTTATTATTTTGGTGATTCTCAACTCAATTTCTAAATTTAATAGTGAGAATTTTTAAATAACTGATTTAGTTTTAAAATAGTTACCCTTTCTTTAGATACCAAATAGCAACACTTAGTGCCATGTATTGATTAATAATTGCTAGTAACTTACCTTTATATTTTAGAAATGACACCAAGATGGTTTAAAATTATAGATACACCTTTTGATACAATGTGGATTGATCATAAATACTGGTATCCATTATTATTGAAAAAAATACCTTTCAAAGCTTATTTTAAGTATAAAGGACATGACAAAATTTTAGATTATAATATCACTCTATTGAATTCTCAAAGTAAATTTAAGACTAAATGTATAAGTATTATACTAAAAAGAAATTCTAAAATATTTTACTGTAAAAAAAACCAAAAATGGACATGTTTTAGTTGGGTACATGAAAAAATGACAGAAAATCAAAGTTTTGAAAAAATTATTGAAAGGTAATAATAATAACTATAATAATATAAATGTAAAGAATTTACATTAATTAATTCATGTTTTCATTATAGATATTTTAGTAATTCTTATGAAAAAGTTTTAAATAAAATACATAAAATAGCTGTAGTCAATATTGAGCTTATTGATGAAAATTTTATATCGGAGACAACTGTTTATATAGTAGATATGTCTGATTTATCAGATGTAGTACAAGTAAATGGTAAATACATGAAGAACCTTCAAAATAGCTTAAATTATTTGGCATTAAAAAATTAAAAATTAACAGAAGTTGTATGTTATGTTTTTCAAGGTTATGAATGGTTAGATATAAATGATATATCAAGAGGATCTCAATGGCCAGATATACAATTTTTACAAACCATATTTCAATCAAAATCTTTTGGAGCTTATTTTTTAATTAACACGGAAAATGTACTATTTAGTAAATACTATGATTTATGATGTTTAATATATTCTTATTAAACTTCTATTTATTTAATTTTTAATCCAAGCTAATTGTCTTTTTTTTTCATTTCACTCTACAGTAGCTGTACATCCACTGCTTAACTGTTGTAGATTATAGATTGTAGTAGAAAAATACATATACATATAATATAAACATTTATTTTCTGTTATAAAAATAACATTTTATTTTTAAACATACCTATTCATCAGTCATTGTAAATTATAAAATTATTTTATTAAATTTAATACTAAATTTTATTTGTAGATTTTTAAGTAAAATTCTATTTGTGAACATTATTTTTTCAAACTAATTGATACTAATTTTACTATAGCACTCCTGATATTTGGTATTTGGTCTAATAAGTATTGATCAGCAGACTTAGGATCATCTTCTGCTTCCATAATAGCATCATCTAAACGCATTGTAATTAAAGACATATCCAGTGTATTAAAATAACATTCATTGTTATCATCAATAAATAGAAGAACATCAAGAAGCAACCTAAGCCTGAAACTAATTTTAAAGAAGAATGTTATGTCATAAGCAAATATCATTAAAAAAATTATTTTATTACTATTTTGGACATATATTTGACTTCAATAGTTCTATATATAATAACGCTGCTTCAATTAATGAATTGTTTTTTATAAATTTGATAAACTGCAAGTATTTACCTAAAAAATATTGTGATGTGCATTAACCAACATACATTTTATAAAAGTTCAGTAAAATTTACCAAGGAACATAAAACGATCACAAGTAAGGACAATAGAACCAAGATTTTCTAGAATATCAGGACAACTAAATTGACCTCCCTTTGAGTATTCATTTAAAAATATATTTGCAATATGAGTAGCAAATGCACTATCTTGACCTCTTATAGCCCAACATAGAGCTTCCCCTATTCTAGATTTTTGTAGGCTCAACATTCCTTTTACCTTACATATACTTGACACTAAAACAAAATATATTTTAACATAAATATAAAATCACATTTGTTATAGTTTAGTTTCTACACACAAATATTTGTATGATATTAAACAAAAGAGTTTAAATATTACATGTGCACAGAAGACCAAGATTAAGAAATTATATTTATAAAAATAAAATTGTCAATATTGAATCAATTATTGGTACAATCAATTATACAAATAGGAGTAATTAAATTGATAAACTAAATGGTACCTCAGACATCAAATAAATTATTAGTAATATGTGCAATCTGAAGTAAAATGGAGGGAGGCTTAGATGCTATAAAAATTAATTGTTTTTAAAAAATAAATGTATTATGAAGAAAAGAGAGAAAAATTAGTTATATCTCACAAACATCTATGATTGTTAAACATCTATGATAACTAAAATATTTTAGGTAATGACAAATGATTAAGCACATGCAAAAAGTCCTTAATATCATTTTCAGCTACAACTAGCTAATTATAGATTCTTATTTAATGGTGTAAAGGTGTTAAGGTGTCTTTATGCTTTTTGTTATAATGGAACTTATTTATATATTCCTTGAGCTAGAAAATAGGTTTATTCCTGAAGTAAAGTCCATTTTTAAATGAATTTTATTAGTATTATCTTAAAAATAATTTTTTAATTAACATAAATATTATCTTAAATTTAAAATTTTTACACTTCTGTAAAAGGGATCTAAGATAATGCAATAATTATTATTGTTTATTTGAACTGTATATTTATAACCACGGTGTAAAAGCAATTTATACACAAATTTAATACAATTATTTAAAAAATAAAAATTTTAATTTGTAATCCTTAACTTCTAATATTGAATAGATAGGTTATTTGTTTTATATTGGCAAATAATAATTAATCAGACATAAGAAAATTTTTTATTGATTCACCCTTGAATACAAACTTTGTATTTTTTTTGTTTTAACTTAAGATTGATATTATTAAATAGGACACAGAAATTCCCGATTATGATAAAAAATTTAAAAGAAAAGTTATTCTCAGAGAGCACTAGTTGCAAAGTTACTCCCTTGTAAAGTATTAAATTGATAGATTTTTAAAGTGGTATAATTGTCTAATATTTCAGTAATTACTTAAAAAGTTTCAAGAAAAAAGTGAACTTTGTTTTATTATTTATTATTATTTTTTTTTTTACAGAAATTAACTACTTTTGCGTTATTGTTAAGTTTACTAAACAAAAAAACTTAACAATAACACAAAAAAAAAAAAAAATTTGTCTAATTAAATTAAAATTAAAACTATATTAAAAACAGTGGTGACGTGACATAGTTGGATCAAGTATAATAATATCTGACAGTGATTAAAATCACTATAAAAAAAACCGCTTTGATGCAAATCTTTAGATAGTGTTTAATTTTGTTTAAAATTAGTGGATTATTCTAAAAGCTACATGATCTGCTATCTCCTTATTTATATCGTGATTAAGATAAAGTAAAAAAGGGATATAAATATTATTTCTCATAAAAAAATTGTGTTTATCCATAAACTTTTCAATAAGTTATAGCATTATTAAGTTAAAAATGTAAAATATAAAATCGAGAATTTCCACACAAAAATAGCAATTGGTAGCCATTTTCACCACGAAGACAAAATAAAGTCCGAAATTTTTTTTCCATAAAATATATTACATAAGCTTTAATTTAAGGTATATATAAAAGTGTTAGTACACTTTTAAAAGTTAAGTTGAAAAAGTTGTCATTTCCCCTACTGTGGGCAGGCAAAGGGTCAGATTTATAAAAAAAATATACCAAATGAAAGGTAAAGACATCATTCATCTATAAAATTTTTTTTATTGATTTGTTTATTTTTAAGAATGTTATGGCAGTTTTAAGAGAAAAAAATTGAAAAAATGTCAAAAATAAGCGATTTAGTAAATTTTTTATTTTTTTGGAGATTTCCCTAATTTATGGGGAACGAGGGAAATTTTTTCAATTTTTGAGGGTAATATCTTCGACTAGTTACGGTTTGTGTTCTTTTGACGTATCGTTGAAAGAAATCGGTTCGGTGAGCGCTGAAAAAAAGTGGTAGCAGACACAAAAAAATAAAGGCATCATAGTAAAACCAATACCTTCTCACCTTCGAATCGAAGCTAAAATATGAAACTAAATGAAAGAAAATATATATCAATATTGTATTTATTTTTTATTAATTAAATAAAATATAAAAAATGTATGTCAAGGATTAAAGAATCACCAGATTATATTATTCTAACAAATTCTAACAAGTATTTTAAATGAAAGTGATGAGAAATAATGTATCAATCAAAAGTTAAAAGATTTATGAGAACATTGTATACTAAAGTTGCCCCTAAAAAAAATTTTTGTTTTTTAATTTGACTACTAGAAAACTTCTGAATTTTTATTTATACTAATGAAAATGAGCTTTGTAATATGTAATACAGATATAATAAGATTAATATGTACCGAAAACCTTATAAAGATAAATAAAATTGTTACATACATTTGAATTATTATTTTGTTAATATAACTTAACTTTATTCACTTCACACATATGAATAAATATTTTATCAAATAATTACTTACCAACATTATATAATCGTCTAGCAGTAGCATAGTGTAATATTTTTGAGACTCTTAAATCAGATAATATTTCTAGTTTTAATAGCAAAGTTGAAATATATTCTTTTCCAATAGATGAACAATTATCTAAGTATGTTATACCTGATTGCCATAAAGAATGATGGGACATTAAAAATGTACCATAATCAAGCAGATATTGTTCGTTTGGGCTGATATTATTTCTAAAAATTTTAAAACGTTATTACAAAAATAAATAATAAAATAATTACAAAGTTTATTCACTTGTGTTCAGGTACATCAAAATCAGGTTCAATTTTGTCGCATAAATGTAACAAGTTAGTTAAATGTGTGGATGACCATCCTGAATCAGGATAAGCTTTAAGTTTCTTCACAAACTGCAATTAAATTAATATTTACTGAACACCAATACTAATAATTCCCCAAGTTTAAGTTACACTATGTATTTCTATATAAAATATTTATTATCTTTAAATAAACAAATCTTACTGCCTCTAAATCACCATCAAATAAGTTTAAAGTAAGAGAATCCATAAGATTATATTCAGGTTTATCATAATATTTTGCAATACTACGATGAGCATATAAGCTTAGGTTATGCTTTTTTACAGTTGGTTCAGTGTAAATCAGTTGAGCAACAAAAAATTCAAACCAAGTTGAACAACTTTTATGGATTAAATTAATACAATCAGGATCTCCACAAACAATCTATCATAAAATATATATATAATATGAATGTTTTTATAACATAAATATATGTAAATTATAAACCCAACCCAACTTAAAAATGAATTATACTTTACTTTCATAATATTATTGAGGTTGGAATCTATTAGAAACATTCCAGAGTCTAGTTTATTTTTGGCACTAAATTGCCATCCCTTAAATCTTGATGTATATTCTGCAATTGGAAGCCCACCATATACCTAAAAAAATACTTTCAATAATTCTTCTGTAATGATGATTTTAATTATAACACAAAGCATATTTCTATACTAACACTATAAGTAGGCATAGACTTGAGTATTTTCATAGCATGAATAAATGGTTCTGTATTACTTTGGGAATGATTGCATAATAACATTCTGACTAAGTCAATATTTCCTTGTAATATTAAGCCAATAACTGTCTCCCAATAATATGGAAATTTATCCTCAACACGTTCATCAGTGAAATATGCCGTTTTGTCTTCAATAATAGTTAAAGCTTGGTTTTCTGATTTTTCATAATGAATTTTTATCCAATCTAGTAGATTATTCAGGATCGTATCACCTATTTGAAATTATATAAAAATTCAACTAGCATTATTTTTAAATGGTAAGGTTATTTTTTAAAGTATGTCTAGATAAGGTATTTGTGAAAATTTTCAAAACATTATAATTATACAACAAAAAAATTAAATAAAAAAAAATTTTGTGATTTGAACAATGATTATTTTGAGGGATTTCTCCCATTTGTGGAGAATGAGACAAACATTTTCAAAGGTAAATGATTTTGTAATTTTTTAACACTTCAATAAGCAAAATTAGCCCTGTAAGAGTTGTGATAAATATAGATACACACAAAAAAAATTAAATTAAATATGGGGTGTTTCACTTAGTTTTGACACCTTTAATAACTTTTGATCCAGTGAATATTTTATGCAATTTTTATTTTTAATAATTTATACAGTTTTAGACTATTTAAAAATATAATTTTTCTCTTATTATTAATATTATTATTTATTATAATTATTATTATTTGTCTCTAATAAAATAAAAATATATTCAACATTTCAAAATATCTGATTTTTTAGAGCTTTACTTAAAATAAATTTTGATGTGTAGATAAAAATTTGATGATAAGTATTTATTGAGTTAAAAGTACTTTAATACATAAAGTAAGTATGTAGTACAAGTGGGTATAACTCATACTGGTGTATATTAATAATGCTTATTCTTGATGACTAATAATTGATCGATTGTTATAGACCAGTCATTTTCAATTTTACAAGCTAATTAAATATGTATGTTACCCTAAGATACAACGGATGAACATAAAAAATATAGCAAAAAAAAAAAAAATTACTAATTAAATTAATAATATTTATATATTATAAAATCTATAGATACATAAGCAACTCATAAAAAATAAACAAACAATTTACAAAATAATTATTTTAAGAATAATTGAATGGTTAGTGTTAAAAGAATTGTAATAGGTGCATTTTGTATTATAACCAATATAAATACCTAGTGGGTTAATTTGGATTGAAGCATATCACAAAAAAATGTATTATTTAAAAATTTTTACTCCCTAAGAGCATATGTCTAGATACCAGATAAGATGTCTTTTCATAAAAAAAAAAAAAAATTACATCAAAATAATTATTGAAGCAAAAAATATAAGAGTTTTAAATTAGATTTTTTTCATTCTGTATATACATAAATAAACACATCATTGTAAAATCAATCAGTTTTGCAGCTATGGTTTCATGCCAAAAAAAATTATCTTTAAAAAACTTAAAGTTCATTTCAAAAAAATTTATGAAGCAATAAAAATTTTACCTGGAACAACAACTAGGTAAAGAACTTCACACAAATGCCAAATAAGTTCCAAATTATGCAACAACAGTTTATACTGGTTGTACATATCATTTGTTTTCTCTATGTTACTCTTTTCTATATTCATTATACAAGTTGATATGATTGCTCTGTAAAATTTAATTTATGTTACATTAATACATAGTTTTATTCACTTAAAATTGATATAAATATAAATACACAGGTACAAATAGAAAAATTTAAATGGAGAATATATTTACATAGTGACGACACAAAAAATAAAAACATCATGGTACAATTAACACCTTTTAGGCTTTACATCGAAGCTAAATAATGCTATCAGAGTAATGTTAGGGGATGGTAAGTTCAAATAAAAGCTATATTAATATTTTAAAATTAAAAATAAGATATTATACATTTGAATGGTTTCTGTTTGGAGAAGTACTGAGTAATCTATTTAGGAATAAACAAAGGAAGGGCCAGAATGAGGGGAGTTGGTTTAGTACTACATAAAACATAAATTTAAAAAGTTAAAGGATAAATTCAATACAGTGATAGAATCATGATAACTATGATAGATACTAAACTAAAGGATACAGTGATTATAAAAATGTATATGTATACTACAGAAGTGGAAAACATTTATGAAAAGCTAAGCAATATGATAAACACAACATACAGAGAGGAAAATCTTATCATCCTCCGAGATTTTAATGCCAGTGTCGACGAAGTAAGAAAATCAAATATAGTTGGAAAATATGGATTAAGAGTAAGAAATACAAGAGGCGACACTTTTATAGAGTTTTGCATAAAACATAAATTATCTATAACAAATACACATTTCCAACACCACAAAAGAAGGCACTATACTTGGAAAGCTTCCGGTGATACAAGACAGTTACAAATAGACAGTGTTGGGAAAGTTCCTTTTTAAATGGAACTCGTTCCGTTCCTCGTTCATTTTCTAAAATATGAATTCGTTCCAGATCCTAGTTCTTTATATTAAGAAGGAACTTGTTCCAGATCCAGTTCCTCCAAAATAAGAACTCGTTCCACTCTTCGTTCCTTTTATGTAACCAAGTTATTTAAAAAATTGTGGCAATGAGATCATGATAACGGTCATCAATGATTTTCATCAGCAGTCAAATACAAAACAAATTTGTTGTATTCCTTATCTAAATGTATTCGAAAATTATATTTATATGCAGATAGTAAATGCTAACGAATTGTGTCAACGCGACCAATGTCTATTGTCTACATATAAGTTAGAAATAATAAATCAGAAAACCCAAAACCTTCAACATATATTAGTTAACAAGAAACGACGATAATATTCGGTGCAGTATTTAATATATGTACACATATATTAAATATTTACTGTATACCTACATGTAATAATAACTCTATTTATAGTCAATTGATTCATTTAAACAGACTACGATCTCGGCTTGGTATATAGGGGACTTCCATTATCAAAAGTCAACTAAAAATACCTTAATATTTTAATGTTAGATACAAAGAAAACTACACTAAAACATGTTTATAAAAATTTTTAGGAACTGTAATTTCCATTCACGTTCCTTAAAAAATGGAATTTGTTCATTTTCCTCATTCCTTTATTTTAAAAGGAAGCAATTCCTAGCATCGTTCCTTCAAAAAGAACTCGTTCCAGGAATCCGTTCCTTTTGGAACTAGTTCCTTCTCAACACTGCAAATAGACTATATATAATTATCAGGGAAGATTTAGAAATCAAGTAAAAAACAGCAGGAACTACTCAGGCGCAGATATTGACAGGAACCACAATCTAGTATTAACGCATTGCGATCTAAAATTTAATAAATTACAAAGAAAGAGAAAGAAATCGCCCAAGCCAAATTTAAAAAATGAGACCATCAGAGAATAATATAAGGAAAAAATAAACAAAGCCATGAGAATACATGATACAAGATGTCAACAATGTAGAAATTATAGGCGGAAACATAAATCTGCTAAAAGAGTATGAACAAGTAATAATGTAGTAGAAATAATAAATGAAAGGTTCAAAAAATGGAAGCTCAACCTAAAACCAAGTAAAAGCGTAACTAAAATGTTTACTCTTAAAATGTACAACAATCCTCCAAAGATCCAGATTGAAAATGAGGACATTAATTGGAACAGCAAAGACGACTTAATTAAATATCTAGGTATATCATAATTAAATGAAAAACTAAATTGGAAAATCCACATAAACAAAAAATTGTCCCAAAGTTACAACAGAATCAGAATTCTATAACCGCATTTTAACCAAAAATCAACTCTCCAAATTAAATTATCACTTCTTTTGCACACATTAATAATACAACCATTGATCACCTATGCTTGTCCTGTTTGGACTTCAGCAATCATTACAAAAATTGAGAAATTGTATACATTTCAAAACAAATTTTTAAGAATGTCTCAAAATGCCATGGTTTATATAAAACCGTCAAATATACAATGACACAGATAACTATTCCTTACAGATTGGATGAAAGAAAAGTTCAAAAATTTTCATTCATAAGAAAATCAAAAATACTAACGGTGCGAAGTATCACTACATTAGAAAGAAAGCGCCTGGCCATAAACATCTAAAAAAAAATAATAATTTAGGCTTAAAAAATATATATTAAATAGTATAAAAGTGGATAAAAAAAAAAAAATTAAGTTATATATATCATTTTTTTAATAAATCAGTTTTTCTTTGTCTTTGAAAATAGACAAAATATAGATATGTGAAATCACTGTTAAGTTACCAATTTGCTAAACGGAGTGGCAAATCAGGTAAGGCACTCATTTTTTCACCCTTTTATTTTATTTATTTATTTATACTTATCAGTAAAAATAATCAAATTTTTTTACAATACCTATATTTTCTACTATAATATAAGGCATCGGTTGATTTATTTGGGTCATCCACATTTGTTTGAAGCTCTTGAAACACTCCGCTTGACTCATTCACCAACTGTCTCATTTTTGGATCAAAAAGCATTGTTTTATGTTTTAAATGTATAATATTCCAGTTACAAGTTTTGTTACTAGGTGTTTCATGGAGTATTTTTGTTTTTGTTGGAAATACACAAATATTGTTCATACCAAACCATGATCCAAACATTTTAACATTTTCATCTTTAAATTCTGGATCAGGTATTATCTGGAAGATAATTTTTTTTATTAATATTTCAACAACTATAAAACTTTTATAATTCAAAACATAATTGTGACAAATAAATAATTTACAGTAATTAAACAATACGAATACATAAATTTAATTTAAATTGATATTAAACTAGATATTATTTTTAAGGCAAAAATGTTAATATTTGATGGAGCCTCAGAATTAATATAGATGTTAATTTAAAAAAAGTTTTTAAAAAATAGTCCTTTCTTAAAAGAGGATTTTTGTTTTATTTGTATCATAACTGACTTTGATAACATATCGACTGATATAATCAATGCTCATTGTATTGATCCTATTATTGTAGATACATTTAGTAATATTGTATTTAATGATAGCAAACTATCTGTATTTCCTTTATTATTAATATTATAAATTAAAGCTCATTTTGATGAATAAATTTATTTTAAGTTCTATTCATAGTAAGTTATATGTAAATCTTTTAAATGAAATTTGGTTGACAGATGAATTTTTCTATTGAAGGTAATTGTTATTTTTATTCTTGTAGTGTCTTAAGTAAAGCTCATGTAATTGTATATGTTTTTCTCTTAATAATTTTAATATTATAAATGTTAGCAAAATAGTTATTCCCAATTGTAATTGTTTAAAACTAATTGTTTATTTTTTTTTTTAGAAAATTATTTTGATAATACTAATGATAATTGTATTAAGCAAGCAAATTTTTGTGGAAATTTAATATTGATATTGCTTCTAATTATCCATCTATTACAACTATTAATTATTTAAATATTATGACACAGCTTAGTTTTTAATAACAAGGTTTGGTTGGGTTGGTTTTAGTTTTTTCTTTCAAACTGCTTTAAATAAGCCAAAATTGTACCACACTTCAATCTTATATAGTGAACTTAATATGTATAATTTAAAAGCATTATATTATAAAAGTATTTTATTGTATTTGTCTAAAACTAATTTGGCTGAATATCGACCAATTAATTCTTATAATACTAGATTAAAACAATTATTTAATTTTAATACTGTTAAATGTAATAAACGGTTTGGTAAATTTAATTGTATTTATGTTGGTATAATGATATGAAATAAATTAAATATAAATCTTGAAAAATTAAAAAATAAATTCTATTTTAAAACTTTCTTAAAATTCTTCAATAATATAAAATGAAGTTGATGTATTAAAATTTTTTAAATTATATTAATTTAGTATGCAAATACATTATTTATATTTGTATATATATTTTTTCATATATAGATTTTATTACGTATGATGAAAGAAAAGATCAATTTTACATCCTTTTATTTCTTAAACTTAACATGCTACATAGGGTAGTGGCCTTATTTCACATATTAGGGAGTCAAAGATGATTCATGATAGAGAGGATGGGTATTAAGGCCGGCATGCACCAGAAACCAGACACTATCAATAAAAAATTTACAAGAAAATTCTTGTTGGCATCCTGAGAATTGAACTTGGAACCAAGTGCTCCAAAACATAATTTTTATTTACTAGGCCATGCCGACCCTATACATTTTATCATGTATAATTTAATATAGTATTATGAAATTTCTTAGTTATTATTACTCACATACCCAAGGCAAAATCTATGCTTTTTTTGAGAGATGCCATTTATTATATATTTTTATTTGTTGTAATGTTAATCAGTTTAAATAAATATTATTATTATTAAAAAAAATTGATTTTTGTGCTAAATGAATACTATGGTCAAGAAAGTATACCCTAAATTCTAGAACTATTCATAGACATTAACAATGGACTGGGCTTTAACTATTATCAATAATTTCATCATTTATTTAGTGTTTGTAAATTAAGTATGGTCAACACTATACTAGAAATATGTTTATATGAGTAATTACACCATATTTTAAGGTCTATAAGATGTTGCAAATTTGAGAAGTAAAATATTTATCTAAGGTGATGTTTGAATAATTACTTACTGTTTGGTAGTTTTACTTTCAATTATTTTTAAATACTAAAAATCCTTAGAAAAAAACATATTAATCTAACTTATTCATTATAATTTGCTACTATCAGAGAGTCCCAATGATTAATACTGATTAATTTATGGAATTTACAGTTTTTTCATGATATGTCTATGATAATAACTGGTCAATGAATTTTTATTGGTTCTTAAATAAAATTGATACTCTTGTGAAAGTTGGTGATCTGGAAAACTTAAAATATGCTAAAACCTTTAAAAAATGAAAAATTTTCTTTTAAAAAGTACTTTTCAAACAATTTGGATCTACATTATAAGAAATGAATTTATGAATTTGAATATTAAAGTTACTCCTAAAATACATGCTGTTTTCTTTCATATGTCATACTTTTATGCTAAAATAAATAGATGATAGCAAACAAGCTATTGAATAAAGGCATTATGATGTTTCATTGATAAAAATATTTTCATTTGTCTTGGTATATAAGTACCAGGAGTTTGTTTCTGTTAATCTGAGCTATGTAGATATTTTGCAACATTTCTGCAAAAAGATTTGAGAAGTTCTGACTTATTTATTGAAATTATTTCAGGACCACATGTCTTTCTCATCTTAAGATTTTAATCATTTATTTTTTAATTAAATAATTTAAATAGTTAATATCAAAAAAATTAAAAATGTTGAATGAGTCATGCAATTTATAAAACTGTTTCAGTCAGTACTATGATTATTATATATATATTATGTTAAATAAATGTATTTTATCGTTCACCTATTCGTATACTAATATATAAACGACTTACAAGTGTATCATATACTATAGTCTTACTCATTTTTATAAAATCAAATGAAACACTTAATTTAATCAAAATAATTAATAATGAATTAATAAACTGTACAGTTGTACTTAACGCTATAACAAAATACTTTACGAAGCATTAGCTTGAATTATTACTTGATTTCGGTTTAAATTACTAGTTGGTTTTAAAGCATTATCAACGTTTATTCAGTACTTAGCTCTAATCACTAGAATAATAACTTATTGTTTTATCCATGATAATTTAAATACAATTTTGAAACACCTTTGCTACGAACTGATACTGCTCCGGCATTTATATAATTCAACATTTGACAAAATGGTAATTGTTCTGGTATTTTGACCATTGGGTACCATAACCACAACAAAATTAACTCTGACATAAGTAAAATAAAGAAATAAATAAAACGTGGTAGTTTTTATCACGTTTTATTTACTTTACTAGCATTATTGATAGTAATTTTTTTTTATATTAAAAAACGGTAGCACAGTGGGGTCGCGGCATAGTAGAGACATTGCATAGTAGGGTCCAGTATAGATTTAATCTGACAGTGATTAAAATCACTATCATAAGAAACGCTTCGATGCAAATCTGTAGATAGTGTTTAATTTTAAAAAATTGATGGATAATTGCAAAAGCAACATCAACTTCTATTAAAATAAAATACAAAACCCATAATTATCATACAAAAATAGTATATTTTTCAATATGGTAGCCATTTGCGTATAGAAGATAGATCGTCGGGACAAATTTTTTTTTTTCATTTTGTAGTACATAAAATAAGCTTTAATTTTATATATGTTTAAAGGACGCAGTATTTCCGGAACATTTTCAAAAATTAAGTTGAAAAAGTTATTTTTTGTAAAAAAGTTACTATTTTAAATCCTCCCAGTGAGCAGAATAAGTGTTAGATTTTCAAAAAAAATTATATCAAATGAAAGGGAAATATCTAAGGTTTCAATACAAAAAAATATTATTTTTATTTGTTCATTTTTGAAAAAGTTATGGCAGTTTTAAGTACAAAAAACATCCCGATAAAATGTAATTTTTATCGCAAACATTACATTTTTTTTTAAATTTTCGACAGCCATTTGCACATAGAAGATAAGATGTCGGGACAAATTTTTTTTTTTCATTTGATAGTATATAACATAACCTTTGATTTGATATATGTTTAAAGGACGCAGTATTTCCGGAACATTTTCAAAAGTTCAGTTGAAAAAGATCTATGTTTTTTACAATATTTTAAGTTTTGAACGCCCCCTATATAAGGGGAAATTGTCCAATTTTAATAAAAAGTATGTCAAATGAAAGATGTACTTATAATGTATTTAGAAAAAAAAAATTTGTGCTGATATATACATTTTTCAAAAAGTTATAGCATTTTTAAGTTGAAAATTTAAAATCGAAAATCGAAAATTTTAACACAAAAATAGTGTTTTTTTAACTACGGCAGCCGTTTAAATGTAGAAAAAAAAGTGTCGGGACAAATTTTTTTTTTTCATTTTGTAGTACATAAAATAAGCTTTAATTTGATATATGTTTAAAGGACGCAGTCTTTCCGGAACATTTTCAAAAATTAAGTTGAAAAAATTAATTTTTGTAAAAAAGTTGCCATTTTAAATCCCCCCCAATGAGCAGGTTAAGTGATAGATTTTCAAAAAAATGATATCAAATGAAAGGTAAATATCTAAGGTTTTAGTATAAAAAAAAATTATGTTGATTTGTTGATTTTTCAAAAAGTTATGGAAGTTTTAAGAAAAAAAAGTGAAAAAATTTCGAAAATTAGCGATTTTTAAATTTGTAATTTTTTTGGATATTTCCCCCATTTGCGGGGAACGAGGGAATTTTTTTCAATTTTTAAGGGTAATGTCTTCAACTAGATACGATTTGTGATCTTTTGACGTATTTTTGAAAGAAATCGGTCCAGTGAGAGCTGAGAAAAAGTGGCAACAGACATAAAAAAAAAAAAAAACACATCATAGTAAAATTAATACCTTCTCCGCTTCGCATCGAAGCTAAAACACATTTTATCTGAATACAAATTATACATATATAAATAGTAAGATATTATAATAAAATAGCCAAAATAAAAAACTTTTTTGACAGTGTTTTTGTGTGTTGCTATTGTTCCAAGATGATCCTCGTTTGAATAACTTTTAGTTTTGTCAAGATCTAATCGTTCTCGATTAGGTAGGGACAATATCGATCTAGAACCTTGAAAGTCTCAGAGTTAATTTTTCTGAATGATCACTGACAATTTCCTTAGTGGTCAAACGAGGAAAAAAATATCAAATATAATGGGGGCCTCCTGAGCCCGCATTCAATTTGAGAACGAGTTATAAACAAACAATATTTTGTAAGACTCATCGGTTCCTTTTGCTGACCTTAATCATAAAAATTTATATTTTAAATTTTCTGAACTTGATAATTTCAAAATTAAACAAATTTTTCTATAAACTACTTATATTCTGAGTAACCCATATAGCTTTAGAAATTACGCGTTTAAATTAATAAGAATTACATTAGAATCTTATGTTTATTCTAATTAAAAAAAAAAAATACTTCTTTTTGTTCTTCATTGAAATCAAAATATTTTTTTCAATTACTGAAGTTATTGAATCTAAATGAGTTAAACATTTTTTTCTAACTCAAAATCTTTTTTAATTACTTAAAATAAAATAAAAAAAAACCGAGAAATATAACACAAAAATAGCATATTTTTGAATACTGTAGCCATTTTCACCATGAAGACAAACTTAAGTTCAAAATTTTTTATTACACTTTAAAGTATATTACATAAGCTTCAATTTAAGATATATATAAAAGTGTCAGTATTTCCGAAACACTTTCAAAAATTTAGTTGATAAAATTATTATTTTGAATCCCCTTCTGTGGGCAAGTAAATGGTCAAATTTACAAAAAAATATAAACTAAATGATAGGTAAATATCTAATATATATATATATACAGGGTGATTTTTTTATCATAACCCACTCAATTATTCGCAGAATAATAATAATTTAAACCTTTTTTTGTTTTATTATCTTTAGTTACACATTATTCTTGAATTTTTAACTATGTAATACTTTTTAAGTTCATCCCTTATGCCTTGGATGGGGGTCAACTTTGTTTTTTTAAATGGTAACACATATTTTTAATTTAATAAAATGTTTGAGTTTTTAATTTAATAGTAAATGGCATTTGAATTTTTAATATAACTTTATTAGCTTATTAGATATAAACATTTAAAGTTTCAAAATTTTGAGTTAATATACATGTATAATACACATGGGATTGTAAATACAGGTAGCTAATTGGATTTTTATGACATTGCTGTCTCAGTCACGGATTGTTTATTATCAATTATGATTATCAATAGATATACTTTCTGTATTGTCAGTTAGTGTATTTATAAACTCATAACAATGTGCCTTACTACAATTGATAATAACAATGCTGTGTACCTGCTAATATCGATGTTATAAAAAACCAATTAGCTACCTGTATTTGTAATCCCTTGTGTATTATACCTGTATATTAATTCAAAAATTTGAAACTTTAAATGATTATATCTAATAAACGAATTAAGTTATATTAAAAATTCAAATGCCATTTACTATTAAATTAAAAACTCAAACATTTTATTAAATTAAAAATATGTGTTACCATTTAAAAAAACAAAGTTGACCCCCTTCCAAGGCATAAGGGATGAACTTAAAAAGTATTACATAGTTAAAAATTCAAGAATAATGTGTAACTAAAGATAATAAAAAAAAAAAATGTTTAAATTATTATTATTCTGCAAGTAATTGAGTGGGTTATGATAAAAAAATCACCCTGTATATTAAAAAAAAAATTGTCTATTCATCTATTTAAACAAAAAATGTAATGGCAGTGTTAAGTAAATAAAAATGTCAAAAATTAGTGATTTTTAAATTTGTAATTTTTTTGGATATTTTCCTTAATTACAGGGAACGAGGGAAATTTTTTCAATTTTCGAGGGTAATTCCTTCGACTAGATACAATTTGTGATCTATTCACGTATCATTGAAAGAAATTGGTTTGGTGAGAGAGAGCTGAGAAAAAATTATGGTAAACATAAAAAAACATCATAGTAAAATTAATACCTTCTCAGCTTCACATCTAACCTAATATTAAAATAGTAATTTTTAATTTTGTCTTAAGTTTAAATAAAAAAATTTAATGAAAATAAAAATAAAAACAAATATATTTTCAATTTAATTTTTGTATTTTATAATCATAATTAAATCTATACATAGATAACAGTTCTTTTAATATTTAATTTTTCATGTATCTTGAAGTTCCCATTCATTTGGTTTTGGAAGAACAATATTATTTAAATGATAGAATGAAACAGAATCTGAATGAACCACAGCCCATAAAACTGGTACATTATTAAACTCACAAGAATAATTTATTTGAAACATATTTGGAATATAATCTTCAAAACTACAGTAAATATTAATTATTTAAAAAAAATAATTAAATATGAGGTTAAATATGAAATTTTATACCTAAATATAGCGACTCTAAAGTCAGGTAATGGTTTATTAGTTTTTGGAAAATCATGTTCTGGATAATAAACATCAAAATGAAATTCATGTTGATTAATTTTATTTGTTTCACTACCCTTTTCATTGATTTTCTGTTTAACAGCATACAACTTTTTTGCTATGAGGTCTAAAAGATATAAAAACTATACAATTTAATTAATATATTTATTGCAAATAGAATATATTCTAGAAAAGATTTCCCGATACCTGAATAATTAATTTTACCAAATATATAATTTTTATTAAATTTTGTGACCTTTTTAAGTTTTTTTTTGTAAGAACTTCATACATTTAAAAACTGATGAATAAAACAATAAAATACTGACTAGTAATAATCTCTAAGAGTATATTTCATCAATTTGATAAGTTCACTTTTAGAAACTTTATAAGAGGAACAATTACTGAGATGTTTTGTATTCAGTAAATGTTTTTTTTAATTACCTCTGTATATTCGTTCTTACTGTATTTCACAGAAAAATAATTTTAATTAAAAACTAACAGCAATTTTCTGAAAAATTGGATTTATTAGATTTGTGCTCTTAACCCCCTTTAAATCACTATAAATATTTATGTAAAACTTTTATATTAAATATTTTTGGATAAAAAACCTTATGGATATTAATAGTAATTTCTTAACTAAAGTTTTAAACCCGTCAATTTTTTTGAAAATCTTTTTTTATTTTATTTTCAATTCAGATTAATATTTAAATAGTTGATCAAGTAAATAATAGTGCTTATAATGTACCAGGTAAATCCTGTTTTGTATTTGATCCTTGATTGACAAGTAATGGACAACTCAATTTTGACTTTACTTCTATAAATTCCTTTTGTGAAAAATTTGATAAACTACCATGAGAATAATCTCTATTATTAATAAATAATACAGGTTTATTATTGTTTGATTGTGATTTTATTCTTTTTATATCCCCTTGTAGGTTATCATTAATTACTACTTTCCGTTTAACTGAATTACATTCACTATCCAAAAGTATTAAAGGAACACTTTTATTGTTACAACCTTCTTTCTTTGGTAGCAAGCTACTAGGTTTATTTTCTTCATACTTTAGTTGATAATTATCCACTTTAGATTGCAATGAATTATTAAGGTTATTTAAAGTATTAAGCTGTTGAATATCTTCATTTTTACTTTTACTTATCATTTCAATTATTCTCAATTGATTTGACTTTTGACATAAATTAAATGAATAGGTGTTATAATATGGTTGCAGGCCACTAGGTAAATATTTACTAGGAGGTTTATGAAGATTTATCCACCCGTTCTTATGCTTTGGAAATAACTTCCTATAAAAATTAGAATTTTTGCTGACTGGTATATTATTACAAGTTAGTTTCTTTTTAGACCAAGGTAATTCTCGTATTATAATCAAATTTTGAGGACCATATTCAATTTTATTTCGATTAAATAAGTCTTTGTCATGCCTAAATACTCTAAATCCTAATTTTAGTAAAAAAGCATAAGTTCTATACTGCTCAAAAGTACAACCACTATTTTCTGCTAATAATGTATTATAAGCACTTTGAATAGAAAACTTTTTACCATTTTCCTCTAATAATAAACATTTCTGAAAAAAAAACTTAACAAAATTAGATAAAATTAAAGTTTATTTTTTACTTATATTTATTACCATTTCTAGTAAAAACAAACATTCTTCTGGATATAAGTATAGTTTTTTATTAAAGGAATGACTAAAATTTTTAGTGAGTTTTCTTGCCACTTTAGTAACTTCAGCTAGTTTTAAGTTATCTTTCCACTCTGCTACTGACAATGTACATCTAAATTTTATAACATTTTCTTTAAATATAAATTTTTACAATAAAATTTATGATTAAATTGTTTTAATAAAAAATAAAGTTTAGTTAGCTTATTTGGTTAGTTAATAATTGATTGAATCCAGAAAAGTTCCTTTTTTTAAAAATGATATCAAAATTGTCATGATCATTTTTATTTAATTTTTCAATAATTCATATGACTCAGAATTATGTTAATGTACAATTTAAGATATGAACAAATATTTAAAACATGAAAAACAATTTAACCAAATAAATAGTTTTGATTTTGTTTGAATTATACTAAAAGTATTTTTTAATTAGACAATTATTTAAAATATAAAAGTATGAAGTTTAGACTAATGTGAAAATTGTAGTATAATTTTCAAGAATTTTTTTTGAGACATATTTTTTACATTTGTAAAAATAAACTTATTTTTTAATTAAAAATTAATAAGACTATTTGATATTTAAATAAATAAAAAATTCTTTGTTTTTGGTATATTAGTTTAAATTACATTTAATAAATACTATACCGTAATTCGATTCTCTCTTCATTCAATAGTTTTTTACGAGTTTCTATCAATTCATTTACATTATGCAAATTACATTTCAAATATTTGTTGTGATTCGCAACATCAAGATTAATAAATTTTTGATGATTTTGTTCATCATCTTCAACATTCGTTGATTTATATCTGTAAAAAGTTTATATACATATATATATATATATATATATGTGTGTGTGTGTGTGTGGTGTTATTATGACTGCTTATGTTTGTTAGGACTTCAGCATGGAAAGGCTACCACCATTCTCCCCAATGAAATGATGACTATTAGTGATACTGTAAAGTCAACCCAAACATTGTGACTTCCAGTGCTATCAAATTGTCTCTTTGGGTCCAAAGAAACTATTTGACCAAAAGATAATAGGAATCCACCAAGTGAGCAAAGAGGCAATAAAACTGTTAAGCGAGCTTGACTTATAAACAACTGTTATTATTTTATATTGACAGCTATTTTTATAAGATTAGTATGATCTGTTTTATTATTGTTTAATGCCATTTTAAATAAATTAATGTATTGTGTTTGTTATTCATACACTACAATATGTAAATGAATGTAATATGTAAAAAACTACTATTTAAAATAATTTCATAAAAGCAATAAAATAAGATTAACAATAAATTACCTCATTGATGTGTTATTCATAATAAAAAGATTATAAAACAAAGGACATTTTATTTTTTAAATAATTACTGAAAAATTGTATGCTAGTTTTAAAAAAGTCGACAAGTTTGGCAGTGTTAAATGAGTGATGTGATATTAATTTAAATGATAAGAATAAAGGACACGCCAACAATAAAGATAAAATATTTTCATATGTGTAATTATATATTATATATATATGGATTAAATATCGGATAATTATCTAAGTCGTGGCAATTGTTTCATTATTATAATGATAATAATAATATATATCGTAGGATAATAATTATCCTACGATATATATTAGAAATTTAGTTAGCATTAACCACTGAGCCATAAGCCTATGATGATAAATTACTTTAGGAGGGGCCTGAACCTTCCTAAAATAATAATTTAATTAACACAATTAAATATATTTTCCCTAATGAATTTCTGTAGATACTCTAATCTAAGATTTAACCCATTTACCTAAAAATGTTTGCATTTATGGTATTTAATTATTAATACTATTAATATTCAGACGTTATTTAAAGTCTTACTCAGTTATACATGTTCCGAAGAAAATTGTAATTTTTTCTTATATTACTTTTTTTATCGAAACAGCCAAAAAACATTATAGAAAAAAATAAATAATAATGAAACCTATGAAAACAATTAATTAATATGTTCATAATATCATTAAAATTATTATTAACATTGTAAAGCTAAGTTATAAATAGAAAAATAAAAAATTGTTACAATGTTTTAGATTTTTGGCTTGATTTATACAAAAAATAAGAAAATAATTAAATGAATAATAAATTTTACAAAATTAAATATAACTCAAGAAACAAATAATTGGACTCAGTCAATCACTAAAATGATGTAAAAATATAAAATAAAATAACAAATACAATTTATTACAATGCCCAGATATAATTTAAATAAATGAAATATGTCATAAAATATATAAATAATCATATGTAAACATAGGTAAATGTAAAATTTGTTAAAAGTGCATAAGTATAAATTAGAAATATATTTTTTAGGTCAAGTACCTTAATCCACTATGCAGCTGTCCAAAACTCTAAATTCACAACTTTAAGAATTAAAAAATTATAATTATATAAAAATATTTATCAAGGCGAATAAGAATCACTTGCTCACTTACAAGAGTAATCGAGTGTAACATGATTTTTTGATACCATTGAACTTTTATGCAAAGGCTATTAGTATGCTAACATTTAAAGAGGTTGGAACATCATATTTTTTTGGTGGTGAAAGGTGTAATACAAAAATTTTCTGACTTGTTACTCATTACAAAAATGTATTAAAAAAAAAAAATGAACTATAATACTTTAAGAAATTTGCACGGTGGGTTGTTCAACACAAACCTTTCTAAAATAAAATTGTAATCATAATTGTAAAAGTTTTTACTTACATTTCTAATAAATAAAAATAATAAATTGAACACATGATTATTTTTAAGTAGAGAATATAATTGCTCAAAGAAACAAGTTGTTATAATAAGTAAATTAATTGAATTATAAATATTATTTATTTATTAGTTACAATAAAGGTCATTAGAGTAGAAAAAGTATATATATATAAATGAGGTAGTTTAAACATTTATTTCTCCCAATAATAAAAATTAAATATATATACTTTACATTCAATATTATTTAACTAAATATATAATAATCAACAAAATAATCACAATTAATTTAACTTAGGTATGTTGTATTACTTTAACAGCACAAGATTCTATTTTTTTAATAACTTTAATAACAGATGCTCGGATTGTATGTTCCTGATTGCTAATATTTTCTAATTCTAGATGTGTATTTCTCATGTGTCTATCTAAATTATCTTTACGAGTAAATTCTTTCATACACATTGGACAATTCAAAACATTTTTTTCTGAAAAATAATACATATTTAAATGTAAGCTAATAAGATAATAAAACTTAAAAATTTTTATTTTAACTGTTGTGAGTTCCTAAATGTCTTTGAAGATAGCGTTTTTCTTTAAAACGTTGATTACATAAATAACAAGCAAATTGTGTTGAACCAACATGGATTTTTTTATGAGATACTAGAGAATCTTTTAAACTAAATTTACGTTTACAAATATCACATGAATATGCTTTAATGTCTGAAAAAAAATTTAATTTATAATTACATTATTAAACAGACATAACAATAAAATGCATAATAATTCTAATGGTAACCTAGTAAATATTCAATAAACTTCAAACAACAAAATATTTTCAATTACCAGAATGCTTTCTAATAAGATGTTTTTTTAAGCATTGTTTATTCTTAAAATATTTTGAACATGTTATACACTGGAAAGGCTTTTCTATAACATGGGTTTTTAAATGAATCTCTAATGATCGCTTTCTTTTAAAACCTTTACTACAAATTGAACAAAAATGGGATCGAACTAAAATATAAAATTTGCATTTATTATAAGTTTTAATTCAAAACATTGTAATTCAATTTATTTTCTAAATAACCTGAGTGTACAATTCGATGTTCTATCATTTTTGATTTTGTAAAAAAACATTTTTCACAATCAGTGCACTTATATGGTTTTTTGCCTATGAATATCAAAAAAAATTAATTATCAATATGAAATATTTTTAAATAATAAATAAAAATTTTATATTACATATATAATATATATATAATTAGAGGCATTATATGGAGCAGTGAATTATTCAGTCACCATTTTAATGCTGATGTTCAGCTGCACTGTTTGTTGTTGGTTCCCAGACGGGTGACCATACAAAAACTTTAACAGTGACACACACCTTGCCTCCAAAGATTCTCTACTGATTCTCTTAGCTATAATAAGGTTGTATAAGGTCAACAGTCAGTAAAAACTCTATCAAAATGTTAAGGTAGAACTAATTCCAAATAGTTGAGATAAAGGTAATGGTGATGATTATATATTATATAATTAAATAACTTTACATTTATTCAATAGAATAATACAGAAAACAAAATGACAAACTACTTTTTTAAATTTAAATCATATAGGCGATTCTGATGTTTTAAAACATCAGAATCAGTCATTTTTTTGGGATATTTTTTCTGGTAAAAAAATGAAGGAAAATTTCTTCAGCTAGATAATATCTCAATTTGTATTATAACTTGAGATCATTTAATATATTGATTGTCAATATAAGTTCATTTAATGTTGAGTATGAATGAGAAAGACATAATAAAAAGAACACTTTCTGAATGTTAAATTGAATATTTTGAAATAAAAATTTTTTTAGTTTTTATTATAAAAAACAAATAATATAAAGTATGATATCAATATAGACTAGTATGCATAAATATCAAAAAAAAAAAAATTAGACGAAATATTAATTATATTAAGTTATAGGAATTATCAGTTAGATCTATTTTACCTATATACTATTTGTGACAAAGACAAAATTTTATTGATCATGTAGTTTTAGTGAAATTAATATAATACAGGAACTTTTCAGATTATTTGATGTTATAAATTATATTAAGTGATTTATAATTACCAGAATGTGTCAATAAATGATAATCTAAATGTGATTGTACTTTAAAAGTCTTATTGCACATTTGACAAATCAATATTTTTTTTATAGTATTACCATCACACGTTATATGATAAAAACAATTTTTTTTCGATTTGAATTCTGTTTTGCAAATTGTGCAACTATATTTTATATTTCCTTCATCTGTAAAAAATTTAAATTATCTTAACTATCGTTAGAATAGAAAATAATAAATTTAAATTACTTTCAATCAATATTATGTGACCAGGAATTTTAAATGATTTTTTTTTCGTTTCAGGTATTTTTTGAGTAGAACTCGAATTTTTATCCATTAACGAATTAATATAATCTGAATTTGAAGAATAACTTTGGTCTATATTAATATTTGGGATAACTTTTTCTTGATTTTTACTGCATGACATTTTTTAACTGGCATAGTAATTGACTGGTATGACTGAGGAACTAATAAAAGTAAATGAGTAACAGATATTTTATTTAAATTAAATTAAATCATTCAATATTAAAACAAACACAGAACTATAAATAAGAAGTTAAAATGAATGTAAATATTATCTTAGTTAGTAAGTTATCATGCTTATCTATAAATATCTATGGTGAGGTAATAATGTTATGAAATTGATAACATTTATATTATTTTTTCCTATGCATATTATACGTCTGTTTCCTCAAGTATAATTTTTTTTTCTTACTGAAATTAAGTTTTTTTTTTTTATTGTAGCATTATTTAATTATTTATTAAAATAACAATTATAAATTAATGGCTTCTAATGCAGGAAAACGGCAAGTAAGTTCATAAAATAAATCGGTTACACTCCAGTATATACTTTAAATACTATAATTTAAAATATTATATAATCTTTTAATGTGTTTAATACACATGTTATTCTAGATATGGTAATGTCTGTAAAATTACTTAATGTAGTATATTAAAATTATATTTCAATATAAGTAATCTGGAAAGATTTTGAATTAAAAAACACTCGTATCTAAATTTTCTCTAATCCTTGATTAGTCTTTGACATAGTAAAATATAATTAACATTTTTTTTTATTTTTAAATAAATTTTGATACATAATTATTTTTTAAAGTTTTTTTTTATGAAAAAATTGGTATGTTAATAAAAATGTTAAGACCTAATGAGTTATAAGCATTTTAATACTTATAGTGAGAATGTATTAAGTATCTTTCAAAAATTAGAGGCTCTTCTTTTGTAATTAGTTATTGGTAGGTTGTTTAGAGTTGTGTGGTACTTGTTTAGAGTTTATTCATGACTAATATATTTTTTTTTTTGAGTTTTTAGATTTATTACATCTTGCTATTTCTTTTTAACATTATTAAGTTGTGTACTTCAATTTTTTTTTCAGGTTCTTAATGCTTTTAAACTAGTTCATAAAGCAAGTTTAAAATGCTTCAAAAATGATAACTACATGCAAATTGGTAATTAATTAATTAATTAATTAATTAACTACTTTAATTAATTTTAATCAATTTTATAAAAATTAGCTGCAAAAAATCAAATTAACCAAGAATTTAAAAAAAATAAATGTATTTCTGATCCTAATACTGTACAAAATGTAAGTATATGTCAATTATTATTCAGTTTTAAAAATTTAATTTAATTGACTTTTTTATCTGAACTAATCATAGTAATCAAAGATAATGCATTATATTATAATACAGTAAAATAACTAAATATTGTTTTAAAATTTGTTTGTTAAGGAATTATTTTTATAAGAATTTAGATTAAAATAATGGTTATCACATATTTTTTATGCATAGGCTTCCTCAATCTTGGCACCATGTATTGGACTTCTTGTTTGTCCATTTTAGCTTCGATGCAAAATTATCAATTTTTAAAATCTGTAATTTTTGACATTTTTTCAATGTTTTTTTCTTAAAATTGCCATTACTTTTTTTAAAAATAAACAAATCAATATAATTTTTTTTTTATAGATACCTTAGATATTTCTCTATAATTTGATATATTTTTGTGAACATTTGACCATTTACCAGCCCACAATGGGATTCAAAATGGCAGCTTTTTCAACTTAACTTTTAAAAATGTTCTAAAAATACTGACACTTTATATATACCTTAAATTAAAGCTTATATAATATACATTAATTTAAAAAAAATAAATTTGACCTTTGGAGTTGTCTTCATAGTGAAAAGGGTCACCATATTCAAAAATATGGTATTTTTATATTAAAATTCTGGGTTTTATATTTTATTTTATTTTAAAATACTGATACGATCACATATATGTGATCATATCCCATAACATTATTGTACTGCTGACTAAGCTTATATCATTGACACAAAGACATATGTACTATTACAGGAGGGCAGACTGCACACATAAACACTTTTGGAATTCAAGGCCACTGTGCCATAATACTAATATCACAAACAGTAGTTGACTTTTTATCATCATCGTGACCATTACTCTTTTGTCTTATATTAACTTAAATTAGCTACCACCGAGATAGTGTGTGTCGTTGTCAGCTCCCTGTTGGATTATATCATCTCTAGCTGCCCAGCAGGTTTTATTGTTTATTTACTTAGCTTACTTAATAAACTATTACATTGTTGCATAACCAAGAGTATTATATATTATTGTAGTGCGACCCTTGGAAGTTCCTCTAAGGGAATATAAATTAAATAAGAAACCTCAGTATCTAAGGTAGATATAGCCAAGCCAGCTATCCCCCATTGATCCATTAGGATACTGTTGAGGGGCATTTAGGCTAAACCCCTAAATAACAACGTAACAATATCTTACAAGGGGAGTACACAAATATTTTATAAATATTATATAAATCAAATTGACATTGTATAGAAAGTTAAACTTATAAAAATTTTTTTGTTTCTTTTAAATTGATAAAAATAACTGTGAAATTTGAACTAGCTTAAATTGTCTTTTTTATCATGCGACGAATGTAACTCACAGTTGCCGAGTCTGTAACACTTGTGTTTTATGCGCTTGGAATACAAGGTTCAAACCCGCCTATGGCTATGACATTTTTTTCTTAATTATTTTTAAGTTAGAAAAAATTTTTCAACTTATTTGATTTTTATCTCATTAAAATTCAATAACTACATTGGATATTATAAACCTCATCACTGTAGTCTCCCCTCGTGAGAAGAAATTTCTTATTCATATTAAAATTATTTTACTATGTAGTTTTTATTTGGGACTATTATTTATTTTCTCAGCTCTCATTTGACCTACTTTTTTCAATGATACGTCAAATGATTTGTATCTAGTTGAAGATATAATTTAATTAAATAATATAATTGAAGGTATTAATTTTTAAATTAAAATTTTTTTTTTAACACAGAATTAAAATTAAATAATTTTAATTAAATTTCAGTTAATCAAGTTTGCCCAAGATATTGAAAACGAGTTATTAACCCAAGTTGTACAAGCTGAACAAATTAGTGAAAACAAATTTAGTATGTGATTCTTACAATATTTCTTTTTTATACTAATGTAATTTTCTATTTTATTTTTATTTACTCCTCTAGAATTAATTCCATATTATTAAAATTGTTAATTTTTATCATAAGCATAAGAAATAAATAATTTTCTCACATTATATCAATAATTTTAACACTTGATAAGATACTTATCTTTGAATTATATTTTAATTGTGATTACATTATTTTAACATGAAGCTAAATTACTTTAATATCAACAAAATTAACAATATTATTAAATTAATTTGACTTCCAGTATGTTTTATTCAATACATGTTGTTGGAATACAATATCTATAAAGTCTGCAAAAAATTAATTAAAATATTAAAATTGCTTTTGTTCTACTTCTAAAACATTATGTTTCTGGAATTTAAATTTATGTCGGTATTTTCCTGCACGTAAGAAAATAATGCATGTTACCTAACATTTTTCTTGTAGTATATACATACTAATGATTGATAATAATTAGTTAAAAAAAAATTTGGGTACTTCTTTTAAACAAATAATTAGTATTATCAACAATAAACTTTATTTATGTGATTTATTTTTGAATTTATGCATAATGTATTGTATTAAAAATCATTGTTAGAATTAGTTTACCAAGCAACGAGTGTTTTTATTGCACATGAATGGTATATTTCATTGAGTTTATATATGTAATCTGTCCCCAACCTGTATTTCTGTGCAATTCAATGAATTTTTACAGTTAATACCACTTTTTATTCATTTATTAAAAATATATTTTAGGGCTTAACATAGATCCAAAAAGACATACACATGAAAATATTCCTTATGCTGAATTAGATGATAAAACATATAAAAAATGGAAAGAAGCCAAAAAAAATGATGGTAAAAAAAATAGAAAATGTTGCTGTGAATAATAATGTAAAAAAAGAATGATCATTTAGTTATGTATATATTCTAGTTAGAAAATTATATTGATTGTTTAATTTCAAGATTTTTTTAAATAAAATATTAATGCTACAAAATTGTTATAATTATTTAATAATTTTTTTTATTATTGCTTTATCAGCCCATTAAGGACCATAGCGGTCTTCCCCAAAAGAGGAGGTTTCTTAACCATTTATACTCCAGGACGGGTGTTTAGGGATGGCGACTCCAGTTACCGAACTGATCTCTTGTTCGGCAAATGAAGCCACCTATGACAGAGTTTCAAACCTGAGGCAGTGCGCGTCAAGCACTGCCGCGTTATCGACTCGACCACACTGTCCCTCTAATTATTAATAATAGTAATTGATTATTGATTTTTTAGCTTCAATACGAAGCCGAGTAGATATTAATTTTACTATATGATTATTTATTTTTTTTTTTTGTGTCTGTTACCACTTATTCTCAGATCTTACTGGACCGATTTTGATGAACAAAACGTCAAAAGATCACAAATCGAATCTAGTTGATATATATTATATCTAGTTCCGGAAATAGTGACACTATTATATACATCTTAAATTAAAATTTATGTAATATACTTTACTATGAACAAAAAAAAATTTTAACTTGAGATTGTCATCTACCATATATCAAAATATACTATTTTTGTATTAAGATTCATGGTTTTAATTTTATTTTTATTTAAAATACCTTATAAGGGGAGTATACTGATTTTCATTAATATTATATAAATCTAAATAACATAGCATTAAAACCTAAACTTATTTAAATTTTTCTGATACTTTAAATCAAGAAAAAATAAATATAGTTTAAAAAAACTAAAAAAACACGCTTTTAAAGGACATCGAACTAAAAAGTTAAAAATAATTATGAACAAAAAATACTAGTATTATTGTGATAAAAGCATCGGGCGCTCAATATACGAAAAATATGGCACAAAGCACCCACGCTTTTATCACAATAATACTAGTATTTTTTGTTCATAATTATTTTTAACTTATTTTAAAAATTATTTTTAACTTTTTAGTTCGATGTGCTTTAAAAGCGTGTTTTTTTAGTTTTTTAAACTATATTTATTTTTTACTTTTTAGTTTCATGTTATGATAGTAGTTACTATCAATATCATGGTTGTTACGGGTAACGGGAAATCAGGGTTCGATTCCGGGGAGGGAGTCTGAGAAACGGCTACCACATCCAAGGAAAGCAGCAGGCGCGTAAATTACTTACTACCGGAACGTAGAGGTAGTGACGAAAAATGACGATACGGAAATCATCCCTCGTAATCGGAATGAATGAGTTCTATATCTCTAAATAAGAATAAAGTGTGTTAATATATATTTTTAATAGTAATTAGAATATACAGTGTTCAGTAAGTCAGGAAACCCGTTTCCTGACTTACTGAACACTCTGTATATATACATGTAAAGCGACTTAAGTACGTAAACGTATCATACATTAGGTATAACCGTATTTTGTGGGCGGGCGGGTCGGACTAACGTTATACCTGAGGTATAAACGGTGGTAGGAATATATAAATACATATACGTAAGGCGCATTAGACGCGGGCGGTATTGGTCAGTCAAAATAAAAATTTGATTATATATATATAATATTGATGACAAGCACGCGTGTACGGGTACGATAACTAAAAATAAATTTTTATAGGAATAGTGGACGCCGTGTGGTGAGCGAGGCGTAGGGAGGGGTGAATGCGTTATGACAGTCTAGTCTAGACGACGGAATATGCGATAACGCGTGGCGTTTGGAGAGTTACAAACATACATACATACAGGTGAAACTAATACAAGCGTGTTAAAATAAATTTCAACTAGCTTAAATTGCAACCAAAATGGCGGATACACATACCACCATTATTAGGGCCCTAGGTTTACCAAAGTGAAGATAAAATTATCTTATCTGTGGTTTTGTAAGGTATTGTCAAATTTATTTTCACTATCTACAAACGTTGTTTTTATCATAATTAGTATTATTCTGTGGTATTATTTTTTAAAGAATGATATGTAAACAAAGAAATGTATATCATATTAGTAAAAAGATCTTAACAAATTAATGTCAGTACTTAGGAAAATATTATAAATTAAAAAAATAAATTATAAACAAATTTTTAATCATATTATACGTACGTCTATGATCCAAGTAAGTTTGATTGAATAAAAGTTTGCTTTTTTTATAACAGATAACTTAGATAAACAGTGATTTATTGTTGATAAAATTGATTAAATTTTCGTTCTACTCACTAATTTAAATGTTATATACATGCTACTATGATTTTTTACATTATTGGTTACACTTAAGTATATCCTCAGAAATGAGACTTACACCCTTGTATTTTTCTTCTAATAAAGTTTATTAGCTTAATGCAAACACTAATATTTACCAGTTTTTAAAAAATTATTGATTTTTTTACTGTAAAATAAATACTCAATATTCTCAAAAGTATTACAATAAAATATTACACAATTTTAATAATATTATTCATAAAACAAAAAATGTAAAATTTAAAAAATGCTGATTTCTATAGTGAAATCTCAACTGTGGAATAATTTATTAGTTTTAAGTAATAATATTTTTTTCTAAAAAACCTGGAAGAAGATCAAAAATTCATTTTACATTGAATTCTTAAATAATTTGAACTATAGTTCATATTTTGTAAGAATAAAGATGAACATTTTATTGATAACTATTTGAGTTTTTATTATACTCATAACAAATGTAACATAAAATAATTTTAAATTTATTTCAAATGTTTTATTCCTACAAATGGTTAGTGGTGCGAGTTGAAAATTTACTTTGACACTTTCCATAACTTAAGTATTTATAATACCCTTTTAGATTTAGTACTTTTTCTGAGTCATCGTCATAATATTCTAATAATTTGTCTCTTTAAAAAATTAAAAAAAGAATAATTTAAAAGTTGTATTTAATTATTCACTACTTTTAAAGAAAGTTGTACCTTAAAAAAATTGTTTGTCTTTTTTTAAGTATTTGCACCAATGTTTTCCAAATTGTGTCTAAACTTTGAATTTAATCTAAAAAATATAATTACCTTATATTAAATATAATATAAATATATTTCATAATAACCATTTGTGTGTTAATTTTTAGGAACTATGAGGGAACGAGAGCGATATAAAGAAAGTAAACGTGATCGATCTAAAGAAAGAAACCGAGATCGATCAAAAGAAAGAAACCGGGATCGATCTAAAGAAAGAACCAGAGATCGTTCCACTAGTGTTACTAAAACTCGTAGAGGTCGATCTCGTAGTAATTCACCTCGTTCAAGGCGTGAAATTGGTGATCATTCCAGAAGTCTTTCTAGATCACGTAGGGGTCGTTCCAGAAGTATTTCTCCACGTTCTAGACGTGATATTAGAAAGAGAAGTCGTTCTCACCAAAGATCTAGATCACCCATGAGGCGTCACTCAAGAGATCGACGTCGATCAAGAAACCGTGATTTACGAAGATCAAGATCTAGATCTCTTAAAAAAGATAAAAAATCTAACAGTCGATCTGTTCAACAGTCAGCTCCTAAAGTTACAGAGGAGGATTTACGAGGAAAAACTATGGAAGAACAAGAAATGATGAAAATGATGGGATTTTGTACATTTGATTCAACTAATGGTAAGGCAGTTGAAGGTAATAATATTGGTGATGTTCATGTAATCCTAAAAAGAAAGTATCGTCAATATATGAATCGTAAAGGTGGATTTAATAGACCATTAGATTTTGTAGCTTAAAGTTAAATGTTCTTTTATAACTTTTATTGGTAACAGATAAATTCATTGAAATTGTAAATTTATTAAATTATTCTTATTTGATATTTTATGATTTTCTTTGTATAAATAACATAAAACAATATTAATTGCAAACATTTTAGTGTTATGTTAAAACTGTATTTGAAATGTATTATAAAATGACTATTTAAAGTTTTCCATATCATTTTGTGCAGTAACTATAGTAAAATAATTATGTAATGGTGTAAGAAATAAATTTTGATATTCTACTTAAGTGTAATGAAAATTAAAAATACATTTGCATGTAGCAAAGAATAATAAAAAAGTAATAATGTGTAACATTATACACATTAATAATAAAGCTAATTATTATAAATTAATAAATTTGTAGTTTTTTTTTTAATTCGAAGTTTATTAAATATTTTAAAGATAAAAATTATTAAAGTTTTAATAAACATATAAATTTTAGTTAAAATATGTCAACTAATATAATTTAATTTATATTTAATGTATGCTTATTTTTTACGTATTCTCACAAAAATAATTTATACTATACTATAATAATGTTTAATGTTTTGTATATACTCTTCTAATTTTTTTTTTGTGTTATTAAACAAGTAGGCATGTGCTTGATAAGTTGTAGAAAATACTTTAATATTATGTTTAGGTACCAAAATTCCCATTGATTTATAGTTGGCGGATAAAATTTCAAGCGTTAAAAGTAAATCAACTACACTCAAAGTATTTACATGTTTTTGAAACGAAACGAGTGTACGGGTATTTCTTGATCCTGCAACTCCCATTTTATCTTCAATGTAGTATTCTCTTTTATTAAAACTTATATTCTTGTAAATCTGAGCTAAAGTATTTTTGGACATAGAATTTTGTTTCTTACATTCATTATGTTCCATTACTTGCATCATCTCAGTAATGCTTTTTCTAATAGGTTTTAGTATAAACGGATCAGTTTCTTCATTTATTCCAAAATAAACATTCTTTTCTTGAGCTACCATCACATTGACAACATAAATCACTATATATTCATAGAGATCTCTAAAAAATATTGATAAAATCATATCAACTATTATTCGCTTGTACTGAACTAGACTAGTCGGACGGAAATCAAAAATGACATCTTGATAAATTTCCATTATAGATTTTGTTATTCCATTGTGCCACAATGCTTTAACATTTAATGTTTTAATCCACTCAATGTTCGTCCTACCTGGATGAGGAATTTCTGTTAGCTCTTTAATTAAATCATTTTCTCCCTGCCATGATGTATCGTAGTTCCAAGTATTGAGAAAATCTTTTGATTCTGTTATATGCTTAGAAATGGCCTTAGAAATACTTTCTAGTACGGTTGGTCTTTGGAAAACTGTCGATATTATGAGTTCTAATATACAAGACTTCCACTCGGCGTTTAATTTGCAGTGTTTTTTTGTATACTTATCAGTTAAATCCCATGTATAGAAATGAATCAACCGCACCCAGTTCATTTTTTTGTCATCGCCCATTACGGAATTGATTCTCAAATGGATATTTGAGGGTTGGGCAACAAGGTTGTATAAAAACAAAAAATACGTGTTTATTGCTTCCATTATATAGCCATGATCTCTTATTTCATTTTGCTGTGATCTTACTTTCATGTCATGTTGTATCATCAGCATGTTTTTGAATATTTCGTAAAACTCCATTAACTTAGGCTTGATTTCATTATTCCAACTTACCCAGTTTACCTGATCTAGTTGTCGCAAGCTTCGTCCATCTACGCTGTTATTCCACTTAAACATTGTGAGGCTATAGTGTTCAATAAGTACAAACATTTTCGTTATAATAACTCCACATTTGCAGTTAAGGTACTCTTGAATTATGTTCAACCATTTGGCCTGCAATTCTGCCTCATCATCCTTCATTTGCCTTGGGTTTAAACATTGGCTAACAATGGATGTCAATTCTTTTTTATTATAATTTTTAGCGTTTGCTAATATTGTTAGGTCAGCTTTGGCGAAAATAGGTTGTGTGTAGATACTACACAATTTTGTGGTATCAACTCTTGCAGTTTCAATTGGCAAAATACAAAAGCTAACATAAGTAAACACAAAACAAATTTGCACGGTTAACATCGATTGTTGTTGAATGAACATCATTGATATTCGACGTTTTTCATAGATATTATTTTTATTCGTTATTTATACTTTTGCTCTGAACGATAATTTTAATGAATAATCTCTTTATAATTCACAATAATAAATCATTACGTTGGCTAACATTGTTACATTATGTATTTGTTTAATATTAAAATAACTCGGTTTAAAATTTAACTTGGACGCCTATATTTTTTTATTTTATACGAAGAGATACACTATTCCAATAAAAGTATAACTTTTTAAACAAAAATACATGTACTTAATACTTATTGATTATCTATCGAAAATTTTAAAGGTCAATATTAACTTAATGGACTACATATTGTAAAATATATGTACATATTGTACATATATTGTAAAAATTAAATCCATTTATTTGAATTAGTAACCAATAGCAAAACAAAAAAAAATATTGAAGTAAGTACTCGGAATTAAATGAACAAGATTATTCAGTTATAAAAAATAAATAATATGTAAAGTGTAAATTTCATTGAAAAAAATATTTACCATGTTCCTTCAGGTATATTATGAAATCTTTGCCAAAAAAACAATACGTACATAAAATTATTACGTAGGTAGTCCCAGTTTTTAAAACATCTAGAACAATAATTTTTAAGAAAGAAAAACAATGATGTAAAACAACCTATTATTGTTTATCAATGATATATCTAGTTTAAATTAACGCACTTCATAAACATATTTATTGATTAAATATACTTAATAACACTTTAAATCGTTGAAAACCCTCAAAAAATATCTTTCAACCTATTTTTTAAATACCTATAATATATTATTTTACTAAAACATACATTTTTTTACGAAAATATTTTTATAAAATTTATTTAAATATATGACTTAATTAATTATTTATATTCATTGCCCAAACGCTGGATAATATATAGCTCATGTATTCTCTTAGATATGCCAATGTAATTACCTCTTAAAAAAATATAAAAATTGAATTAATACTCAAGGGAATTTTAATTTATGAGAGTTAATTGAAGCAATTTTTTTTCCAGCACATTTTAAAAAGAGATTTAAAAAAAAACTATTTATTGTGCTGTTTTTATAAAAAATAAATTCCCCATTCATAATTTAAAAAATATGTCAATAGATTCTTAACAAATCTCTCAAGCCGTAAAATGATTTATTACATTTTGTTACCAGCAGTATTTAGAAATTCTGTGAGGAGACTCCAGATAGTTTTTGGAACGTAAAGTAATGGGGCCTTTTACTCCTCTATTACTACCCCCCCCCCTACAATGATTTTATGTCCATGGGGGTCCGGGTCACCCATATACGGGTCACCGTATATTTGACAGTAAGCTTCTTCAAAGCCGCATTTGGACATTTTGTACCTTTTCGCACTTCCTAATTAATGTCAATTAATTCTAGCAAATTGACTTTTACATTAACTATCTTATTATAAGCAATATTTTATTTTAATTATTCCGTGAACTGTAAAATCATTGAAATTCGTTTACAAATTGTATTATTTTTAAATTTTGATTTCGATAATAGTACTATTGTTTTAACGTTACAATATTTTTCATAAGGTTTCAAAATGTTATTAACTTTTTATCAACAGTCATTTATTTTAAAGTGAGTAAATCATATTGATACTTTATAATAAGTAATGCGCATAACAAACTATTCTCGTTTACGTAGTTTTAAATTGCGTCATGTACAAGTTGTTCGACTTGCAGTTGTTTGTGCGATACAAAACGAAAAATGCTCAACTCATAATTTAAGAAACTGTTGAGCATAAATACACTTAATGTAATATAATAATAGATATTTGAAGAGTACCCGTTAAATCTTAATTTTTAAATATTCAATCATAAAGTGATTACTATAGACTTGGAAATAATGTTTGTCAAGCTAATCGTTATTTTATCGTTTGTCACTTGGGCACAATCCTTTGATGATAATGCATTCAGGATATCAGCGGCCCAGTTATTTTGCGACAATATTGTCAAGTTTGATAATTTTGTAAGAACTAATCAGTTTGAACGCGTAGTGTTGCACCATGACATCTTAATAGCTAATTTTCAAAAGGCCGTCGTCTCTTGTAGTAATTATAGTTATTTTGAGGAGAATGGCGAACTACAAGAAGCCGGCGTGATTGCAGTGCAGACGTTCATTAATTGTAGATTTTCTGAAATGTTGTCAAAGCTAATGGAAACTGTGGAGCTCATTATGGAAGATCTTCTAAAAACAATTACTGAGAACAGATGGACGAGGAAGAGCAAATTAGACACGGTCAACACCGTGTCGATGTCTCAAGTGACGAGTATTTTAATGGCGTCTAAAGATAATTTGACAAGTATGTATGCCATACTGTCCACTTTCGAGTCTCAATATCCCGTGTCACAAGATCAGGGTTACGTTACCGAGGCTGTTAACAGGATGTACTTGTACGTGAACAGGAGGAATACGCCGCCAATCGAGTTTGACGCTGAGGTGGACGACAAAATTCGACGTATTCGGTACATCCACTTGCAAATACACGAATTCATGGATAAGTACGACCAATCCAACTGTGCTCCGGTAGAGTATTCACCGCTTTGGTACAACGACGCTTCTTCCAGACGGTCTGATCGGCTAATATCCTTCATAGAAACAAACAACAGTCAGGATAAGGCTTTTCTATGCACGTGTTTGAACTTGTTGGATATATCACAATCGATTGATTATCGTTGGGAGATATCTGGTGCAGATATGGTAGCTTTAGATAGCGTAAAGTGCATTTGGGATGGCAATAAAAGCTCCATACAAGACATACAGGCCGATATTTTGTACGACTATCGGCCGTCGTCGGTGTTCAAATTCAACGAATTGGCTAAGGATATAGTGTTCGCCACGTTCTACTCCTACCTCAGGTCTTACATAAACGTGTACATAACATGGTTTTCCAATAAAAAACAGACAGCGTTCGCTCGAATTACCAAGTACGACAACCCTAACTATTTGAAAACCAACGTAGAACAATGGATAGACGAAATGTTCGTGTTATTGCCAAAGGTAGATTCTTCATTATCTGACATCCACGCCAGACTAAATGTGCCCAATCAAGCAGCTCAGCCTATGGATCTCGAAGCTCTTCTTTTGGTTATAAGTACTCGTTTGGACGTTTACATTGGTGTCATTGATTTGAACACGATTCACATGAATGACTATGAGAACACAGGCTCTGATTTTTATGAAGCCCTCGAAACCATCGAAAGTGACATGCAAAAACTATTTATTTATGTAAGAGCCAATAAAGACCGACGAACAGAACATATTATTCTTTGACATTTCACAATACGTACAACATTTTTGCAATAACATTTTTTTTTATTAGTTGTAATTGTATTTATTATTTGTTAGTTTTATCCATAAATATAAGTATTTTTTAATAACACATAATTCACTTATTATTATTATTTATTTTCCGTTAAAGTATACTAAATTTTTAAAAGTATATTAATATGATCAAATTAATAAACATTAGTTTTCATATTAATTAGGTATTTTTCTATTCTCAGGTAGATAATTATAATTTAGTTTCAGAAAATAAATTTAGCGTTTACTTTGTTATAGAAAACAAAGCGTACTTATAACTTTTCTAATTCTATAGAATTAGAAAGCTTAATTTGACAAAATTCTAGTGTAGTAAGCAGTTGAAAGATTTATTGTATTAACTGGTTTCCTCAACTTTTATAGGAATTCATGTTTTTATATATTCTAGTACAGAACATTTTTTTCAACAATTAAATTTGATTGCTGGACATAACGATCCATTAAAAGAGCTAACATCAGGTCCGAATCTTAGTAGGGTGAAATTTTTACTTCGATTTGATGATAAAAATGTAAATCAAATTAAGTTGTGGAACCTTTAGGTTTCTGAAGTAGACTATTTACCATACTTTCGGTCATATCATTGAATTATTATTAGTACCTCGATTAAACGTAATTCGAGTAGAACAAGCTATGAAATTTTACGGCAATACAAAAAAACTGAGGAACAAATGAAGGGATGTATCTATTAATTACATAATGATTTAGTTCCTTTTGAATTTTAGCTTCGATGCGAAGCTGTGAAGGTATTAATTTTACCATGATGTGTTTTTTTTTTTTTTTTTTTGTTTTTTAATGTCTGTTGCCACTTTTTCTCAGCTCTCACCGAACCGATTTCTTTCAACAATACGTCAAAAGATCACAAATCGTATCTAGTCGAAGACATTACCCTTAAAAATTGAAAAAATTTTCCTCGTTCCCCGTAAATGGGGGAAATCTCCAAAAAAATTACAAATTTAAAAATCACTAATTTTTGACATTTTTTCAATTTTTTTTACTTAAAACTGCCATAACTTTTTCAAAAATGAACAAATCAATATAATATTTTTTTTTATAGATGCTTGATGTTTTTACCTATCATTTGGTATATTTTTTTTTATAAATTTAACCCTTTACCTGCCCACAGGGAGGGATTAAAAATGACAACTTTTTCAACTTAATTTTTGAAAGTGTTCCGGAAATACTGACATTTTTATATATATCTTAAATTAAAGCTAATGTAATATACTTTAATATTAAAAAAAAAAATTTGGATTTTATTTTGTCTTCATAGTGAAAATAGCTACCGTATTCAATATATGCTATTTTTGTGTTAAAATTCTTGGTTTTGTATTTTATGTTATTATAAGGGGATTACACTGATTTTCATAAATATTATATCAATCTAAATGACATAGTATAAACAATTAATCATATTTAAATTTTTTTGTTTCTTTGAAGTCGAGAAAAATAACTTTAAAATTTGAACTAGCTAAATTTCCATTTTTATTAAGTGACGAATGAGACGTACGGTTTTTGAGATGGTAACACTTGGGTCTTTCACGAGTGTGGCACTGAATTTTTTTTTAATTCTTTTTGAGTTAAAAAAAAATGTTTAATTCATTTGATTTTTATCTCATTTAGATTCAATAAATTCAATAAATATCAAGGATTCCATTACTGTAGTCTCCTCTCGTGAGAAGAAATTCATATTAATATTATTTTTTTATATGTGGTTTTTTTTTTGTAGCTATCATTTATTTTCTCAGCTCTCATTTGACCTACTTTTTTGACAATTTTTTTTTTTTAATTAAACACTATCTACAGATTGGCATTGAAGCGTTTTTTATGATAGTGATTTTAATCACTGTCAGATATCATCTATACTGGACCCAACTATGCCACGACCCCACTGTGCTGGATTTTTTTTGTTCTGGTTTTACTTATCCACTAATTAAATTTACGAGAACAAATAAATTTAATTTAATGAAAGATTACAACTATCAACTCACAATGTCTAAAACGTAATATCATGAGGTACTAAATCATCTAACTTCATTCATAACCTAATAAATATCAAGTCAATGGCTTTGTTCATTCTTGTAAATTTAAAGATAAGGTTAATATATATTGATGATCTAGGTATTTTTTTCAAGTTATTTTTCATGATTATATTAACCTATTTATAAAGTAATTAATAAATGAATGAGTGTTGTAACATTTATGGGAACAGAAAATCAAACCAAGATTATAAGGAATATATAGTAGCTACCAAACATATAAAATATACTCTAATAAAATGATAAATTAATTGTTTTAATTTAATAAAAACTTTAATTTCATAAATTTTTATTAATAAATATTATGTTAACAAATTAAAAAACAATTAATAAAAAATATTATTAACAGTTTTTTTACTTTATTGGCTAAAATAATTCATCAATTTTCATAGAAATTAACAATATGGTACAAAGTAATAGATTATTTAAAACTATTTTTAATGTTAAAAAAGTATATTCATTGGTAAGACAACATATACTATGTATAAGAAGCACCTTCCTGAATAATAATTACGACACTGTACATTAAAATATTGAGTTATACAATATACAATTTATTATTGTCCATTTTATTAAATACATTTAAGTATGTATGTATAAAATTTGACAAATTTTCCTTAACCCTAAAGTTAATAAACACTTTTATTCGGGTAGTTTTGAAAAAAAAAATAAACAAACATAAAGTAATAATAATAAATAAATATAATTAAAAATAATAATAATAATTAATAAATAAAAACAAATAAATTATTTTTATTCTTTTTTATGTTTTGAAATATATGAAAATATAATTTAGGAACGTAGTTTAATCATTGAAATTATTTCTACTTAAAATGAATATCTAAAAGAATAAAAATAATATTCATTCATCACTACGAGGTTGCTTTAAGCTACTATTAATATATACTGACGATCCATTTCTACCTCTACGGCCTCTATTATAAGAACCTTTGTTGTTATCCCAGTTTCCTTGCTGATCACTATGATTTTTATTGACTTCGTTGTTACGGTGGTTTTTTGTGTGTTCATTTTTTTCCTGATGGTTGTCATCCTTATGGTCCCTATTTTCATTACGATTTCTATGATTATCATTTCGCCCCCGAAGGTTTTGATTACAGTTTTCTAATTTTTGTTGATGGTGAATATGATTTTCTCTATCTCTATTCCTTATATCTCTTTGTTTATCCCAGTCCTGTAAATAAAGATATAATTATAGATTATAAATAATTATGTGCACGTGTGTAATGACTATATTTTATTGAATTATTTTTAATTTAAGTTGTTAACAACGTAAGCATGAGCTGCTTAAATACTCAGATCTGTAGGTTTATTGAATGTATTATATATTGAGTTATTATGTGCATTGTATAATACCACTACACTAATAGCAACAATACATATCTTCATATGTACAATTTTATAGAATAGCAAAAAAAAAAAAAGTGTCATATATGAGGAAAATTAAAAATATAAATATTTTATTTTATTTAAAAATAATTTTTTTTTTGGCGAAATTTTAAGAATAAGTAGTTTATGTATGTAATTATACTTTTATATTGTCAATATGTGATTTCATTATTTATGCACAGCTAAAACAAGCTTTCTAATTCTTACTATGTAATTCTCTTCCATCATCCTTGAAGTTAAAAGATAACATTGTTGTTCTCACTATTTTCATATATTTGTTTTTCATAAAATTCCTTTAGTTGCCAATTAGTTAAAAACCCTGTAGTATAAGGTCTATAATATGAAATGATATGTGAAAAAATTGCATCTAAATAACATAAAGTTTTGACAGACTAAGGGGTGGAATTGATATGCAAAAAATGGTGCTCATTGACAACATTTTGAATAATTTGAATAAAAAACATAAAGAAATAATCTACATTTTTTGCTTTAAAAGATTGTTTTGAAAAAAACATGAGGTTTTTAATAGATTTATAGGCATGTTTTGAAATCCTAAATTTTTTTTTTATTTTTAATCAAATCTCAAAGATATATAGATATATGTGTCATTGAAATTAATAAACTGAATAAATTATTTTTAATGGATATAATATAAAAGCATTACAATTCCATAAATCAACTAAAAATAAAGGAAACATACTAATAAACCTAAAAAAATTTTAATAGTAAAAATAGTTGAATAGAATTATTAAAACATCAGTGATGGATTGGCCTAGTAGGAATCTAGGAGTTAAACTGTTGAATTGCATAATTTGTTATAAGAGAAGAAAAGTGGAGAGTTATAATATTGTGCAGATTTTTAATAGTTTTCTACACTCTAGTTTTTGAAATCTATCAGTGTGTAATTATAAAAAGATATCAATGACAAATAAAATTATTGTATTATTGGGTCTTTTAATCTAAAAATATCTTAACATAAAGAGCTAAAGTAAATATATATATTAGGGTGTCCCTTATTTTGAAAATTTTGGAAATTCCTCGGGCTCACCCCCCAAAATTATGTGTATACATATAAAAAGTGGCTACAAAAAATTCCAGGCCGATCAGATAAGTTTAACCCGTGCCGACTTGGGGTTGAAAATCGGCCAAAAGGGGTACTTTTTTAGTTTTTAGCAATTAACTCGTAAATTAGCACTCTCACAAAAAAAAATATTAAAACTAAATTGTAGATCTAATTGTTTTGTATAAATTAAGTCCTTACAGTTTTTCTTTTAAGTCCATTAGTTTTCTAGAAAAATGTCAAAATATATAATATTTCGTAAAATTGCCGAAATTAGCATATTTACGAATATTTTATCATATATGACGAACCATATGTGATACGACCTAATGTTTCATACAAAAATTGTTTAAAATTAAATTTTACGAAATAAAAGTATTAAGTACAAATTTCATTGAACCGATCGTTTTATTGCTATAGCTGAATTAACTCGATCATATTACGATTTTTACTAAATATATGAATTTTATTGCTTAATTTAAATATATTTCCTTTATATTGTAAAGTGATGTATTTGTTTGACTTAAACTCATAATGATACTTACTTCTCAATATTATTGTATAAATTAAAAAAAAGTTACTATATAAAATACAAAATGTTAAATTCAAAATAATTCACAAATTATAACAAAAATATACATTAAAAACTATGTTTTAATGTTTTTTTGTTGCAATTAGGATATAATATTCTATGCTCTTGAACACACAGTGTAAAAGTAACTCAGCTTTTTCATCGTTTACAGTTAAACTTTCATGAAAATCTTCCATTACCTTAACCGCTTTATCTGCAGAGTCATTTACTACTTTAAGTGAACATACAATTTCTTTTTCGTGTAAATAAAAATTATCAGTATTCCAATTACTTGGATCCAAATTTAAAAAATTAGTATTGATATCGAATCGTTTGAAAAATTTCATACTGCTTTTTGACAAAAAAGAAGCTACAGTTTTTCCTAAAAAAAAATATCAATCACTCAATAGTCATCAAAAAATAAAGATATCAAAAATTATTATACCTGAAAATGATTTGTCAATATGAACCGATGAAAGAATAAAACGTTTACTAGGGTTTATTATTGACTCATTATTAAGGGATACAACCATTAATTTTTTTATTTCGGTTGAAATGGAATCGTCCATTTCCCAGAAAATATTACACTCGCGAATAGTCAATACTGCTTTTGCTCTTATAGTAAGATTAACAATTCTTAGGTTATAAAAAAAAACTTTTAGAACTTGTCCAATGGATGGAAGTTTTGAACCTAAAATTTGAGTAGTCAAAGACCCTATTAAAAATATTTTATTGTCATTTCTTAATACTACGGACATTTTTACGTACACTAAAAGAAAAACACAATAGGAAGCAGTTCAACTTAATACGCGATGTGAGCGACTAAAGTGGTATAAGTATAAGTTCACTATATCTATTGCTGCGATTTGTAATAAATTTACGATTTCCAGAGTTATTTATAATTTAAAAATAATAACAATACATTAATTCAGTCATACCATAGTATTATCGCCGTACTTGTACGATAAGTGTTGTAATGAACCAGATGATAACTAACAGAATCTAGCATTAAAATTCATATATTTAGTAAAAATCGTAATATGATCGAGTTAATTCAGCTATAGCAATAAAACGATCGGTTCAATGAAATTTGTACTTAATACTTTTATTTCGTAAAATTTAATTTTAAACAATTTTTGTATGAAACATTAGGTCGTATCACATATGGTTCGTCATATATGATAAAATATTCGTAAATATGCTAATTTCGGCAATTTTACGAAATATTATATATTTTGACATTTTTCTAGAAAACTAATGGACTTAAAAGAAAAACTGTAAGGACTTAATTTATACAAAACAATTAGATCTACAATTTAGTTTTAATATTTTTTTTTGTGAGAGTGCTAATTTACGAGTTAATTGCTAAAAACTAAAAAAGTACCCCTTTTGGCCGATTTTCAACCCCAAGTCGGCACGGGTTAAACTTATCTGATCGGCCTGGAATTTTTTGTAGCCACTTTTCATATGTATACACATAATTTTGGGTGGTGAGCCCGAGGAATTTCCAAAATTTTCAAAATAAGGGAGACCCTAATATATATATTAAATGAAATGAAAAAAAAGAGAAAAGAGGAAAATTAGTTAGTAAAAAATTTATTTAAAAATAAGTATGTAGCTCGATTATGTTGTTTTGTGCTGTAATCCTATATGATATTTACAGTATAAGTGTCAAAGTTTGGACAAAGACACAGTCGTTATCATTTTGACTAACTCTACAAGAAAACCTCAATTTCATTGATTACATTTATGTATGTATGGAACAAACCTTATTGAAATGATTTTGATGTGATTTATGTTCATTTGTATACTTCATGGTCCCATTTTGATTATATTTATTAATTGAAGAATGTGATGATGGAGGTACAGACGGGGTACTTTTTTTAGTATCTTCTAACCGCTGCAAATTTTCATAATGTTGGAAGTCGTCAAAAATTGATGTTTCATGTTTATAAGAATGTATTATTCCTATAACTTGTACACCTTGTTCATATGGAACTTCTTGTGTGTCTCTTGAATTAGTCACTGATTTATTTTCATTATTTTCTAATCTAATATGTCTCAATTGGTTATTAGGCACATCCTTAACATACATCCATCTAAAATAAATATATATTTACATACATATTTATACAGTAAAAAGTAAACTTTTTTTATAATATTACCTAACTCCAAATTGTCCTTTCCATTTATCTTGACACCAAACAGAACTAGAAGAGTTATAGTCAACAGCAGAAATCATTTCAGCGACACCACAAAAATGCCCCGAACCATTGACAGAATAAAGTAAATATATTTTCTTTTTTTCTGGTTCACGGAATGCTTGATCTAAGCGTTTATTGCCATGATCAGTAGAACACCATATTTCATATTTAATTGATCTATGAATATCATCTTCTGAATAAGATTTTATGACAAAAAATCTTGAACCTTGGGGTGGTTTTACATATTCTGTTGGGTTATAATGATTTTTCATTTTTAATTCATCAATGATTTGATGCTTTGGCTTTTCTTCTATATTAATTGGTTTAGGTGTAATGGTTGTTAATTGAGGAGGGGGTGATGTCATTATAATTGGAGGGGGAGGTATATGTCTAATGTGATCTGGAGGAGGTATATGAGTTGGTATTTCTCCTATTGGAGTATTATGTGGAGAATTACTTTTCCAATTTTTAGATTGTGTTTCTATAATTGGTGGCTGTGCTTGAACAACTGGTACAGGTGCTTGAACTTGTACAACTGGAGGAGGAGGAGGTTTAGCTACAGTCTTTGTATCCCAATGACTATCATGTTTACCAAGTATCATAGGAGGAGGAGGCATACCTGGACCTTTTTTTTTTGGTACAGATGTTAATGAAACCATAGGTTTAGCAGGTTGCTTAGCTACAGATGCCCATGTAGTAACTTTCTTCTGTTGAAATTTATTGTTCTCTTTTGGTCTATAATCATTAACATTCATATTATGAACACCTTGTTCAATACTTTTAATTTGATCAGTTACTGGAACACCATACATTTGATCTTCAGTCCTATAATACCCTTCAAATGGTTTTTGAGCAATAAAGTAATTATAATTAGGAGTAGGATTTATATTAGTGTACTGAGCATTAAAAATAGTAGGCTGAGTATATGCTTCTGGAGAAGGTACATAGCCTCCAATGTATGTTACTGCTTCAGGTGTAGAAGTCCATGGTCTATCAGCCACAGCATATGGAGTTGTACTTGAAAACTGATAGGGAACTACATTTTGATATTGATAATACTGTTCAGTAGGAATGACGTTGTTGAAACTCTAAAAAATTATTATATTAAATGAAATCAATCAAAATGAATACATCATTTTGAAGCAATTTTTTCATAATGTTACATACATTAAAAGAATAAATTAAAATTAAATAAAATTGTAAAAATGAATTAAACCTAGAATTTAAATATACAATAATTAGAACTAGTAATAGTGAAAACTAAAGTATAAATATAAAGCGTTAAGAGAAAACAAAAATACTGCATACATTTATATCTTTTATGTTTAAAAGAAACAATTTACTAGTTACATTTAATTGAAGTTAGTATTTTCAAGTATGCATTGAGTGTTTTTTTTATTTATTAATTGAGAAAAATGTAAAATAATTTTACATTAGACACCAAATTATTTACTCATATATAAATTATTATATTAATTAATATATATATTATAATACATATATTAATTATTTACTCATATATAAATTTAATAAATCATAAATAAATCATACACCAATATTAAAAAGCTATTTGTAGCTCTTTAGTATAGATTAAAGTATAATTTCATTTTCACTGGAACAATTTGTATTTTAGATTTTGCAAATTTTCAGGATGATCAATAAACAAATTTAAATTATACATGTTTTAATATAAGAAATAATAACAATAAAACTAAAAGTTTTACAAAAAAAATATCTAAAAATACTTCATACAACATTTTATAGTCCATTATGACTCGTTGCAATCTTCTTCAAAGAGGTTATTTAAAAATTGCTACAAATGAGAGTTAAATCTACTATCACAGAGAGAGTGTTGACTCTGATTACAGAACTGATCATCTCTAGATTAGTAAACAGAGCCATTATTTATATAACCAAGTCTCAAACTTGAGACCATATGCATTAGGCACTATCGCGTTACTGACTCAGCAAACACTGTTCCAGAAACATTCATATTATCATTTATGTTATCAATTTCATTGTGCCAAATTTTTAGATACTCATTGTTGCAATATAAGTAATCACTACCAAAAATAATGTGAAACTGCTCTTTAAAAATAATAACAGTAATCAAAGATAATTGTTATTCTACAATAATGTGTATTGAAAACTATGAATGTATGTATATATATATACATACATATATATAAAATTACCTACATCTAGAAAAAAAAAAGTGGCGTCGCGGCAGTCATGACAAGGCATAGTTGGGTCCATTATAGATGATATCCGACAGTGATTAAAATCACTATCATAAAAAAACGCTTTGATGCATAACTGTAGATAGTGTTTAATTTTAAAAAGTTGTAATTATTACATTGTATATTTTCTATAACAACATTACATCATATCATGCAAAACACAAAATATTAATAAATATTTTAATGAGGCTTGACCTCGAAAGCCCCCTTATTTATCTTTTTCTAATTCTTTCATCTCCATTAAATGTATTTAGTTGTATTAATACCTATTAGTTATGACATCCCTCCCCATTTAAAATTCCTGGGTACGCCACTTGGTAGCTTACTATATGCGTTTTTAATACGCATATTTTGGTTATTGTTAACTCAACTACTCGGATGCCAAGTGAACGAATTAAGTCTCATCTTTTTTAAAAACTAAATTTTAATTAATAAATCAGATTTTTGTGGACTGTAATTTTGTATTCTTTATTGTGATTAGACCAATCAATAATAACAAGATCTTAAACCTTAGACGTGTTACAGATGAGTCCCACGCGATCAATTATAAACTCTATGATTCTTTCGCTGAAGAAAGGAATACTTATATACACTGTCTAGCATATAAATCATATTGCACAACGTGGAAAAGTTAAAATTTAATAAACAAAACTACATTAAAAAAGGCAAAATATTGATCTGTACATCTACTGTCACACAACACGTACGTAAAGTAAGAACACCAGAAGACTAGTGACAAAAGCTACATGATCTCCTATATCCTTAATGATATTCTGATTACAAGTTTTATGATTTTTAAGTGTAATATATGAATATTTATATATTTATAATATATAAAGGAAAAAGGTCCGATTAAAAAAAAAAGTATGTTGCATAAAAGAAGAATATTAATAGTACTTATCTTAAATTAATTATAATGATCCATACATTTTTTAAAAAGTTATAGCATTATAAAATAAAAATTTTTTTAACAAACATTGTATTTTAGCTTCAATGCGAAGCTGAGAAGGTATTAATTTTACTGAGCGTTTTTTTTTTATAATTATTTTTTGTTGTGCCTGTTACCACTTTTTCTCAGTTCTCATCGAACCGAATTCTTTCAACGATACGTCAAAAGATCACAAACCTAGCAGATGACATTGCCCTTAAAAAGTGAAAAAATTTCTCTTGTTCCCTGTAAATGAGGAAAATCTCTTAAAAAATTACAATTTTTTAAAATGGTAAATATTGACATTTTTTTTTTAACTCCATAACTTTTTCAAAAATGAAATTTTTGTTATAAGGGATGTTTTTAAAAAGTAATTATTATATGATAAATAAAGAATTTAAATAGAATAAAAGAATGTGAAGCATCATGAGCTTGCAACTTGCAAATTAAAATTTGTTTTTCTTAATGCTAAGATCTGAGTTAAATGAAGATAAAATTACTTCGAAAATAATACAGCAATGTATTCAACAGAATGCATTTAATGTTCATTCAAAAAATGTTTTGCTAGATGAACAAGCCTCTTCTCACAAAATAAATTGTAGAACACTATTCAAAGTAGATATAAAAAACGCAATGTAGCATCATCTGTACATCTTTTTGAGTACCTCCACTGGACTTTAAAGCAACCAAATGACAATGTATGATTAAATGAAGTAAATAGATATATAAATATAATTAGGAACATAAATAATGAACTGTTGATAATAGTATATATACCCCAATATATTTCAAAGTTAAAATTGTTTAATTTTCATATCATAAGTTGTCTAATTTTCTTTAATTAATTAAACTAGAAATGTCTACTTACTATTATATTATATAAAGTTTATATTAAGTTGCATTAATGTACAATAAAATATTTCTAAGATAGATAATTAAGTATTTATTTCTGAAATTATAGATGACTGTTTAGTAATTTTCATTTTGGTATCAAAAATTTCACATAAAAATATAAAAAGTTTTGCAAACCACCTTAGTATATAGTATATACTCACTCTTGTATTAAAATTCTTGTAATTCAATGTCTTAAAATTGTTTTCAACATTTTTTTTGTTAGAATATGGCTACAAATAACTATTTTGAAGTTTTGAAAAAAATTTGAAAAATTTTTTTTTAGACATAAATAATAAAAAAAACATGCTTTTAAACACAGTTTAAAAAGGCTTAAAGTTTAAGAAATTAAAAAAAAAATGATTATTGAATCAATAGTTATAATTGTCAATCATATCTGGTTAACGCTATATTTGATTTAAAAGGATCTAATACTCTTACGTTTAATTAATATCACAAAAACTAAGCAAATAAATTAAATTAAAAAAATATAAATGTTAAAAAATGTTAAGTTTTAGCTTGCCCTATTGTATAAGTATTAATGTTAGTTAAAGATTTTTTAAAATTAATATAGAAAGTAATTCAATAATTCACATTTGATCCAACCTGATATTATACAACTTTAATCATCATAAAATAATTATTTGTATTGTATAAAAATAAAAATGTATAATTAATTATATCACACTATCAATACAATAAGAATGTATCTTAAAAAATGATAATTACAAAAGAACGACTTCAGTATTTTTAATTATTTTTTTAACTTCTTATATGAGCTACATTTTGTGTTTTTTTTTTATTTGATTTATGTCCTTAATGTATTGATAGTTCAATTTAACTGTATAGAACTACAGAATTTTTTTAAATAAAAGTATCATTTATACTTAAATGTTTTTCTCATATCTAATAAATTTTTTAATTATTTTTATTGACTTACAGGTTGTTGTTGAACATGTGTATGCCAGTTTTCATGAGTTCCTTGTTCTTTTACATTCCTACGATCTTTTTGTCCATTCACTGTAGATAATTAAAAAAATATAGTAATTTTATTGAATTTAATCTATACGAAAACCGATATCAAATCGATTCTCTTAAGAAAAACATTACTACTTTAGTAATATTAGTAAATTAATTAATACTTAAAAAATTAAGTTACCTTGATTTCCTTGTCCTTTCACACGCTGAACGAGTACATAGAACATGACAAAGAAATACAAAATAATATCGAGATATTATAAATTGTACCAATAGCCAGCACCTATGTAAGAAAAATTTTATATTTCACCTGTTCAGAAACGCCGGCTGACATTACAACAGAGCTGCTGTAAACGTAACGAGAGTTGAATTGATTTGACTACCACTATGTAATTACTAATGGATGACGTTAATATGTGAATCTTGAATTAAATCAAAAACACAAAAACTAAATTCTAGTAAGAAGAAACAATGGTAAAACAGTGCCGGAAAAACGTCGCAGATAAAAAATGAAAATAGTAAATAAATAATAAAAAGGCGCAAGATAAGTAGGTGGGAGAACTTGCATGGTAACCGGTATAGCGCGTGCGTTTAATGTTAGCGAGTCTTTTTTCAAATATAAATTATCAAATAATATATTTATTAGAAATGGGTCGTATTCATTAAATATAACAATCTGTATTCTTATATGTTAAGTTTATATGTTTATATGTTAGTTGATTTTATTAATTACTATTTATGAATACGGATTTAATAAATCGAATTGCTAAAAACTATAAAAGAAGGCAAGTATACCATAGAGTAATTACTCTTTGAAGTAACCTTACTGGTTACTCTTTACCCATGGAGGTATAATTAATATTATGATTACCGTGGTCGTTACTTGTAAATGAGTAATCCATGGAGAATTATATAACCATGGTTATGACTTTGAATATAGCAATACCAACTTATTTTGGGTAACGTACCAATTTGATCCTTTATAACTTATATCCCCATGTGTCAACTACATCCCCAATATACATTTTCAATAGAGATTTAGTTTACGTGACAAGGAAATTAAAATATATATATATATATAACACTAATAAACATCATTATTATTATATGAATATAATGTATCTAATATTAACATAATTTGTGATACAAAACTAATTTTTTGAAAGAGGGAAATAAAATTTAGCCTCTCTAAAAAATTTGACTACCTTAAGCTTATAATTGAGATCTCAATTTTAAAGCAGTAAAAACAGAATAATTTAAATTGTATTTTGATTTTGTAAAGAATGGAGCGTTTACATAAATTCGTATATATAGATAAATGTGTTATTAGAATGTTTCTAATTTATATAAAGAATTCATCTTAATTAATAAAATAAGTTATTCATCGAATATATAGAATGTTTAGTAAGTAAGGAAACGAGTTTCTATTGATCTCATCGTTTGTAATAATTATTCTGTTTTCTTAATTACTTAACACCATGTATTTGTATAACAAAAAACAACCACAAATACACTAGACATGGAATATACAGAGAGAAAGTACAAATTTAAAAAAGTACATAGTTTTAAGTATCTAGATACAGAACTAAACAGCAAAAACAACAATTACGAAAAGATTAACAGTCAACTGGACATTGCATTATCTAAGTCCCTGAGCTCAAAGCTACTACTAAAGAAATCGAAGATGAGACTATACAAAAAATAACGTATGCATGCGAGACATGAAAAACAACGTTAGAGAACGGAAAACATTAACTGTAGCAAAAAGAAAATTTCTAAGGATGATACGTAGACCTAGAATAAATAATTTAACACAAAGGTATAAAATAAGATAAAATGAGAAATATATAATGCTCTCAGAAAACCAAATATAATTAGTGTAATTAGAGTCATAATACTAAGCTAGGTCACAAACTAAGGTTTAACATGACTACAAGAAAGTACTAAATTGGAAACCACGAGGGGAGAGATCTTTAGGCAGACCAAAACAACGATGGTTTGATAAAGTTTTATTATTTATTACACTTTAACATTAAGTTAAGTAAAAGAAAAATAAATGTTAAAAAGTAAAAATTAAAGTGTTCAAAATTAATTGATGAGACCGATGAAATCGATCATTAACTGATTTATAGCAGTTCTGTAATAAATCAGCCATTCGAAATTACAGTGTTATTCATAAATAACAGAGAATAGATAGGAAGTAGTTTATTATAAAACGTTCTCGAAAAATTACCTAAGGTACTTTATTCTTTTTATTCCATAAAAAAATTTAGTGTATAATTTTTACTTCACAAATGGGTCTTTTAAGTCCTTAATCTATTAAATTTCCCGACAACGCTGCTGAATATCAAAAAGTTTAAATTGGATTTAATAGATTACCCAATTTCCCCGTGTAATTGCTGTTATTAATTGTTTGCATATTAAAATTCCTAAAAATAATATTGGTGAACAATTTCGGAATCGAAAAAGATATTTTTCTTTAAATATTCAGGCATTATGCGATAGTAATTTTGAAGTTTTAAGCATTTGGTTTTGAAGTTTGAAATTGGAGATTTTCTGTACTTGCTCAATTTGGTACGAACATCTAGTTCGTACTAAATTGAGCACCTCCATGGCTATTATTGTAGCTACAGCTGTCTTGTATAATAATCTTCTATTAAAATAAGATGAGCACCGAAACATTTTAATAATCTCAATGACTAATTATTCTAAAAAATACTCACGCTGCCATCTCAACAGATTAGAAATGCTACTAGGATTAATTAATTAAATAAATTCTAATTTAACCCGATTAGTATTTACTGCACATAAAAAACATTCATTTAGATAATGATATATAATTTTTACTTTCGCTTATAATTGTTGAGCTAATTATTATTTTAATTAAGGCTATATCTTTATCCTCCTGAAAAGAATGGTTTATATTGTTTTATTTTTCGTAATTTTAGGATAATTTATTTTTTATATTAGTAATAATTAAAAAAAAAATAATTTCGCTTATATTTGTAACATTAAATAAATAAGTTAAATATACAAATATTATTTTTTTAATCTAAGTAATATAATATATTTTTCTTTAACTTCCATAATTATATATATGATAGAGATGTTAAGTTCGTGAACGAATAGTTCATTTAAACTATTCACTTAGATGAACTATTCTGAACTGTTTCAGTACCTATAATTTAACAGTTCACAGTTTGAAAAAAATTGGTAGCAATGTATAAATGAAATAGTTCGCGAACTTCTTTAAAAATTCTTTGTGGTTCGTTGTTCGAAATACTGTACATGGTTAATAGCTGTTTACAATTAGATAACAAATAAATTATATTGTTAAAATGTTACAGGGTTTTTAACTGTTTAACAATAAAATAAATTCATACTATGTAAAAATATTAGATCAAATTTCTGATTTAACTTAAGACTACTGGTCAGTATATCTACCTTGAATTAGGTGATAATGATAACATGAGCCATGAGGGTATTAATAATAATTTTTTCTTAGTTTATGATGTTCAGGTTAAGGGTTAGTTTATAACTTAATTGCCCATAAGTAGTGTGAACTACAACTGAACTGTGTACTGCTATACTAATAGTGATAAAATGAATAGTTCATTGCCAAACAATATCAGCATGATCAATAAAATTAGTGAACTTAAGAATAGTTCATTTGAACTATTCACTTGAATGAACTATGAACTAATGAACTATTCACAGAAATGAACTAAACTTTCCATCTCTANTAATGAACTATTCACAGAAATAAACTAAACTTTCTATCTCTATAATATATGACAATTATAACACACACAAAATATTGAATTGTAACAGATTAACTGATAAGAGTGATAATTTATATACAAATTACAACCAGGTAAAAGGTTTTAATGTATTAACCTCAATATATTATACTATTTACATGATACTTTCATGAAATGAGAAGTATTCTGTAAAATAAAATTTATTTAACCGATGATTTATAGATTAGATAGTTTTCTGAATAGTATTCATGCAAACGGCTTAAGACTTGCATTACAATGTGGATAATATAATTAAAGTTAGGATCTCACTCGTAACCGTAATAACCATTATGGTAGTTGTACCTCAAAAAGATAAATTTATATATACTCTTTAGGATCTATATTATTCTATAAGCAGTTACCAACTTGGTACATAGTTCAGGTCTATATCTTTTCGTTTCGGGGTTTATCATACATTACGACTTATTCATTTGGCGCTGACATCCATTTTGTATTGTTACTGTTCTCTATTGAGAGTTACTTATTTGAAGAAGATTTTTTTTTTAAATATAAGTTTCAATATTTGAAATTAAAATGGCTGCTGGAAAGAAACAGGTATAAATTTTACATAGTTTGTAGTTCAGACAACTTAAAATCGTAAAGTTACTGATTGGTTACAATATTTACACGTGTTCTTGTTAACCCCAAATTTAATGTTATACTCCTTTTCTATTATTTTGTAATTAGTCTCTCCCAAATACCTTAATTAAATAGAAATAATTTATCTTAAAATTTGGTGTTTTAATTCATAGATGTAAGGTGTTTACAATTTTTTGTCTTTGAAATAGCTTTGAAATATATTTATGATGTCTGAAATCATAAGTAATATTAAATTAATATAATTATTAGATCTTTTATTTGATGAGATTATTTGACTGTTAAAATAATTTTTAAAATTTTGATGTAAGTTTTTTATTTGATAATACTTTTTAGTACTAAGCCATACAATTTTTTAATAAAACTAATGTTAATGTGAGTTAAACAATTAATATGTTTGTTATTCTTTTATTGTTACTTCAATATTTTTTAATAATATATTAATACCATGTATGCACTGTTCTGCAAGTTTATGATGTATTTTTGGGTGGATTTGATTCAAAGACTCCAAATCTCCTTTCAAGTTAAACTATAAAATGTACCAATTATCATACCTGTAATGCAAACAGATTATTTGTAGGTAGAATGTAGTTATAAATCATTTTGATGATGACTCGTGAGAATTTAGAAACCACTATTCATTTTAAGGGAAGATGTAAAATAAGAAAAAAAATTCTATCTGAATTTTTTTGATAATATACTAATTAAGTAATACTTTTTATATAATTAATTAATATAAAACTATAGTCCAAAATTTAAAAAATTAGTAATAATTACCATTTACCATCATTCTATCTTAATTGATATAAACTATTTCAGATGATTAAAAAATATAAGTGGTCTGTGTAGATGATTGCCTCTATTGATAATTGTAGGATGACATTTATATTCAATTATTTGATTATCAAGATAGTTATATTATGTCTATCACTAGTTTTTATTACACTTTTATTTATGTCATGTTTCTTTCTATAAAAAAAAACATAGTTATTTAAGTTTTTATCTTGAAAAACTAACCATATAACCACAAAGTAGTATTAAGTGAAAAAAATTTTCTGTTAAGATTTTTAATTTAATCTCTTGAAATCTATCAATTTTCAAACAATTTCTGTCTACCATTTTCATGGTTGGTTGAAATAAAGAACATATAGTTTGTATTAATCATATAAAGTAATATTATTTCTTTAAAATAATACAAGTTACATGAATTTTACTATTTTTGCATGTTGTTCTTATTACCATTGCATAATGTCTATAGTTTACTCTCATGTACAATTTTAAGGTATTACTTGATATCATTCTTATATCATAAAAATATCAATATATTAATAGATATCATTTATTGTATGAATTGAAAGTAATCAATTATTTCATTTTTGTTACAGAAAAAGGCATTAGAAAGTATCAATACCAAATTGGCTCTTGTTATGAAGTCTGGAAAGTGTGTTCTTGGATTGAAACAATCGTTAAAAACCTTGCGTCAAGGAAAATCAAAATTGGTCATTATAGCTAACAACACATCTCCTTTAAGGTGAGACTGAGAAGTAGGAAACCCCTATATTTTTGCTTTATTTTCAATTTCCAAATAATGGGGTTTACCTATGGAGTAGTCTCAAATTTTATGATATTCTTTGAATAGAATTATCTGTTTTAACTCTTATAAAACTGTTATTTGCTATATTTTTCATAAGAATAATTAGGTGATTGACTGTATAATAGGTAAAAATCAATCGCCATATATTTTTAGATTTTTATTGTTAAAACTTATGTATTAATTTTATTTTTGTTAGAGTATCTGAAATTGAATACTATGCTATGCTATCCAAGACTGATGTTTTCCAATATTCTGGAAACAACATTGAATTAGGAACAGCATGTGGAAAGTATTTTAGAGTTGCCACTCTTTCAATCACTGACCCAGGTGACTCAGATATTATCAAGACGATCCCAACAGAAGGAAATCAATAATTTTTGTGTATTAAATTGAATAAATCATACCAATTTTTATGTATTTTTGATTTTTTATTTATTTTCCTAAATTCAAATTTCAAAGGTTTTATTTATTTTTAATTGAAATAATCTTGTTTAAATAATTTATTATTTATGTCCTAAATTATGAAAGAGAATCAGAGTATGGGTTGCGTATGTAATATAACTTTTTATTTTTGTTAATTAATAGTGGATAACGAGGTAACCATATAATCACTTAAATTTTCATTAGACTTTAATATATCATTTATTTGAACAAAATTATAAGTTAAAACAACTTGCTCCTAAAATCAATTTTTTATTTTTCACTAGCTAAAAATAAATAATTTTGTTCTCTAAACTTAATAAATTTCATTCAATATTAGAAGTCTGCCCTCAATTAGTAATATAAAACATAACTCCACTGTCAGTGAATGTTATGTACGTTTGAATAAAAGTGAAGTTAGTTTAATATCTTTGCGCATATTTTGTAATTTTAGGATACTCCATCCACTGTCAATAATGACTAGTAAAAACATCAAATATTACTATTTTTTATGTTTGTGATTAATAACGATACAAGTTAAAAATTTTTAGTTTTTTTTTGCTTCCTAAAAATTTTTGAAATTGCCTTATTTTTGCATAGTGCACTTGAATTTCAGTATATCATTACATAAAGTAATTTTGTTTCATAATTAAGATGATTTACTTGATAAATAATTTTTTTTTTTTAATAAAAATGAGTAAACATAAAAACAGTATAACAAATATATACTTTAACATATAAAGAAAAAAGAAAACAATACATTATAAGATTACCAGTTTTACCATAACCAAAAAAATACATATAAAAATATTGATAAAGAATTATTACTATGTTTGAATGGTAGAATGAATAGTATTTTTAGCTGTATTCATAATTTCTAAGGCACCCTTTTTTATTAATTCTTCTGCCAATTCTGTACCTAATTTTAAAGCTGTGTCCAAATCTAAATAACTTATCTTTCCAGGAGAAATTCCTACAAATTGTCGAGGTTGCTTATAAGGACATTTTTTAGGTGGTTCACCATCTTTATTTCGGTATTGATCAATATGATTTTGAATGAGTTTCTTATCTGCTAATAATCCAGATTTTGAATCTTGTAATATTTCAGAACCATCCAGACTCCATACCGCACCATCTAGTGATATTTCTCTTTTTTCCAAACATACAAATGATCTTGCACCAACAGGGGCACTACATCCTCCACCAAGTCGAGTCAGAAAAGCCCTTTCAGCAACAACCTAATAATAAATTAATCAAAATGTGTCACAATAAGGGGAAGTGTCACATTATATTACCTGTAATACGGTATCATAATCGTGTAAAGGTTCTAACAATTTTAGAATATTATCATCTCCTATTCTACATTCCACAGCTAAAGCACCTTGCCCAATTGCATACAACATTACATCAGATTCAATTATTTGGGATACCCGATTATTCCAACCCATTCTTTGGATACCAGCTAAGGCCAAAATAATACCTGCATAATTTGTAGTTGTGCCTTCACCAACTTTATTATCCAATTTTTTTAATCTAGTGTTTAAATTTCCTCGTACATCAGAAATTTTTAAATTGGGAAATTTTCTTTTTAACTGAGCTGTGCGGCGTAAAGAACTGGTACCTAATGATAAAAAATTTAAACTTACATTATTTATTTTTAAATTTTTATAAAAAATGTATATAATAAAAACATTATCATTGAGATAGTCAAAGAGTGCTCTAGTCTCCTTGAATTATATCTGGATTTAACATTAGGTATTAGGGTGCTTTAATCATTATTTAGGATATTTTATAAAGTAATTGTATAATATATAGAGGGTGATTAGTAAGTAAGGAAACAGGTTTCTATTGTTCTCATTGTTTGTAACAATTGACCTGTTTCCTTACTTACTGAACACCTTATATATATAAAGTGAATTATTTGAAATGATAACTTTATAATATCATTTAATATATGATATTTATTAAATAATAAATTGTATAGAAAATTAATTATTACTCTTCATCCTCTTCATAAAGGGGCAATTTATAGAACATGTTTTGTGTATCTAACTCAATTTCTCCTCTCCTTAAATATATTTTAATAAAACTAATGTGATTATATAATTATACTCAGTATTTTTGAAAACTTATAACTAAACATTTAGTACTGGTGCATATGTATAACTCATACTCCAACCAAACTGCATACTCACTCTATGTATTAAAATGCTAATTACTCAAATACTTTTTTCTTATTAGTGATAAATAATAAGACAATATGTCTTTAAGAAGGTTTTAGCAAAATGATAATTATAACAAAAGTTATATGCATTGTCAGTTAGGTCTGAGACATTCTGTATATTGTAATGTAATTCATTATTACTTTGTTACACTACTGAATAAATGTTAACTTAAGGAGTTAGATAACAAATTAAACAAAATTCTGATAAGGTAAATTATACAGTTAATTTCCTGTAAGATTAATGAACTCTTGATTGTAGTTTAAACATTTAAAAATTAAAAAAAAAATTTTGAGCTTAATAAGAGTTAGATACAGTAGCATTTTCATAAAAAAAACCAAAGGGTATATTTTATTGGAGATTTGTAATTACTAAATTAAGGAATTCTACAAGCTTTTTCATTAAGTTTAAATAGTGTAAAGGATAGGGGAATTGAAAATAAAAAATTACATTGAATAGTAATTTTTTGTTTTATACATTTGTAATTAATATGTATTTATGTTATTAATAATGTATATTTATGTTACATAAATATACTACAATTACATGTGTATTTTTAGTATTTTTACAGGTATATGTTAATGTTTAAAATTAAAACTGGGTTAGAAAAGAGATTCATAAAGATTTTTTAGTAAAAACAAAAACTCAATATTAATGATGTATAAACAAAATAATTTTTTTGTTTTTTAAAGTCCAAATTACTTTTCTAATAATTTATACTAAGAATTTTTTGGATACATCTTAAAAAGTTTTTGAATTAAAAGTGGTTTTAATACATTTTAACAGATGTTTTTTCTAGGAAAAGTTCTGAAAGTGAGTAAAACTAGGAATGAATTTTTGCCCATTTAATAAAATTGTTATACATAAAAAATTAGTCTTTAACTCAATAATTGACCAAATTAATAATAATAATAATTGACCTAAATAAATAATCCCTACATTGTTGGGATAGAAGCTAAAAAAATTATGTTGATGATAACTTATATTAAAATATTTTAGTGCTAAATCACAAATGCCATGTTGTTTAACCTCTTGACTTTTATCAATATAAATTTAAGCCCATATCTCAAAAATTAATGTAAATAATTTAACATGATAATTATGGAACTCAAATGGGGCTACATACTCTAGATACTAAGTTTACAAGATTTGAATAATCATTTAATTAAATAATTAAAAATTTTGAACTTTTTTAACTTGGGTAATCAATGTTTTTCTTAGAAGGGTCTCTATTATTTAAATTGTAATTTTTCTAATTAGTTAGTTAGATTACCTATTAAACTTTGGTCAGGTAAAGAATCCAGCTTGAATTGCTTGTAATCATTCCGTAATATTAGAGCATCTCTTGGGTCATCTCTTTTTAATACAGCTCCTATAGTAGTACCAATTTCCATAACTGTTGGTAAATCTTTTAAAGAATGAACAATGAAATCAACATTTCCACTTAATAATGCAACTTCAAGATCCTTAGTAAATAAACTTTTTTCACCAATTTTTGGCAAAGGTTTGTCCAAAACTCTATCACCCATTGTTGTCATTGAAACAATTTCAAATTCAATATCAGAATTAAATTTTTTTAACTGGTCAATCACAAAGTTTGTTTGAATTAGAGCAAGTTCACTTTTGCGAGAACCGACTCGAATTCTTTTCTTTTCTTCACTCATTATAAAACTTTAGATAAAATCAAACTTGATAAACTTAAATTATTATTGATAAATTATTGTCACTGCAATAGATTTATCACTCTATTTAAAAAAATATATTGAAGGAAATAAGTTAAACCATAGTATAGCACTAAAAACGCATATATCCTTGGACTTGGTTTTCACTGTTACTGTTAAAAAAATTAACGTACGTCATTTAATGAATTCACAAATTAATACAATAGTAGGTACTTACAATGAGGACTACTGAATTTTGATATAGGTTGGGCATAGGTTTACTAGCTGCCACAAAGTAAGGACACCTTACGTAATAATTCATATGGAATAATGAATAGTTAGATAAAAGTGAAAGGTCTAAGTTGAGTAAATAATAAATTAAAATTTGAAAGCTGATATTCTATCAATGTCATATTAAACATATCATTTGAGAATTTTGTTTCTAGTTATGATAGCATAAATCCCATATCGGCTACACTGTCTTTACATATGCTACCGTGGTTTAGTCATGTGATCAATATTTTGGAAAGTGTTAAACAATAACACAAGTCGTCAAAAAAATTGTTATGCTTATAATAGTTATTTTTCGTGATGCAGAGTGAAAAATTAAAATTTATTGTATGGCGTTTAAAATATTGTTCCTCGTGATATCATTTTCAAAAATTGAAGTTTAGAAGTTGCTCGTGTGATTATTTCCGGTCTTTTGAGATTTTTGAGAACCTTATAATATGCCGTCAGAATCAAAAATACCTGCCCAAATGGAGAAACCAAATCATTATTCGTAAGATGCTATTATTATTTGAATATTACTTATAATTTTTGCTTTTCAGTTTAACTATTTCATATATATTATTGAATGAACCTGATTTTTTATGCTATTTTTACTATTTTGTAGCTATTTAAAGGAGTTCAGAGTTGAGCAATGTCCTCTATTTCTGCAACATAAATGTACGCAACATAGACCATATACTTGTTTTAATTGGCATTTTATGAACCAAAGGCGTCGTAGACCAGTTAGAAAGAGAGATGGTACTTTCAACTATAGTGCTGATGACTATTGTACACAGTATGATGAAACTACTGGTGTTTGTACCAAGGGAGACGAGTAATGAAAAAGATAACTTTTAATTTATTATTAATATTTAATTTATTAAATATTTGTTATTTTATGTTTAGAGAACGTAAAACAACTATCAAATTATGAGGATTTCAATTTAGACATAATTATAATAGTTGTCATTATCTTGTTTAACTACATTTATCAGTAAAGATTTCTTTTCAAAAGTTATACTCATCATTAATTTTTTTTCTATTAAACAATTAAAAAGCGTATTTTCAAATATTTTTATTATTTTATTGTCATTATGTTATGAACTTCTTAGTATTATTGTTATAATTTTTTTAAAATTATACTTAAACTAGAAAACTTTTTAAGGCAAGATTTTTTTTCATGTAATATAATTTAATTTTGTTTTTTTATAAAGATGCCAATATTTGCATCGTACAGCTGGTGATACAGAGAGACGTTACCATTTGCGATATTATAAAACATGTATGTGTGTTCATGATACGGATAGTAGGGGATTTTGTACAAAAAATGGTCCTCATTGTGCTTTTGCCCATGGAAATCATGACCTTAGACCACCAGTATATGATATAAATGAGCAAAAGGTATTAGTGTCATTTATATATAAAATAATGTGTGCTAAAAGTTCTATAACTTAATAAGTATAAAAATTTATTAGGTATCAGAAAATGATGACGAGGATAGTGGTGATTTAGAAGGACCAAATGTATTAGATAAAGAAAAAAATTTAATGAACGAAGATCCTAAATGGCAAGGTATTATAATTATTTACAATTTATATTTCAATAAACTGGGTTTCATTAAATTAACATGTCGTAGATACTAATTATGTGCTATCAAATTATAAAACTGATCAATGTCAAAGGCCTCCTCGTCTTTGTCGTCAAGGTTATGCTTGTCCACAGTATCATAACAGTAGAGATAAAAGACGCAATCCAAGGAAACACAAATACAGGTTAATTATATCTAAATAAATTCAATATTTGAAACATTTTATATTTAGATAATTATTAAATTATACTATTTTATAGGTCAACTCCTTGTCCAAATGTGAAACATGGAGATGAATGGGGTGAACCTAGTAACTGTGAAAGTGGAGATAATTGTGCGTATTGCCATACTAGAACTGAACAGCAATTTCATCCAGAAATTTATAAATCAACTAAATGTAATGATGTTCAACAAGCTGGCTATTGTCCTCGTGGTGTTTTTTGTGCTTTCGCACATGTTGATCGTATGTAATTCATATTATTATAATCATTGTTAATTAATAAATATATTAATTTTAAAGAGGAAATGATTATTGCTCGTGAATCAGCTGCAGGCTTAGAAACATCTACAGATCTAGCTGATATACTATCAAATGCCATACCATCTTTAGGGACAGAATGTCTTAGATCTCCGGTAAAACAATTAGATAGTGAACAAAAAATATTATCGGTTAGATATTTATACAATATTGACACTCGCTCATATTTGAACGATGTGTTATAATTTACAGAACGGAAGCGGTGATCTTTCTGAATGTACATCAAGTATTGGTTCTCCTAATAAAGCTCCGGGTGCTCATTTATCTAGATCTGAATTTAATGTACAACAATACCAAATAGCACACGAGGATACTATACAAGCTGTAATTACACATGGAGTTTTAAAATGTTTTGATTTAACTATGTGTTTGATTAATAATTTAATTTCTAGCTATTAAATTCATTTGATTCACAATCTTTATTACCTAACGTAGAACCTCATAGAAGACATAGCTCAATATTTGGACCTGTTGTATCTAATGGAAATAGTAATTCATCATCATTTTTGAATCATTTTTCATCCTATCAACCTGCTACAACAATGAATGGTATTAATAAAGTTTTTAATTTAATATATTTTTATAAATACTGTGTTTTATTATTAGGAAATCTGGATGAATTGGTAATGGAAGATAATATAAATTTTTCTGTAGATCAAGAACATGAATCTCCTATTTTAAATAATCCTCTATCTTCAAGTTTACAGGCCTCTGGTAAATTTATGTGTGAATGAATTTATTTAAATAAAAATTAAAAATCATTGTCTTTTTTTTTTAGATATGTTAGGAAGCTCTGCCCCAGTAAACATTCCGCTAACTCGTCATAATAGTATTGGACATTTTTCACCAACAATAGCATCACCTATGAAACAAATGCAAAATAATATATTACATAAATCTAGGTTTAATCAACAAGATGGTTTAGGACATTTAAATATAGTTACTGGTCATAATTATGGATCTACTGGTTTATTTGGTATTGGTTCACCTGGAACTACAAATACATTTCCAATTAGTCCTTCTAATTCTAGTGAAGTAATTACTTATGTTATATATATAAAAGTGAAAATAATTTATTTTCAGACACTATTATTATGTATAAATATAAACATAAATATATTTATTATAAAAACAAACTACATAATTGATCACAATTGACCAGTGACACTCTACGCATGGTGCCTACTGTACGACTCTGTTCACCTATTTAGTTAATTTACTTTTTACTTTTCTTTCCTTTACAGATCATTTACAACATTTATGATTTTATCATATTTTTAAAGAATAAATTAATCAATAGTAAACTATATTTTTAGGTTCATAGATTACAAGAAGAATTATTAAATTGTAGATCAAAATTAGTTAGTTGGGAATCAGAAAGAATGTCTCAAATTAGGTGTACGTATGATGCGTGGCAAAGAGAGACTGAAGATTTAAATACAAAATTAAAAATTGCTGAACAACAAAGAGATGAAGTAATAGATAGTTGGTTTTATCACTTTATTATAATAATTATAGTATATCTCATTGTTAATTTTAGGCTATTAATCAAGCGAAAGCATTACAACAAGAAGTAGATTTATTGCAAGGTTCTCCGTATCTCCATGGGTTACGAAGGGTTTCTGAAATTAGGAATTTATCATTATCTGTATTAAAATCTTTACAGAGTCAAATGAGAAATGATCTTGAAGAAATTGATAAGGTAATCAATTTACGATAAAAAAAAAATAATTAAAAATCTTTCTAGATCAATCAAAATTTTTAAAAATAATATCCAAAAATGCACAATTTTTTTAAACTATCCAAATAATAATTAAAAATTATTGTTGACAAAATTTCAATGAATAATTTGTTTTAATAATACATTTTTTTAACCCAGTTAATATAATCAAATATTGCGTTCAAAAGTTGACAACAGTATATCAAATAAGTAAAAGTATCATAGATTACTTTATATGTTATTGTTATCTTTTTAAGATACTCAAGTTGAGTGATAAATAAATATTTTATAAATTCTTTACTTATTTTAAAATTAAAACTTTAAATAACTCTAATAATAATTTTTTTTAGAAGTCATATAAATAAATAATTTTCTTTTAATTAAAAATATTACTGTCAAAATATAACTCTTTTTATGATTAAAATGTTTAATATTGTAATCATATTTTGTAAAATTTTATAAAGATGTATATACTAACCATTTTTGGCTCAGGTACTATATTTGCAAACTGCTACCAAATGTATGTTATGTGAAGAAAGGAATAGAAGTGTTACATTAGGTCCTTGTAATCATTTTGTTTTATGTAATCAATGTGTAGATACAATAAAAGATTGTCCTTATTGTTCAACTCCTATTCTGTCTCATACTAATACATCAACATCGCAAGCATAGATATAGTGACTATTTTTAAGGAAATCTAAAACTTAAATTATTTATATCATTCAAGTTCTTGGAAGGAAAAATTATATTTATGAGTTTTATAAAATTATAGACGTGCGTTATTGTGTATTCTGTAATAATGTGTACCACATTATACTAACTAGTATTATAAAATATTAGTTTGAGCCATTTTTGTAGAATTTATACATTTTGTTTTTTTTTTAATGATTACATTTAAATTGCATTAAATTATTTAGCGTTCTTATAATATAAATTATATCAGTAAAAGTCATTTTACTGGAAAACTAAAAACTTTAATTATTACTCAATTAAAACTAAAGTCATCTTATAAACTTTAAATTATTTATTTTACATATAAATAGTTTTATAACATTTTATTGAAGATTATCCTCATGTGCTACAATTATTTTTCTGTTGATAAATATACAGACAGACAAATAAAACTATAATTACTTTTAAAATATATTCTCAAATCTTAATAACATTTTGTATAATATATATTATTCATTAAAAAAATTTTAAACAAATATAATTTAAATTAATTTTCTCATTGGTGAAATATATTAATATATACTGACAGTTATCTATTTAAAATACAAATTCATCAAATTCATTGAATATTTTCTATATAATTTAAAATTATGGTCTGTAAAATTATGGTTCATCAGTGTAGCATGTCAGGCTAAATGTTCATAAATTAGAAAAGTTAAAATAAAAAATTTTAATCAAAGTCACTTAGTCACCGATATATCAAATAAATGTGATTATTATTTGTGTCAAAATTATGTTTTTATTTTTGTAGCTGTAAATATGATCACTACAAATATATAATAAAATATTATGAAATTTTTTTTTTAAATATAAACTATAACAATAAAATTTATTTTTCTATTATCTGTATCAGTAACTTTGAGGTAATTATTCAACTAATATAATTTTCATTAAAAAAAAAAAAATGTAGCATTATTTTATTAGTTAAAGTGCATTCAATTTTTATAATGTCTTATTTTTCTCTAAAATGTGTGTATTCATCCCATTAATTATAGATATAAGAAATAAACCATGTCATAATTTTAAGAATTATTGTATTATTTATTTCTAAGTGACTTTGAACAATAGAAATATTGTATTTATTGATTTTTTCCTTTTAAATTGAAAATTGAATTTTTTGGTTATTGAAACATTTTCATTCCTTCTTTATTATATTTTCATCTAATATAAAATAAGTTTTACTCCCTTTTATTTTAAACAAGCTAACATATTGTTGAACTCAACAAAATATAGTATTATGTGTTTCTCAAAATACATTTTCTGTCACTCCATCTATGCAATATTATTTTTTATAATATTTATATTTGAGTAGATCATTATGAATATAATTAAACTACCATTAATAATTTAATGGCATTCATAATTTAGATCTTGATGAATAATATGTATTATTTAACTCAAAGTTTTATCTTATTTACCAAACATTAATTATATGTTGTATTACTATTTAAATATTTTTATTTTTGAATATTTCTGTGGTAAATTATGTATTTCCTAATTGTGTTTATAGTTTTAATTTTAGAATTTAGTTTATGATTTTAAAAATTAAGATAGAGTCTAACATGTTTTTATAAAATTAGTAGTACCAGTTTAATATTTTAGTAGGTTTAAAGTACATATGATAAATATAAAGGTGATAATTGGTTGTTTCTTTAGAAAGAGTTGAAATCTAATACATATTAATTAGACATTAGGCCTTTTTCAAAGAATAAATTCAATTGATAGATGGCTGTTTAATTATAGGAATATTTATGTATTTCTAAGAAATATCAGAAATAAGGAAATATTTATGTATATTAATGAAATATGTATAAATTAATTTTTTAATGAATGTCAACTTGATTATTATTGCTCATTTTGATTAACATTATGCTATGAACAAATTTAAATATTTTGATGTGGACTCTGTGGTTGATATAATGTATGTCTTTTAATAAAAACCAGTATTATTTTTTAATTTATACATCAGCTTTTGAACCTCTAATAAAACATAAATCAGGTGATTCACGTGAAAATAACTGATAAGTTATTTTTGACAGCATGTTTACTCTAAAAAAGTACAAAATATTTATTGGGTTATTTTGAATCAAGATGCTAGTATATTTGTCTACATTTGTTATTTATAACTGCAATTAGAATGGAGGGCCAAAGATAGATTGAATAATTTTGACAAAAATTTATATTTTTTAATTATATTAATATCATATAAATTTTTTTTGTCAAATATTTTTGACTAGTTAAAAGTATGTTTCATCCATCCTGTACTTAAAGGAACTAGAATTTGATACTATCGCACTAGGGTTAACTTGAATATATTGGAAACAAATTTTGTATATAATAAATAAATATTAATATTATAGGATTAATTAAACTGTTTCAACTATCCAAAAGTTAAATCATCATAATTGCTTTTAATGATGTTTTCATATTTAGACGGTGATAAAGATTTCTCAAACTTTTTCCATGTATTAAATAGATTAGCAAACCACTAGTTAAATTCTGAAAAGGCCAATTTAAAATAATGTAGCAAAGTCGCGAGGTTGGACAATAATTCAGTGGTCCGTGTATCGAAACTACGCTCTGTTAGAAATTTTATTGTTTACAGCTAAATAGATAAATGTGATATACAAATAGGTTAAGTATTTTTGTGTAATATAAAACTACTTACATGAGATATGCATGTACAAATTTTCATCTTAATTGAATTTACTGTAGCACCTAAATACTAGTGATAGGTACTATCGAATAGATTGACTATCTGATATAACAGAAAGTTTTTAAAAAATGCTGATAATATAGAAGAAAAACTTCTATATGACTTTTCTTTATTTAGAATTTTAATAAAAAAAACTTTACTTTGGTACAAGAGTCATCATACACATCCTTTATTATATTAATGTACATTTTCGGGACTCAACATATGCTTGACATATTCAGAACTATATTCCGTTAAGCTATATCCCGTAGTTTTTAACTAATTAGTAAGAACATCAAAAATTTAATTGCAAATTTGAAATAAGCTCGAAAAATTAATCAATAAAACTAAATTTTTCTCTGATGAAAATTTCTCGCAGACCATTTATTCATAATTAACAACAAATTATCTCCTTAAAAGTTTTATATAAAGCCCTTCATTTTTATTCACGTTTGATATAAAAGTAACAACTACTTTATAATTTTTTCGTAAAAAATGCCATATTTAATTATTAAATACTAATTTCATACTATATTTAATTGCTATAATAGATATTCTTTCATATTTATACTTAGAAATCATAGAATTACTAAATAAGATTATTGAAGGGAATAGGAGTTTATCATTTTTTTGGAAAAACCCTCCAATTTCTTGAAATTAAACACCATCTACAGAAGAATTTCTGAAGCATAGAAGCGTTTCTTATGATAGTGATTTTTATCATTGTCAGATATCTATATGTGTCCCAACTATGCTATATTCATACTATATCGCGACCCCTCTGTGCCTCTGTTACCAGAGTAACAGGAGGTTTTAGAGTAAAAATAGAAGTGCACCAAGTTTCTGCTTTAAGCCCTTACTTATTTTCTATAGTGATGAATAAAATTACTAAAGAAATACGAGTACGAGTTTGACTAAGGAGAACACAAGGTAGATAAAATGAGGAGTTCAGTGACAATAGGCGAGGACGTGATAGGAGAGGTGGAAAGTTTAAAGTATATAGGATCAGTTATATGTAAAAGAACGGTGGTATTGACGGGGATTTAAGACACAGGATTAAGTACGGGTGATTTAAGTGGAGAATAGCGTCTGGTGTGTTATGCGATAAAAGAATTCCTATAAAGGATATAGATAATAAACCAAATGTTTTACATAGAAAAAGTATAACTTTCTATTGATAGTACCACAGAATAGATAAGATAATAGTAGCTATTCTATAATAGTAATAATCATTACTTCTATTTTTACATAGTCAACATACTATGGTGCGGACTGATAGTATCTTACAGTTCTATGGCTGAACTATTCTAATTTTTATCTTATCATGCTACGGATATGAGCGTTTATTTAAGAGATCATTTTCATGGAAAATATTAAAACCTTCAATAAACATTTAACGTTTAAAATGTCATATTTTTATAAAATGTTCTAGAAATTTAATTTTAAAACTATAATACATTTTTTTAGCAAATTTTATTAATTATTTAATATACAAAATGGCCGTTTTTAAATTTTGTTTACAAATTTATGTTGAAATTGTAGAATATCAGTCTTACAATTAATTAAAACAGAAAGTAACGTAAAATATTAATAAGATCAAAAATTATTTAAATTATCATATTATCATGACTCACTCTTTATTTAGTTTAAAATTAAGTAATCTCTAAGAAAAATTATGTTTATGTTATCAAATTATTGTAAGATAATAGTTATTATTTTTTATCATGGATTAACTATTGAAAATGAAAGTGTTAAGTGTTACCTTAGTGTATATCGTTGGAAATTATAGTAATAATTTCAATGATAATTCATTTTTACAAAATGTTAAGTAAATTATAATAGTTAATGTTTTTTCTTTACATTGACGTATAAAAAATTTGTAAGGTGTAGTATATTTTTATTATATAATAACGGCAAAGCTATATGAACAGATATGGTTAGTCCAATTATCTGAAATCTACAAAATTAGTAAAATTTTTAGCAGAGCGTGGTTTCGATCCACGGACCTCTGGGTTATGGGCCCAGCACGCTTCCACTGCGCCACTCTGCTACATTATTTTAATTTTATAAAAGTTGCTTCTTTAAATAATATTGTAAGATAATATAGGTTAGCATGTATAATTTCATACGTAAATTACTAAAGCAAGGGCGTACACTAGAGGGGTCAAAGATGAGCAGTTATATTACATAATACACAATACTATGTACTATAAAACAACCTAATCAAATAACTACCAAACGACGATTTTTACATAGGGTGACAAAGTACTTCCCAATGACGAAAAATAGCTTTAAACACCATAGGTATAGTTTGAGAAAACATGTTAGTGTTTTTTCGTCTGAAGCCTCATTCCCTAAACTTAGCAAATGCCGGTTAACCACCCGCCCCTCTAAAGGTGGCCATGAATAATCAAATAATACAAACGAATTAAAAATAAAATTGTTTTGCTTTCCCCTTGACAAATTTCTACGGATACTTCGAATAGTAAATTGATTATTGATTATTTTATTAAATATTTATGCATTTTTTGTTATAATTGCAAGGAATTTTTCGGTCAATTTTTTTTTGTGATAATCCTGAAAAATTGCGTGTGGAAAAAATGTGACAATGGTTTTTCTTGCAAAAATTATACATATGTAGTAATTTGAAATGTATCTCATCACAGTTTTTTTTAGTTAAATAATTTTAGTAAAATTTGACTTTGAAGTACAACAAGTAATTGTAATTTTTAAAATTTCTCAAAGTAATTTGCCTAAGACTGTGTTTATGACCTGCAACTAGTATTATTAATTATATTAGTCTATTCAATACTAAGTAATATATTATCTCTTTCTCCGGTGACGGACTAACCAGCCGTCCCGGAGTATAAATAGTTAAGAAACCTCCTTCTTTGGGGTAAGCCGCTTTGATCTTTAATGGGCTGATAAATCAATTTAAAAAAAATATTATCAACATTTTTTCCATAATAAATATAAAAAAAATATCTTTATAACTATTATTAAACTTGTTAAGACGTCAATTTATTAATTTGCAGTAAAAAAGCCTATTCAGTACAAAAAACCATTTGCTTTTTTTTTTTTGTTAAAAAAAAAGTTTTTTTGAACCCGGTGTTATTAAAATAGGACTTTTTAAGGATTATTTTTTGGAAATTTTTTACTAAAAGAAGTAACTATCATGCTACCTTAGTAAAAATAAATTTAGTTCATTTCCTCCTAAAAAGAGTTATAAATATATGAGAATTTGCTTAAAACTATCCAAAAAGTTGGATTTTTTTTCCTCTAAAGGAAGCTGTGGAGGCTTAGTCCTCATTTTTTTTTATTTAATATTTATATTTATTAATATAAAAAATATTAAATTGATTAATTAATTAGCTTCCCAAATTGTATTATATTTCGGGTTATATGAACCACTAAAAAGAATTTTTAGTTTATTCTATCGATTATATACTTTTATATTTATTGATTAATTTAATAATTTCATATTAAAAAAAATATGGCTTTTATCTACTCATTAACTTTGATCTATTTGCTAATATTGTATGTATCATTTCTACAACACCTTTAACTACACTGCCATATTATAGTTAATTATCTGTAATATTTTGACTGTTAGTTTGGGTGCAAAGTTGAGAAGTTATAAATTTTATCCACGACCATTTTTTATCATTTGTATTTGTACGTAAAAATTCTCAGCTCTCGTCAGATTTATTTTGTTGATCTATACGTCAAACCAGAATTTAATCTTAAAGAATCTATCAGTTTCAAAAATTGTAAAAAAATTTCTCAATTTGGTAAGTTTGATAAGTATAACAAATCTAAAAAAGAACAAATTTAGAATATTTTTTTGCATTTAAAAATTTTTATAATATATAAAAATTCTCGAATCTTAACTTTATTTTAAATAAGACAGCAGACTTATTATAGGTATGCTAATTAAAAATCTAGGTAAAGGTTGACTTTAAACAGGATCACCATTAATAAAATTTTTTCTTTTTAACTTATGATAATGATCTGGAACGTCTAAAAATTTTTAAGCTATATCTTATTCAAATTTTTAAAAAATTTTTCCAAACTGAAATCGTGAGCATCACCAAAACTGTTTCAGCTTAAATAGTTTTTTTTTAAAATTTTATATTTATAACATAGACGCTATCAAAATTAAAATTTTTGGAGATGTGACATTAACTTTTCACTTACCCTATCTAAACTGAATAAGAAAAAAAATCAATATTACCGGCATATGTGACAGTTAAATAAAAAATAAAACAGTTTTTTTTCAATTTATATAAATAAACGAAAATATTGCTTATTCCCTTACTTATTAAGGGTCGAAAGAAATTTTTCCAAATTTTGAGGCTCTAGCTATATCTATATAAAAGAGTTTCTAGTGAATTTTTGTATTATTTTAAGTATTATTCTTTGAATTACAACCATTTTATTGATTTACTAGGGTGATATATTAAATTACTACTTTTTTAATTTATCCAATAAAAATTTATTTTATGTAATTAAAATAAAAAAAAAAGGTATAGTTTTATAGTTATTTAAATGTACTTATTTTTACAAGTGGGGATATGTAGCAGAGTGGCGCAGTGGAAGCGTGCTGGGCCCATAACCCAGAGGTCCGTGGATCGAAACCACGCTCTGCTAACGAAACTTTTTGCGAAAAATTTTCTTTTGTACTTATGTATTTATTTAATGAAATATTATATCTCATGTATTATTTCATTACATGAATACTTAAAATATATAGGACAATTTTTTTATATAGCAAATAATTAAAGCGAATGTTAAGAATATACATTTTTCCTAAAAGAGAACTTGTTTTACAATTATTATAGATATTAGAGCGTTGCATGGGCCAAAATTTATGAGGAAAATGTTATAAAAGTCACATTTGTAAAATAACGACAACTATTTTTAGCAGCGTATTTATATGCAGGCGCTATAGGCAACTGCCTACAGCGGCAAATATTGAAGGCTGACAAATTTATAAAAGGTGAGTTATGTTTTTATTGTTGTTGTGACATATTAACTTCCTAATAATTATCATAATAGTTTACATTCAGTGGCGTAGATACAGGGGGGGTTTAGGGGTTTAAATCCCCCAGAACCAAAAAAAAAAAAATTATTTATAAATAAACTAGAGGTACGATATAAAATTATTTTTTTACATTTTATTAATAATATTTTCAATTAATTTTAAATAAAAAACTACATCTTTAAATATTAATTAGTCAAAAATTTAATATGAAATAAACCCCCATATTTATTTATTTGTCTGAAGAACAAAATTACTAGTCTTTTTTTTTTTTTATAGTCCACATTTGGTCCAGTTTTCGTTTCATGTAATGGTATAGCCCGTTTTTTTTCAAAAATTTTCAGTAATTTCTGGTCTTTGAATTATTTATACAAAAAAAAAAATTAACTGTTAAATTTGAACTATTAAGTATAAAAAAAAATTAATCATCAAATGTACATCCTTCTATTTCCCGAACTTAACATGCTACAAAGGGTGGTGGCTCTATTTCACATTTTAGGGAATCAAAGATGGTTCTTGGCTGGCCAATGTTGGATGGACGGGTATTATGGCCAGCTTACACTAGAGACTAGACACCACCAATAAGAAACCAATAGGAACCCAGGATCCCGTGCGCTGAAAAATATGTTTCTACATTGAACAAGCTGGTCCCTAATCTATTAAATATAACATTTTTAAATAGGTGTTTTTGTCTGTAGACAAGAGAAATAATTAAAAATTGATAGTTATAACTAGAGGTCGGATTTATATTCTCTTAAAATCCTTAAAATATGATGTTTTTATGTCACATAAAATAGGCAATATATTCTCTTAATATTCTTTTAAAATACCAAATATATGATGTTTTATGTCCTTAGCAAAATATTCTTTGAATATTAAAAAAAAATTCAATTTCAATTTATTTTTTATTAATTTGGTTTTAAATATATTTAATTTAATTAATTTTACAATAACAATTAATTACTATATATTGTTCAATGTGTTCCGGTGTCATTGTAGTACGCCGGTTTGTAAGAATATTTTTGTAGATGCTGAAAGATCGTTCGACATCAACCGATGTTACTGGAGAATATTGCAAGTCGGCTACCATAATCGGTGAATAATTTTCCGGAAGTTGTACTGTGTTATTTCCACTAAGAACTTGTCCAATATTTTTTAAAAATTTGTATCCTTTGTTTTTTTGTTGAAGTTGCAATATTTTTGTTTTTACTACTTCTCCTTTTTCTCCTGGTATCTGTTCAAGTTGTGTAAAAGTGTTTTCAATAATATTTATTATATCAACCAAGGGAGTATTTGATTTTTCCAAACTTTTGATAGTTGTAACAATTTGAAGAAAATTAGTTTTAATAAAAATCAAATCATTTTTTACAGACTGTAGGTGTAATATATTTTTGCATTTTTGAATACTGACTGACGACTTTTCTTCACTTAATTTGTCTATAACCTTTTTCAAACACTCAAAATTATCGCAATTAAATACTGCGGCTTCCAGCCAAGTTCCCCATCTAGTTAAAACGGGTTCTGGGGGTAATGGCACATTGGGCAATATTTCTTTGTACACCTGGACATGATATGGCGCTTTTAAAAATACTTTTTTTAGATTACTGATTAATTTATTAACATTTGGAAACATTTCTCTGACCTTCTCTGCAACCCTGTTCATCATGTGAGCTACACACGTAACGTGAATTAAATTTGGGTAGAAAACTTTTAGTGTATCACCGGTTTTTGTCATGTATGGAGCTGCATCCGATAACATTACCAACACTTTTTCGTCATTTCCACCCAACGGCCATAATAATTTTAGTCCATCATTGATAAACCGAGCAACAGTGGAATGATTAGTTTTTTCCAAAACTTTGCATGTCAGGAGAAATGGGCGAGTCGGAGTATTTGATTTTAATATTCCCACCAGTAAATTTGCAACGTAACGACCGTTTGTATCTGTAGTTTCATCTACAGCAAACCAAATATTATTTTCACCAATTTCAGTTTTAATTTTCGTTAAAGTATTATGGTAGCATGGCTCGAGATAATTTTTACGTAACGCACTTTCATCTGGTATATGTTTGCCAGTGTATTTCTCTAAAAATGTACGTAATTGAGGAACTTGCATTTTATACCAAGGAATATTAGCTGCTACTAAGGCTAGACACAAGTGTTTGTTAAAATCATTTAAGTTGTTTTCATTGAGAGTAGCTTCTGATAAAAATAATTGTTTTGATGAAGTATTTAATTTACGTTTTAAACCATTTTTATGGACAGCCGTATGTACATGTTGTGTTACCTGTGATTTTTTTGTGCAAGGAATATTTCTGTCACAAACTTGACAAAAAATTGTTGCACCATTTGTCGTGAAAATCGTTTGTTGGTTATTGTACGACGAAATCCACTGAGCAAATAAACTTTTTAAACTGCTTGAAGTTTTTGGCATATTTGTAAGTTATAGACTATAAAATACAATTACTATAACTTAAGTAATATGAGACGAGTGGAAAGACAATATATAAGCAATAATATATCGCACGACTAGTAGACGACGAATAGTCGTGACAGCTTACGAAATAAACGATGTGCTATCGCAATCGATAAGGAATACCTGGAGATTAATTTTTATTAAAACCCAGAAACCCAGAAATAAACCATTTAGTGAACATTGTATTTATTAAAGTGCTGATATACGTCAAATATGTTCATTATATGCCGATATTACAAAAATATTCTCAAATATTCTCTAACCCCTAAAATATGCTTTTTTATGCAAAGTAAATTTTTTCTTGTGAATTCTGTGTTTCATGAATCGTAAAGATTTCTCACTCCCATTTAACTGCATAGACTAGAAACAAATATGTAAAATCATAAAAATCCGACCTCTAGTTATAACTAATTATTATTATAACGAAAATTAATTTTTGAATTTTAAGAACAAATAACACTGATAGTAATATTTGAATTATATAAAATATAATTAAACATAATTGGAATTTGAAATAATGATAACTATATGAGTATATTATAATATCTCAAATTAGCACACAAATTTGAACTTAATATTTTGATGACTTTCAAGTAGTCGATGATAAATATGTCTAAACTATAGTTTAGACTATAGTTTATACACACATTAGGTGATTTCACATGGAATGATCCTTAGTCGATAACAATTTCGACCACTATTTTAGAAATTATTAATAATTTTAAGTATAGACTGGAGGTGAAAAATGGGTTCTGTTATTTTTATAACTAAACATTTCCTGCCTATACTTTTCCATTCGTCTAGATATATAAATGAGACTAACTAATGAATAATAAATCCATTAATTTTAACTTTACCTAAATCTGAATTATTTAATACAAATCAATATATTGAGTAGATAATTACATAACATGCAAAAATATATTAAAACAATTGTAGTGTATATTAGGAAGTAAATATTTGACGAAATAATTCAGTTTTTCGCAAGCCTATTCTAATAATGGTTTTAGCGATGGCATACAGATGGGATAGGTTATAAGAATATTTATATCCCAAAATGACAAATATAATTACGAGATAAAGATTAAATTAAGAATAGGTAGTACAAAATTATTTTTGACTTATTATAAGTACTTAATTTAAAATTTACATCGACTAACCAAATTTTTTGTAAAAAAAAATGTTTTTATTATGTTTATTAACTGATATTTTTTGGATATAAATTTATTATGATAGTGATATCATTTTACATAAGCCAATATATTATGAACATTTTAGGAGATTACAGTAGCAGCTTAAAAGGGAGATAAACCTCACTTTTATTTTCTTTTTATTAGCATTTAAGTTTTTAATATTATAAAATTAAACGTGCAGAAGTGAAAAAAAATTAATTTTAATACCAAGTTTTCAAACTTTTAAAATATAAAAAAGTACTCAAGAATATTTTAGAAAACTAAGTATAAGCAAAACTAAGACTCGGGCTAACTAGGTAATGATCTCGCTTAATAATTTGAACCCAATCAGGAGATTTAGGCTAAATTAATCAAGAGGGGTTTCATAGGAATGTCACAAAATTATTAAACGTATAAAATGTATGTATTTAATAATTTTGTGTTATTATGAATGTATAAATTCATAATATAAAAATTGTATATGAGCGAAAATATAAGAAAACAATTTGGTAAAAAAGAGATAGCATTTATATTTTACCGATTTGAAACACAAAAGTTAACACCTTACTGATGTAGATGATAATTATATCCATCCTTAAGTAATCTAGAAATATTATTCGATGCTCGTGACTAGAGGTATTCAATACTTTTTTTAATGTTCTATTTCTATATTGTTCGGCTATTATTAATAACATTAAAAAATACATAATGTTTTTTGGGGAGATTTTTAACTCCCTTATCACCTACCTTTATTATTTATTTTCAGCTAAGAGACTTAGCCTTCCTAGATACACTATATCGCAATTAAAAATTTTTTTTAAAAAATTCAAAAATGTGATCCAAATTTTTTCTGCCTATGGTTAATGGTCTAATTTCATCAACGATACTAAAATAATTGTATTGATGTATGTAAAAAATGAAGCTAATTACTTCTTTACATAAATTATTAGGGTTAAGGAGCTAACCCTGATGAATTTATATTGTAGTAAATAGCTGAGGAAGTATTAAATAACGTCGTTTTAAGTATATTTTAAGTTTTACAACAGTTGTAAGCAATTTTTAAATTCTTAAGCAATATAATAATGTCATATAAAAGGAAAATGCAGGGTAAACAAATTAATAATGGCAGGAAAAGAATATATAAATGGAAACAAGAAAAGTATAGTGGACTTGGACGTTTTGACGAAAAAACGTCGAGCTACGGGTCAGGACATTTGTTGCGAATAACTTTTGTACGACTTAATTAATTTTATGTTACATTTTTATATTACATTTTGACTTTATGATTTTACGTTTCATAAATAAAAAAAACTATTTAAAAACATGTACTTGAGAGTACATACTTTATATCCACCGTGCTATTAAAAAATTGTGTGTGTACGGTAAGAGTCGAGGTTGGACTACTGGTCCTTTAGTCGATCTTAATAATTAGTGTGCGTGCTGGCTAGTTTTTGGGCTTAACCGTCCTTTAATAGGTATAGTGAAAAGGTAGTTGTGCTGGTGGCTGACGAGAAGCCACCAGCGTATCCAACGGGAGGACTCAAGAAGAGCTAAAAATGAACTCGTCGTCAAATACATTAGTTAATTTGTGTACTACTTTTTGTGTCTACGTCGGGGTACTACCGACGTACGACAATGTGCAGTTATTAATCGTTGAATTTTTAAAAATGAAGGTCATTAATTGTTCATTATCGTTTCAAATTATTTATTTATAAATATAAACATGTCATTTATAGACTATTTAATTAAATTTTTATTTATTAAATTTTCGATTTTTAATAGAGGATAATTATGAAAATAGCAGTGATTGGCGCAGGAGTGGCTGGTATTGCTTGTGCTAGAAGATGTTTGGAAAATGGTTATGTCTGTACTGTCTATGAAAGAACCAACTTAGTTGGCGGAACATGGGTTTATGACGAAAGAGTAGGAGTTGATGAATTCGGCTTGCCAATACATACGAGCATGTATCAAAACTTAACGTATATTATAAATCATTAAATCAAAATATTAAAATATTTTTGAATGATTACATTTAAGAAATATTCATAATTTTTATAGGACAAACTTACCTAAAGAACTAATGGATTTTCCCGATTTTCCTTACGAAGGTCTGGATGATGTTTCGTTCATTAAAGCTAGAGATGTACAAAATTATATTGATAAATTTGCCGATCATTTTGGTTTAAAGAAATATATACGTGTAAGAAAGTTATTTTTATCCTATAAAATCGAAAAAAAATTTAAATATAATGAAACATTTAAAAGTAAAAAAAAAAAAAAAATTAAGTGTATTAGCGTTTGTGTTTGAAAGATAAAAAGAACCATGCAACATCCAGCGTTGGCATTTGATTTCGATAAGAGAGAATAGGAATTTTAATATAGATGTTCAAAAAGTAAGGAAACAAATGAATTTTTATATACAATGAAAACAATAGAAATTAATTTCTTATTTAATTACTGAACACAATATATAGGAAACGGGTTTCTATTGTTCTCATTGTTTGTAACAATTAACCTGTTTCCTTACTTACTAAACATTTTGTATAATCAGCTCTATGATATTGTTTGTCTATAAGAAAAGAATATTTAATTATGTTTTTAGTAATGAGAAAAGCTATAAATTACTCATTTAAACTTCATAGAATAAAATATTTTGTAGTTATAGTTAATAAATTACTTTGTCACTATATAAATAATAATTTCGATTTGCTCAACTATACATGGCGATTGCCAAAAATAAATACAATATAGAAAAACTAATTTTTGATTTCTTTTAGTTACATATAATTTATTGACTAATAATCACTTTTTTGAATCATACCTTTTTACTTAAAGTGTGATTNTAAATACAATATAGAAAAACTGATTTTTGATTTCTTTTAGTTACATATAATTTATTGACTAATAATCACTTTTTTGAATCATACCTTTTTACTTAAAGTGTGATTACTTTATTTATTTAAATGGCAACATAAATATTTAACCAGTTTATAAAATAGGAAGTAATCTAACATCTCAAAACACATAATTTGAAGTTTCCATTAGATTCTCAGTTCATTATTTTCTTAATCAGAAACTTTTTTCAACCGGTTGTTAATGATTTTAACAGGGGTTAAATTCCCTGGTTTAAAATCAGAAAAGTATATAAGTATTTAAAAAATAAAGTAAAGTTATTTTTTATTTATTAGAAAGTGAAAAAATTGTATGATTTAAAATAATTCTGATTTCACAATTTTAGTTTTGTAACCTAGTGAAATCAGTTGAAAAATTTGATAACTATATTTGGAGAATAACTTCTGAAGACTTAATTACTAAAAAATTAAATATTGATAATTACGATTCTGTTATGGTGTGTAATGGGCACAATGCTGTACCTAATATGCCAGACATTCCTGGGAATGATACCTTTGATGGAGTATGCATACATAGTCATGATTACAAATTTCCTGAGAAGTTTAAAAATATGAATGTACTTATAGTTGGATCTGGCCCTTCTGGAATTGATATTTGTAGAGATGTGGCGAAAGTAGCAAACCAGGTAACAATAGTTTATATTTTACTTTTTTTAAGACTTATAATTATATATTTTATTATATAGTAGAAAAAAGAAAAAACGCTATTCTGGGAAAATTATTTAGCATGCTACGATTTTCAAAAAATTTTTTTTCAACGGAAGTACTTGGTCACAAGTTTCCGGTAAAATTATTGCGAAGTCAGAAATTTTTTGCCGCTTGTTCGCGAACCTTTTGAAATTTCGACTGTTTACAACTCAAGGTTTTAAATTTTCATCAGACCCTCTAAACACAATTCTGAGATATATTGATGCATATATTCAATCCGTTATTTTTTACCGTTCGAGGTTTTTTATTTTTCCATAAGTCCACGCGCATTTTTTATATAAGGGTATCATCTCATTTTTGCGTACATATATTTTTTGACTCTGACTTTGTTGATATTGAATTTTTTGTCAATTGTTCTCTTTAATTCTTATTCAATACATGTTAATGATAGTCATATATGAATTGATTTGGTTATTAATTAATTTTTTGTTTTAATATTATGTCATTTTTATATTTTTTTTGTGGTTTGTTAAATATACAGATACTTTTTGTCAATTTCTTTTAAATATGTTATAATACAAAATTTATTAATAAATTTAATCAAGTTCATTGCTATATATATATATATATTATATATATATCTTTTGTTTGAACTTTGGCTTTATCTTATTTATTACATATATGATATATATAAGTCTATAAGTTTATGGATGTTTAAATTAAAATTTAAAATTGTATTAAAAGTGGTTGACCAACTAAAATTTAGTTGGCCTGTAAAATTTTTAAAAATTTTACTTAGCAGAGCGTGGTTTCGATCCACGGACCTCTGGGTTATGGGCCCAGCACGCTTCCACTGCGCCACTCTGCTATGTGATCAACAATTGTAAAAATCAGATCTTTTCAAAATAGTATGCTTATCTGTCTTATAATTTTTTTGAGTAAAATATATTTTAATCCCCGAAATATTTTAATTACTATAGTATCTTAAACTTTTTTTTTTAACTATTCGGATTATTCACAAATTCGGGTATAATATTCTACTTTTACTTCAAAAAAAATTTGTTTTTACTAATATAATAAAAAATGTTATTAGAATTTAACGTTATTAAAAGTAAAAACTAAATGATATAACAATTGATCCGGATAGTCCAGGTTAGTTAATTACCTTTCGACTATTCTAACTCAAAACTAATATTTATTTGGTATCTAATAACATGGTCTTTTGCAGGGGGGTATAGGGCAATTGTCATCTTTTGACTTTGCTTGGTCAATTTTCATTGTGTATAATAAAATTTTGCAAAATATAATTATTTTTAATGAAGATAAAAATAATTTATTTATTATAATGAATGCTAGGTGTAAGAGCATTTTTTTTTATAGATTAATAACACGTAGGTTTTGTTTTATTGATCAACATTTATAGAAACACTAAAAAAAAAAAAGAGTTAAAAATTTACTATTTTGAAAAAATTATTATTATTATTATTTATATTTTTATTAAAGACAAATAATAAAAAGAATGCTTAAAATGTATTCAAAACTATAAAATCTATTTAAAATAAAAGTAATGCAAAATGTTTACTGGATCAAAAGTTATTAAAGATGTCAAAACTTAGTAATAGAACACTTAGTACACAATTTTATTAAAACGAAAACATACTATAATTTAAATTAAATTACAAGTGAATCTACTCGGTGTATACCCAAGTGTCCGCAAAGGGAGCTATTTCTTGCCCCTCCCTTGACTTTTTATTGGTCAATTTTCATAATAATTTTGTATTATCTTATATTTTTGTGAAATAATTATTATAATTGTAATTATTTTTTTAATGAAGAAAAAAATTGTTTATTTTTATTAAGTTTTGTTATGAATGTCAGGATTGTGAGAGCATTGTGTTTTATAGTTTAATGACATCAAGGTTTGTTTTTTATTTAAAAATTTTATAGAGACACTTAATTTTATAAATAATATTTATTTAAAACTGTCTACACTAAATAATACTATACATCTATAATGCTAACATGCGTGCTATTTATAAATTTTTGTGTTGGCCTGTTTAGGCGAAAAACCAACTGTATATTTTATTGAATACTCACCTCATATTTGGGGGTGGTATTCCAGCCGTTAACAGTTCGTTTAATGCGGACTGTCACCCAAGAAACAATCGTGACACGTCTGATTATTAACGTCTGCCGAGAAGGATTTGTTGGAGGAACATTCGATAGATTGCGATATAAAGCTGCGATGCAAGTGTTATATGGTGATGTTATTATTATTATTTTTTTGTTGTATAACTACTATATGTAGTTGTTTGATTTGTATGTGCATAATATAACCATCATGTCCTTAGTAAAAAAAAACGGTAGCACAGTGGGGTCGAGGCATAGATGGGACAAGTATAGATGATATCTGACAGTGATTAAAATCACTATCATAAGAAACGCTTCGATGCAAATCTGTAGATAGTGTTTCCTTTAGAGAAATTGGTGGATTATTCCAAAAGCAACATCAACTCTTATTTCTTTAATTATATCCTGATTAGTAGTTCTTTGATTTTAAAATATAATATATGAATAAATACTAATTATAGTTTTTAAATTTAGTATGAAATTGTGAGGCCAGCTATGATGTATGGTTCATAGTGTTGGGCGGTTGATAAGAAAGTAGAGCAGAGAATAAGTGTAGCAGAGATGAGAATGCTTAGTTGGATGAGTGGAGTGACTAGAGAAGATAGGATAAGGAACGAGCATATAAGAGGAAGTATAGGTGTTGCGTCAATCGTGGATAAGATGACAGAAAATAGACTTAGATTGTTTAGTCATGGTATGAGGAAAGAAGAATCGAAAGCTGTAAGAACAGTTATAGAAATGAATGTTGAAGGAAGAAGAGATAGAGGAAGACCAAAAAAGAGATGGAGGGATGCTATTGAATGCGATTTGAGGACAGCTGATGTGAGCGTAGAAGATGTGGGAGATCGTGTCAAGTGGAATCTTAGGATNTTGTGGGAGATCGTGTCAAGTGGAAGCTTAGGATAAGGGTAGCCGACCCCAAGTAGTTGGGATTAAGGCAAAGGCAAAGAAAAAGAAAAAGATTGTTTGGGAATGTACAATTTAGCGTTTAGTTGGGTTTAAACAATATAGCGTCAAATCAATTACCTACTCTATCGGTTGTATCTTAATATACACTACACTTAAATGATACTATAAATAAATAAACTCACACATACCCTGTGTATACATTAGTATGCATTTATAACATTGTGTCTAATGTATAACATGATAAAAAGCAACCGTAAAATGAAAAAAATGGAATATAAATTTTATTTATTACTCATATTAAATGTAATGTAACTCGAAAAATATTTGTTTAAATGAAAAAATATAAGATTATATTTTTATTTATAATTGTCTTTTAAACAACTTTTGTGCGAAACTTTTTTTTGTAANTAACAACTTTTGTACGAAACTTTTTTTTGTAATTTAATTATTTTTTGAGAAAATTAAAAAAGCTCATATTTTTGAACTTTTGCGAGGCTGTAAAAAAAAGCTTAATTTCAATCAATGAGGACTATTAGTATGTCATTATACATATTTTAATTCAACTATTAATAAAACAAAATTTGGTTGAGAATTTTTTAAGAAATTTTTCCTTTGTTGACTGGCCTAGATGTCANATTCCTATGTTGACTGGCCTAGATGTCAATTTTAAACTTGTAATAGAGATAAAAGTTATGGTAATGTATTCAATTTTTTTTGCTATAAACTTTCATAAACTTTATCAAAAATTTTTCATCAATTTTAAAGAACCAAAAAAATAGGTTAAAAATGAAAATTTGGACTGATTATTTTTAACATATTAAAAATCAAATCAGTAATAATTTGAAAACAAATTTTTTTTTCTTTTAATTATTATTTTATATATATAATTAGTAATAATATAAAAAATTAGAAGTGATAGAAATAGTCTACTTGCAGATTTGAAAACAACGCGAAACTTTGATTTAGAAAAGTATATTTTTGCTTCTGATGAAAGTTCCTTGAAGTCCAGTGCATTTTTTTATAGTAACAAACAGTTTTTATTGAAAATTATTGTATCAAGCCCTTTAAATTTTTATACACGTAAAAGTAAAGCAAAATATAACTTCTTTATTATTTTTATAATTTCTCCGTTTAAATTACAATATTAAATATCAATTTCATACTAAATTTAATAATTATAATTAGTATATATTCAAATATTATATTTTAAAATCAAAGAACTACTAATCATGATATAATTAAAGAAATAAGAGTTGATGTTGCTTTTGGAATAATCCACCAATTGCCTAATTAAAACAAAAAAAAAAAAAGTTTGTTGGGAATTTTTTCTGCTATTCTGCAAAATTACTCCTTCGTTGACTAGAATGAATCATTAAATAGAAAATTTTATGAGAATTAAAACAATGTTATTTTTAAGATTAATATGCAGTCAGAAAGTTTTATAATTACTATTTATTGTAAATTTATCAGAAAAACTCATTATTTTTTGCATTTTTATCGTAATAGAACACTTAAATAGAAATCATAGTAATCATTTCTAAGTAATTTTTGATATTTAAAAAGATTATACAATTGAAATATTCAGAACTGAATTAATTTTAATGATTTACTTTAACTAAAAAAAAAAAGTTATTATTTTGAATCCCTCTTGTGGGCAGGTAAAGGGTTAGATTTATAAAGAAAAACCAAATGATAGATAAAGACATGCATCTAGATAAAAAAAAATATACTGAATTGGTCATTTTTAATAAAGTTATAACAGTTAACAAAGTTATAAGTTTTATACACTGGACTGCAAGGAACTTCCATCAGAAGCAAAAATATACTTTTCTATAAAGTTTCGCGTTGTTTTCAAATCTGCAATTTGACTTTTTCTATCACTTCTAATTTTTTATATTATTACTAATTACATATAAAAAATAATTAAAAGAAAAAAAAATTTGTTTTCAAATTATTACTAATTTGATTTTTAGTATGTTAAAAATAATCAGTCCAAATTTTCAATTTTAACCTATTTTTTTGGTTCTTTAAAGTTGATGAAAAATTTTTGATAANTATTTTTTGGTTCTTTAAAGTTGATGAAAAATGTTTGATAGAATTTTGTGAAAGTTTATAGTAAAAAAATTGAATATGTTACCATAACTTTTAGCTCAATTACAAGTTTAAAATTGACATCATTAAATAGAAAATGTTATGAGAATTAAAACTATGCTATTTTTAAGACTAATATGCAGTCAGGAAATTTATAATTACTATTTATAGTAAACGTATCAGAGTAGCTCAATTTTTTTTTGCATTTTTATCGTAATAGATAACTAAAATAGAAATAATAGTAATCATTACCTAATAACTTTTGGTGTATAAAAAGATTCTACAATTGAAATATTCAGAACTTAATTAATTTTAATGATTTGCTTTAACTAAATGAACCAATCAAAACAAAGTCGTTAAAAAGATTTACTCAATTGAGCGTATTATAAAATTTGATTATAATTGTAAAAATCCATTGTTAATTCAGTAGAAAATAACTATCATTTTTTTTAGATTTATATAGCAACATGTTACCAAAAAATNAGAAAATAACTATCATTTTTTTTTAGATTTATATAGCAACATGTTACCAAAAAATTTGGAATATTATAGTCTGTAGTAGCACACACAAATAGAGTAAAAAAATTATTAAATTACAAAGTAAAATGATTTAATTTTGTACTTGAAACCTATCATATCAAACTTGATTCGTCAATAAATACTTTGAAAACATTAGAAATTAATGATTTTAATTGTCTTTATGGAGACGATGTAATAACTAACTGTTTAATTGATAAATTAGAATTTTTTTTTNCGATGAGATAACTAACTGTTTAATTGATAAATTAGAATTTGTTTTCGATTTTTGAGGGTAATATCTTCAACTAGATACGAGTTGTAGTCATTTGACGTATCATTGAAAAAAGTAGATCAAGCTAGAGCAGAGAAAATAAATGATAGTCACAAAAATATATCTTCTCAGTTTTGCATCGAAGCTAAAACTTAAAATATAGTAAAATAATTTTAATACGAATAAGAAATTTCTTCTTACAAGGGGCGACTAAAATTATGGGATCCTTGATCTTTATTGAAGTTATTGAATCTAAATGAGATAAAAATCAAACGAGTTTAAAATTTATACTAACTTAAAAAGAATTAAGAAAAAATGCAAAAAATTCATTGCCATACGTGAGTTGTAACCTTGTACCCCAAGCGTGTAAAACATGAATTTTACCAACTCGGCAACCGTAAGTCGATACCGTCGGGTGAAAAGAATTTAAGCTAGTTTAGCTAGGCTATTTAAGCTAGTTCAAATTTCAAAGTTATTTTTCTCGACTTAAAAGAAGCAAACAAATTTAAATAAGTTTAACTTTCTATGCTATATTAATTTTTTATTTATATAATATTTATGAAAATCTGTAGTCCCCTTGTCAGGTATTTTAAAATAAAATAAAATACAAAACCCAGAATTTTAACACAAAAATAGCTTATTTTTTAATACGGTAGTAATTTTTACCATGAAGACAAATCCAGAGGTCAAATTTTTTTTTTTTAAATTAAAGTATATTACATAAGCTTTAATTTAATATATATATATAAAAGTGTCAGTCTTTCCGGAACATTTTCAAAAGTTAAGTTGAAAAATGTCTACTTTCTATACGCATTTTATAAGGTTTGCACCCCCCCCTGTATAAAGGGAAATGGTCCGATTTAAAAAAAAAGTATGTCGAATGAAAGAGATATACATAAAGTATTTATTATTAAAAAATAGAATTGATTCATGCATTTTTTAAAAAGTTATAGCAACATAATGTTAAAAAATGTAAAATATAATATCAAGAATTTTTTCACAAAAATAGCATATTTTTGCATACGGTAGTCATTTTCACAAGTAATACAAGTATATTAAAAAAAAAAAAAACACATCATAGTAAAATTAATACCTTCTCAGCTTCGCATCGAAGCTAAAAAATATAATAAATTGTCGTTTCATTTTATTATTTGAATGTCAAGTTTTAAATTCCCAAGTAAAAATACCCTACCCGTCATTTATATGAAGTTAATTACTTTTTTTTAAGATACTGACAGGTAACTCTGAGACCTCTGAGAATTTCAACTTCATTATTTTTACATTTTGGTAAGCAGGTCGTGGTCGGAGGGTTTCCTAGGCATTGTTTGAGTCTGACGGGCCCGCTCAGATAAATTTGGTGACATGATACAATCACATGATAGTGATAAGTAGTAGAAGTATTAGTATCGGTTGTATTTATCTTGTGGCTATTGTTTAGTTTATTACCCTTACGGTGTTATATTGATGTAAGTTATAATGAAATAGTACAGATAATAGTATAATATCAAAATCGCTTTGTATTTTATAAGTTGATTAACACAATATTTATGCTCTGCATTTATTTCAATTAATTATTTAATAATATACCGTGAATAAAAGTAACCATTTTTTATGATTTGATAATTTAACCATCATTATTTATAAGCTAAAAACAATATTTTAAGATCCACATTTTATTAGCTTCGATGCGAAGCTGAGAGGGTATTAATTTTACTATGATGTGTTTATATTTATTTATTTTTTTGTGTCTGTCACTACTTTTTTTCAGTTCTCACTGGACCGATTTTTCTTAACGATACGCCAAAAGATCACAATACGTATCGTAGTTGAAGACATTACCCTCAAAAATTAAACATTTCTCTCTTGTTCCTCATAAATTATCAAAATCCTAAAAAAAATTTCGATTTTTAAAATCACTAAATTTTGACATTTTTTTTTAAATTTTGACATTCTAAACATTTCCATAACTTATTGAAAAATGAATGAATCAAAATAATTTTTTTTACATAAATACCTTACGTATTTTCTTTTAATTTGATATAAATGGAATGATAATCTGACCCTTTACCTGCCCACTGGGGGGATTCAAAAGAGCAACTTTTTTACAAAACTCAACTTTTTCAACTTAAGTTTTGTAAATATTCCTGAAATACTGCATTTTTTTTTTTGATAAACTCATACTTACAATTTTGATACACGTTTATCATAGATTCAACAAAACATACAAATACATTAAAAATTTGTATATTTTCTCCGTAAAAATTACAATACTAAATTATTGATTATCAGTTTCATACTAAATATAATTACTATAATTAGTATGTTTTCATATTTTATACTTATAAATCAAAGAACTACTAATCAGGCTGTAATTATGGAAATAGATTTTGATACTTTTTTTGGAATAATTCAACAATTCCTTCCAAAAATTAAACAATATCTACAGATTTTTAATTGCTATAATAAATATTTTTTTCATATATTATACTTTTAAATAAAAAACTACTAATCAGGAATAATAAAGGAAATAGGATTTCATTTTGCTTTTGGTATAATCCACCAATTTTTAAAAATTAAGCACTATCTACAGATTTGCATTAAAGCGTTTTTTATGATGGTGATTTTAATCACTGTCAGGTTAAATTTATACTGGACTCAACTATGCCACGTCCCCACTGTGATGGGTTAGGGGTTTTTTTTTTTGCTAAACACTTTTAGGTTGAGCGATTTTATGAAATATTACCCTTCTCGGAAAAAACTTTGATTTCGCCAATATTTATATAATATTAAAATTTTGTATTTTATTTTGGTATAATATATCTAAAGAACATATATTTAATGAAGTATTTGAATATTTTGATTTATAAATTTAACACGGGGTAAGATGTAACGTACATATTCGTAAATATGTTTATTATATCATAATAGACATTTAAATTTTTAATTTGAGGTTTATATTTATGTTTGAGTGTGTATATAATTAGAGCAACTTAAAACCTAAAGTTTTAAAAGTGTTTTTTTTGTCCTAAGATCAATATTTGTACTTATAATACTAGAGTCACATTTAAGTAATATTAAATATCAATATTACATAATTAATATTAAACATAACACCGAGATGATTTATATTTTAATATTTTGATAATATTAATCCTTAGTAAAATAAATATAATATTTGAAATAGACTTTTTACTTGTTAGTAAAAAGAAAGTCATTTACACAAATCGAATAATAATACGAATAAAAATGTTCAATAAATTTTTGTTCGCAGGTATTTTTCAGCCATCATAATGAAAAATTATTAAATAATACATTTTCACATAATGTTATTCACAAATCTGATATTCAATCGATTAATACTTCTAATATTAACTTCGTAGATAATACTTCTTGTACGGTGAATGCTATTATATATTGTACAGGTAATTGCCCATTTATTTTAATTTATTAAGTCGTAAGTAAGTAACTATTATTTTTTATTGACTCAATAAAGTTATAAATATAAAGATATCTAACCCATTGTCTGCAGGTCAATCATGTCTTATAAATGTTTTAAAATGATTGGAAACTAGTTCATAATAGATTTCTGAAAGAGTGTAATGTGGCCAAATATAGATGATATATTAAATAACAACAATAGCATAACAACAGTTATTATACAAAAATGATATTCAACTTTTTTAGCTTAAGATAATTACTTTATTATTAAATTTGATTGTTTAAAATTCGTATCATAAATTAATTTATTTTTTATATTTTGCTAGACTACTTAATGTTCATATGAACAGAAATATTAAAGAATTCACTTTTTTAATCTTTTTAAACATGTATTAAAATAATTTTTAACACGCTTGGTTTTTAAGTATGGAAAATGAATTGGTTTCGGATAGGTATTTAAGATATTGCAGTCTGTTTATAATATATTTAAAATACTTGTAAATGTGTTTTGTTTAAAAATGTCAATTTAACTTAAAATAAGTCCTTAAAAGTTTTCTTGGCGAGAAAACATGCTCCTTTGGGCCTATATATTTATACTTGGTGTTAGTTCTGTATTTGAAAATCTGTTACCCAAATATAATTTTTATTTTTGAGGTTCAATAATGTCCAGAATTTTAATAAAATTGGTTCTCCTGAAAAAAAAAATGATTTATCTGGTTGTTGCACGGAGCAATTCAATTATAAAAAATAATGAAACATAAAATAACATGAAATGGTATCTTTGGACAGTTTTTCTTATAAATAATAAAAAAAGTGGTGTATTTACGAGGGGGAGTCCATGAGACCCTCTGGACATAAAATTATAATAGAAGGGGTAGTGGTAGTGAAATCTATCCACTATTCTAAAAACTATCGGACACCAATACAAAATTTCCAAATACATCATTGATAAGAAAATTACAAATAAATTATTAGCTGTTACGGTTAAACGTTGTAGAACGCAAAAATAAAATACGACACAGGGTTCTTTGACAAAGTGACGTGAAGCCGTATATATTAGTTTTCTTCAGAAAAAATCGTCATAAAACCAAAAAAACAAAAGTACGATGAATAATATACTTAACATGTATTTAGAAATCGGCGACAGTATCGAATAATACAGCGAGTCCTTAAGGCGGATACATCGACAATCTGAAACGTGCAGTGTAACGAAGATGACTTCCTCAACGTATCTTTGTGGCGGTCGTAGACAGACGTGCGGTACTAGCTGGACGTGGTGTATCGCACGCCGTGTTAGTCATATACATTAAGTAGGGCGACGGCTGATAACGGTGGCACGAGTCGTGGGGTTCCGTGTATCAAGAAGCGCCGCGGGACCGTGTCATAGCTTAAACATTAACAAAAACATATAGCATTTAAATACATAATCATAAGTGATTCGATATAATAACGTTTCATTAATTAATTTTTTGACTTTTTTTAATTTAAACTAGGCTCCGCCTAGCTGGGGCTCTGCCCCAGACCCGGAGCCCTACGAGCCTTACGCGCCTTCTTTGCGTAAGCCTCTTCGGGCCGTCATCATAAGTAGGCCCCTGATTCCGGTAGGGGTACCCGGCTACGCCGGACACGATAAGTGTTATGCAGAAAAAATATTACATCAGAATCAGTGTAACAAAAATATATTAAAAATGTTATTAATAAAATCAGGATTTTTTTTTGGGCGGGTCTGATGAAAATTTTAAACCTTAAGCCGTAAAACGCTGGCTTAATTTCCAATTAAACAAATTCAACTTAGATTTCAAAATAAGGAATTATTTTCTAATATTGAATAGTAATAAATTCTAATGTAATTTTTAGGGTTTATAATTTCTTGTCAATTTCTAAATTCCAACTGTGGTGTAAATGTGGAAAATGGTAAATTCATTTATCCTCTACATAAAAATATTGTTAATATAAATAACCCAACAATGGCCTTTATTGGATTTGTAAACAAAACATTCATATTCCGTGTATTTGATTTACAGGTAATATAATTTGCAGTTTTTATTGATATTGTTCTCTAGTTTAAATCCTAAAGGTATTATGTCACAAAAATGGGTTTTGAGATTTATATGATATGTGATTGATTAACTATGACTCACGCAATATTATTAAACATATAAAACATATTGTATATTTTTTCTTTTAAGGAATTTTTCGCGATGACATACAATTGTAATTTTATATAGAAAATTCTGAACTACTGGTCCAAAAGTTGATGTGGAGAGAAGGGGGAAATAGGACAAATATTTTTTGAAAATTATAGATCATAGGATACTATTAATTTCTAAACAGAAAAGTTATAAATTGTTTTATACTTTTAAAGATATTATGTGATGCATAGTAAATGAATAACCTTTAACAATGCTTTTAAAAAAAGTATGTAATAATAATCGAGATGTACTAATATAAATAAAAAAAATACTCCCAAATTTTCATTTTATTTTGTAAGCAATTTAGTGATAATAAATTAAGTAATAATAATTAGAGCTAGAAATTATATAAATTTTTAAATTCCGTTTGAGTCATTTTGAAGGGCCAAAGTTTATAAAACTTTGTTACAGGATTATAAAATATTGTAGAAATATTTTTTATTTGAGATTGGATAATCCCTTCTTAATCATTCCAAAACCACAACCTTGACAACAACACAATACTAATATTTCAAGTCGATTAATCAAAATTTTTACTGAATGATGATGTGTTCGGAAAACTTTATAAATGCATAAAATTCATAGCCCTATAAATAATATTTTTTAGTCCTAAAAAATAAATAAATAATGATTACTAAATAAAATTATTAAAAACATGTAATTAATACAATGTATTTTTTTAGATTCGTTATTATTTAAATTTTTTAAAAAAATATACCAATTTGAATTATAATATTGGTATGATTCCTGTAAAAAGTCATTTTATTGGGAATTGTCTTCATGATTACTGTTATTCTTTGGCTAATGAAATTCAAATCGAACCAATCCCAAGTATTTATTTTGAAATATATAATTCATGTCAACAAATTAGAGATTTGTACAGCAAAACTTATCATTCAGCAGTGTTTAGAATTATAGATAATACTAATCATGTAGTTGAATGTAACAAATGTAATAATTAATAATTTATACACTAGCATTTAGAGGGCTAGGGAGGCTTAGCCCGTCAAGAAATCAAGAAAATTATATTTATTTTTATATAAAATATTTTAGAAAATATATTTAGTTATCTTGAAATGTTTAGGTTAGTTTTTATATGTCTAATATAATATTTATATGATCAAACAAGACAACAAGTAACAAAAAAATGTTTTATAGTTTACAAATTTTAAATGAATTGTATAAGAAATATCGACGCCGATTCCGAATCTGGCTTTACATTTTTTTTATCACATTTAGTTTTTGAGATAATTACTAATTAGTTATTAAATGATAATTACACAATGAAATCATTAATAAAATGTATAAATATATATAATATTTTTTAAAATGTTTTATGTTCAAGAGTGCTAAATTTAACGTTTGATTGTAAGCTGTTGGTTTAGTTGTTTCGATTCGTTTTATATATGATGGAGATTCACCTGCAATGTTTTAGGTTCTGCTTATTGCATTAATTTTGAATGCACCAATTGTTGATTTCATTCCCGAGCAGTTTATGCTGTCTATTAGATATAGAAGTAAATTAGACGCTGTTCTAAAAAGCATTGACTTATGTTATAGCTTTGATTGTATAATTGCTTTATGTATTTTTATAAGAAATTCAGACTACTCTGACTACCTCAGCTAGTGTGTATTAACATTTTAATGATACTAAGTGACTTGTTTGTTTCAGATGTGTGTAGCCCAAATTTCCTTTTTTTTTTTTTAGTTTCTTTTCATATATTTTTACTATTTTCAAATTACAGTTATTTCTTCTTTAATTTGATTTAAGTTGCTTTAAATGTTTAAGGATGTATCCACGTTTTCAGTAATGAGCTGACGTTTCGGACTCATGAAGAGTTCATCTTCAAAGCGACTGTTACAGGTTAGTAGTTATAACCTACAGTCCATACTAAAACGTTACCGTGATGACACAACATTATACCAAACTAGTTAGTTATCAGTTTTTTTTGTAGATACTTTAAGTAAATTTACCCTTGTTGTCTTCTTACTATTTTTTATAAGAAATTTTGTTCTAGCGTTTAATTTTCTTTAAGATAATGAAATCTGTTACATTTTTATTTTTATTTTTTTAATTTGTTTAAAGCTTGGTTTTTTTTTTAATAGATTTTTTAATATTCTCATTCCACCAAAATACATTAGATCTAGAGTTATTTGAGATAGATTGTTAGTGTGTTGTTAATATTATATACTCTCTATTTCCAAATCAAGTAGTTTAGTAAAAGCCCGAATAAGTTTTTTTAAATTCCATCTCTTGGTTTGGTTGCTATTCTCATTGATATTTTGAGGGATCATTTGAACAATTATAAGTAATCACTAATAGTTAGATTGTACGGACCATTTTAGTCTCAATGCTAGGGTCCATGTTGCGAAGGTTTCATATTTTTATTATCATGTCTAGTTTTTGAGACAATTACTAATTGAAACCCGATTTGGAATTAGCATCGAAATTCTTAATGGAATTCACATACAAATTGTAAACAACAAAATAACTGTTGTCCTGTGTTATTTATTTATGTAACTATTAACTTATTTTTGACTTTATATAAAATTTATTTTTGTAAATAAAGTTTTTTGTTATATTACACCTATTTTTTATGTTTTTTTTTTATAATTTATCTCAAATATCATTTATAAATTAAAAGAAAAAAACAACTTAACCCAACATTAACTTCATAATTTTGAAATATGTGAATTATTTTTACAGTTTTTTTTTATTTTTACATTAAATCCTGTGTTAAAACATATTATATTATTAATTTCCTCTTTAACATGTAAAAAACTGTTAGTTGTAAAGTGTTGTCTATTGTTTCCTATTTTATTTTATTTTAATCAAAGGTTATACCTAATAAAAATGAATAAAAAGATAATAGCACCCTACGGTAATGAGAAAAAAAGAATATGTATTTAACGAAATATAAGAAGGATTGTGGCCTAAAAAATAATGATATATATAGGGGTGTTACAGGACATCGTGAAATAGATTTATCTCGTCATTATTTTGAAGTACGTTAGTAAGATTATTTATTTTAAGCAGTATAATAAGTCAAAGCACTTATAACTAAAGATGGGAAAACAACATGGATTTTTTAAACAAAAAATATATATGTTTTTATTTGATATATTTTTCATCGATTATTATTAACTAATGATGTATCCAAAAAAAATGGATGTTTTATTCCGATACCATTCCTTTAAACACATTTTTCATTTCTACTAAAATGTTCTAATTAGAACATTTTAGTATATTAATTATATTATTTTTAATTATTTTATGTACATAATTTAGTTTATGCAATGGCTTAAACCTTTATAATTATATTTGTTAGTGGTTATCACTGTTTCCCTATCATGCTCTAGTACACTTATCATTATCATAAAATTGCCGCTAATAATAAAATAATGTAAATGTTTCATCTATTCCTGTCAAGTGATTATTTGTTATAGATTTTTGAATATAATCAAAAAATATTCTATCAAAGTTAATTTATTGACTAATGTGTTCCGTTTTTTTTTAAATAGTTTAAAATGAGCATTAAATCCGAAGTATGGATGTATTTTAAAACTACAAAATGTCAATAATAAATAATTATTTTTTGCCTGTTGCAACGTCAGTCCCAAGTGAGAAGATCTGTTCAAAAGCTAGACTGACTTTAAATAATCATAGAAATCGACTCGCATCCAAACATTTAAATAAATTATTATTCGTGAAATCCTTAGATGGCTCATTTTGGCCAGTATTAAATTGACCGATAGTATTTAATAGTAATTTTAAATTATTATTCTATGTGTTGAATGACTACTTGTATTTATACTTGTGATATTTTAAATTTTGCTGATAATACTATTGACTTATAATATTATGTAATATGTTTATATTTTTATAATTTTGTTAAAATTTATATTTAAAAACGGTAGTACAGTGGGGTGGCGGCCAGTATGGACGTGGCAAAGTTGGGACAAGTATAGATGATATCTGACGGTGATAAAATCCACTATCATAAGAAACGCTTCGATGCAAATCTGTAGATAGTTTTTAATTTTAAGAAATTGGTAGATTATTTCAAAAGTAACAATAACTCTTATTCCCTTAATTCTATCCCGATTAGTTATTTGATTTATAATTATTATATATGAATAAATAACAATTTTAGTAATTAAATTTAGTATGAAATTGATGTTCAATAATTTAATATTATAATTTTTACGGAGATATTATAAAAATAATAAAGTAGTAGTCTATTTTTTTGCTTTAAACGCGTATAAAAATTTAAAGAGCTTGACGCAATACTTTTCAATACAAAATGTTTGTTACTTATAATAAAGTTATAAGTTTTATACACTAGACTACAAGGAACTTTCATCAGAAACCAAAATGTTCTTTTCTAAATCAACTTTTCTCGATGTTTTGAAATGTGATGGTGTCACGTTTTCATAATCGTGAGAATTATTTTAATAAAATACAGACAGCACATCCGCTGCCTGAGACTGATGAATTAACAAATAATATTTATTGCCAAATCGGCAATAAGTGTAATTATTATAAAAACCCAATAGACCTGACCATCGTCGTCAGTCGACTCCAGTGCCTTGTGTCATTCATCAGTCTCAGTACTCGGTTGTCGCTGTCCGGCTTACTGTTTAAAGTAAAGTCTTTGTTTATTCCTTTTCTAACCTATATACTCTTTTCCTCGACATTTCAGAGTACTTGTGTCTTGCACTTCGTCTGCACCTCGTACTTTGTTATCTTTCCTCACCTGGTACGCCTAGTATTTGTGTCTTGCACTTCGTCTGCACCTCATACCTAGGTGTTACTCTTATTCTCCCTTCCTATAACAACAGCCTTTCGACACCCACAGCTAACCCGGAGTGTCAGCCGAGCACGGTGACTGCTGTACGACAACACGCACGTGAATACCTAGACAGCAGGCATCACCTCCTCATATTCATCTTCGTACACACACTTACACATAGTTACCCATTTTCCCTTTTACTTTTTACTGTGTTACGACACAAATATGCAATTAAACTTTTTCTATCACTTCTAAGTTTTAAAATTATTAAAAAATAGTATTTACATAAATTTTGATTATTAATATGTTAAAAATAAGGAAAATGACATATATAACCTATTTGTTTAATCCTTAAAAGTTGATTTTTGTGAAAGTTTATATCAAAAAAAAATAAATTTAGTACTATAACTTTTAGCTCAATTTGCAAGTTTTAATTGCCATCATTAAATAGAAAAAAATGGCATTGTTATGATTAACATGTAGTCAGGAAATTTTATATTAGTTGCCATAAATTACCGGATTTTTTTTATATGATCACTAAAATCCACCAAAAAATAGCTTAATCCACTTTTTAGCTTAATAATAACCAAGGGGACTGAGTTTTTGTCATTAAATTTTTGCCCTCCATGTAAAAAATAGTTCCAGCGCCCCTGATTATAATTATATTAATTTAAAACTAAAAAAGTATTAACTCATAAAGCCATAAAAAAATTCTAAAAAATCACGGATACGTATTTCGGGAACAATGTTACCATTATAAACGCTTAACACATACTGACACCACAAAAAAAAAACGGTAGCACAGTGGGGTCGAGGCACAGTGTAGACGAGGCATAGATGGCACAAGTATAGATGATATCTGACAGTGATTAAAATCACTATCATAAGAAACGCTTCGATGCAAATCTGTAGATAGTGTTTTCTTTAGAGAAATTGGTGGATTATTCTAAAAGCAACATAAACTCTTATTTCTTTGATTATATCCTGATAGTAGTTCTTTGATTTAAAAATATAATATATGAATAAATACTAATTATAATTATTAAATTTAGTATGAAATTGATATTCAATAATTTAATATTGTAATTTAAACGGAGAAATTATAAAAATAATAAAGAAGTTATATTTTGCTTTACTTTTACGTGTATAAAAATTTAAAGGGCTTGATACAATAATTTTCAATAAAAACTGTTTGTTACTATAAAAAAATGCACTGGACTACAAGGAACTTTCATCAGAAGCAAAAATATACTTTTCTAAATCAACTTTTCGCGTTATTTTCAAATCTGCAAGTAGACTATTTCTATCACTTCTAATTTTTTATATTATTACTAATTATATATATAAAATAATAATTAAAAGAAAAAAAAATTTGTTTTCAAATTATTACTGATTTGATTTTTAATATGTTAAAAATAATCAGTCCAAATTTTCAATTTTAACCTATTTTTTTG